TGAGCCGCGCATTCTCCACCAAATCTGTTAGGATTTAACAGACAGAGACGGATCGTGGTGTGCCAAACTCTGGAAGTTTATTTAAGTTTCTCTCAAGTTCCACTGTTTTACTCTGTTTCTTTCTCTCAGACAGAATAAAGGCAGTACATAGTTTATATAGTCATTGTCACGTCACACATCGAAAGACATACGTGTCACAAAGAGACAGTCAAATCATAGTCATAACATGGAGTCCTTGTACACAGTCCTGCACGTAGGCCATATTGCTATCTAATACTAATACCATAATAACTGAATAGACAAGAGTTTTGTCAACCACTAATCTATAACCAACACCTTTTTCACAAAGATATAAATCCTTGTTTTATTCCTTATTTTGAAGTTAATGATTTGAGAATCATAACGAGACCTTTTTAGTTTTGCGGTCACACAGTACTTTACCATTGAGATTAGCTCAACGCAATGAGTTCTGGCAACCCGGATCACAGACTTTCTAATTGGTAAAACAGTGGAGGGCGGGACATCGAAATGAAAACAAAAACAAGATTTAGGGTATGTAAAACTAATTTTGAAATACAAATATCTTGGCTGAACTACTGTTATCAGATAAAGTATTTGAAAAGAGCATGATTTATTAATGCCTTTTTACATATTAGGGCCATTTAATGACTTGACATGAAATTCTTACATATTGCTAAGCACTTTGAGGTGTATAAACTGTGCTACACAAATAAACTTGCCTTGTTTCATCAAATTGGTTTGTTAATTTGAAACAACCTTTTTGGCATGTAATACAACATTAAGTATTAGATTGTACAAAGTTAACTTAAGTTTAAGTTGCCAAAACTCACAAAAATATTGTAGTGAGAATGAATCATAAGAGCACTGTGGGTTCTTTTGTGTAGGAGTTTGAGTTCAAAGCAACGTGCAGTGATATTTCTGTTTGAAGGTATTGTTTCTGAGACTTGAGTTGTCTGATCTGCGCCTTGATATAAGTAAGTAAGTAAGTATTTATTTATATACCGCCTTTTCACTGCAGATTTGAGTCTCAAAGCGGTTTACAATTGTTAATTTTTTGGGCATTTGTCTCTCACTCCACACAGATGGGAGTGGGGAGAGTACAGGAGGCGCATGCTAGAACTATTGGACATATTTTTAGTGGTAGGGGAAACCGGAGTACCCGGAGGAAACCTACGCAGACACGGGGAGAACATGCAAACTCCACTCAGAAAGGCCCTGGTCCGACCGGGATTCGAACCCAGGACCTTCTTGCTGAGAGGCGAGAGTGCTATCCACTCAGCCACCGTGCCGCCATATAATTGTACTACACTCTATGAACATTCAAAGTATGTCATATATCTTGCAGATGTATGTGTTTGTATGCAGCAAAACTAGTGATGTGGCTAGATTTGTACAGATATTGTAATGGATCAAGGCAAAAGAACCCAGGAGCAGACTCTGAAGAGGTTCAGATGGAATTTTATTGAAGCCGGTTTGGAGCTAGATGGGGTAGGGCCAGTGCAGGGACGGAGCGGAGCCAGGGCAGGACAGGGCAGGACAGGGCAGGACAGAGCAGGACGGAGCAGATCCAGGGCGGGAAGGAGCAAAACCAGGGTAGGGCAGAACAAAACCGGGACAGGACGGAGCAGGGGCAGAGCAGGACGGAGCTGGAAAAGCAGGTGGCTGGAGAACTGGAAAATAAGGCAAAAAAACCTGGTTTGAATGTTATATTTCGAGCTAGTCAAAAAGAACGCTAGAAACGTGACACTGACTGGCAGAGTTTTACGATCTGGCACAGCTGAGCTTACTGCAGTGGTTTTTGAATCCTTCCTGCTGATGATGAGAGTGAACTCAGCTGTGGAGTTCCTCCAGCACACCTGTTCACATCCTGCAACAGAAAGGGAGGGGGAGGGAAGGCCAGCCTCTCAGGGAGGGGCTGAAGTGGCCAGAGGTGCTGGAAGGGCTGTGACAGATATGTTGAGCAAAACTTAAAATAAATGTTTAAAGAGCAAGTTTAAAGTGCTCTTTCTTGTGAGATAATCTGTTTGTAAATTATTTCACATTGGTCCAAAGAATGTGTGGGAAGAAAAGAAGTTGGAAGTGATGGTAACGTTGAGTTCAATCTAATAAAAACACAAATACATCCAAAATAACTCTGTTTGACAAATTAAGCATTTGTGACAAATTAAAGTAAGTTATAAAATAATGTAAATGACATACAATCAGTGCTACATTTCCTTTCAACAACATTCAAAGTTGTGTAAGATGTGAATTGGTCTAAAAACATATTGCAACAATCTGGACGTTTGAATAATATATTGTAATAAAAATCTTTTATTCTTGTCCATGCCACAAAAGGCCATATTATAGTAATATCTGTATACCTTATGTACAGCCTTTTTCTGCCCATTGAATGAAGAGCTGAGCAGAGCTGTTAAAATATACAAAAACAGCTTACAGAGCAATTAGTATGAGTGTGAAAACCACCTCCCTCCGGTCGCTGATTTTCTTTTTTGAAAGAGTAGAAGTCTAATTATGAAGAAGCAAGTTCAGTGTTATAATTAAGTTTTGACACTTAAGTCCTAATATTTTGAAAGCTGTAGCCTATTTAATGTATAGACATAAATATATATATATGCAAAATGTTAATCTTATTATATAGACATGCTGCGTTGATGGCAATAGTCCTCTGTCCGATTACAAGATCTTGCTGAAAGGGTCAGTTGCCAATGACAACCTGTGAGGCATGTGACATGTGTATGAGCTTTGGTATGAGCAGGTATTTATAACGTTCTGGGGACTTTAGTGTTCAAACCTGGGGACCCCCCGGTGACATAATACATCCATAAACCCTAACCCTAACCTGACTTCCACAGAATAAGATTTCAATATTGAGTCAACAATGTGGCTTTATATGACTGGTCAGACAACACATTTCACTGAAATACACTTAACATCTTTTCACATCTCAGACGCTAAGCTGGGCTGGGTCTTGTTAGTTCTATGATGTGAGACCTCAAGGAATAGAGGATTCCTTAGTGATCTGACTACAGCTGTAAAGAGCCAAGCCACAAAATGTTTTAAAACAACATAAACGCAAATTAAATTAGTGCTCCTACATATTTGTGCAAAGTATTAGGGTTAGGTTATTTATTCTGAATCTCCCTAGCAGTCTCCTTTTCTTTACAAATTGTGGCTTTATTGGTGAAAAACTATAATTTACACCAAAAAGTAAGAGCCTTGCATGTTCTTTGATTATGGTTAGGTTTCCAGTCAGCTCGAGTGGATAAAGTTAACAAGTTAATCCATAATCACTACGAAGTTAGAGATCCAATGATTGTTGGACGAGGTTATTTTGGTTCTTCTGAACCAGACAATAGTAGGTTAGCGATGCTATAACCTTGATATGTATGTTCTTCTACTAAGAAGAAACATGTGTTGAGTCATGAACATGATGCATATATATTAAAGCTGAGTTTGTGGTCAACTTATGCTTTTACACAACCCTTTGGTCAAGTCAAGGCAATGTCCACAGAAAGCATAGAAACTCTTTATTGGTGGTGTATGTTCTGTGTCATTTGTAAGGAGCAGTCGCCCCCTGCTGTTTCGCATGTTCGCTCTCCTCGTGTGAGGTTTCCATGACAACGCTGGAAGGACAATTCTGTTGAGGAAATAAATTTAGCATCCGCCTTTTGGTTGTTTAGAAGATACTGAAAGGGGGGGTGCATAATTATGAGACAAAATCAAGAGGCTATTAAATATAATTGCACTCATTAAACCAAATCACCAACAACAACGGGATAAATACCTGGAAAATATGTCGTTTTCAACAGAATTAATGGCTGCTTTAAGATTAATTTTGAAACAGAACAGAGTCACCTCTACACACAAGCGGGGTCGAGGTGCATGCCAGACCCACTTTACATGTTTTTGTGGTAGGGGAAACCAGAGCACCTGGAGGAAACCTACCCAGACATGGGTAGAACATGCAAACTCTACACAGAAAGGCCAATATGCATGGTCCAGTAAGAGTACTGCATTCATTGTCCTGCACTTGTGTCCTTGTTGTAGAAAGTAATAAATGATTATTTTAAGCATAAACACTTTTGTAACTAGTTACTCCTGACTGATTATTTATTGAACAGTAAGTCGACAGGTGTTAGTGCAGGTCTCATTTGGTCAAAGTATAAATTTAAGACGTTTTAAAGACACTATATCTCATGTGTAGCGTGGGTGAGTGAGAGAGAGTCTGTGTGTTTGACCAGTATAAAGGAGCGATATGAATGTGAGGTTTTAACAAATTGTGCACGTGAAAAACTACCATACATCCATGAATGTCTGTTATTTTTGATGTAATATCATAACATCAGCCTGCCCAGGGACTACAGGTGGAAATTAGCTCTTGAGCTATAACCTGTTACAATGCATCCTTCCCTTTGAGGTTAATGTTTATTCATCTTTAATAAACTAAACTAAAATAAAACTTAAAAGTTTGATTTCCTTGACCCTAAACAATATCATATCTTTCCTCAATTATTCATTCACAAAATTAAACAACAAATCCAATGCTCATTTTTCATTAAACTTTTATTCATATTGTGAGAGTGCTCATACATATTTTGTTTCTATAAAATATATCAACCTTTCAGTTACTGAAAGTTAAACTAGATATAAACAATCATTTTCAAGAGTCTTTTGAAGGCAGTCAACTACCAGCAGTCAAAAATGCATTGCAGAGTTACAAATCACATTCTAGTTATAAATACCTTTTTTTCAGTTCAGCACTGGGCTCATTCACACACACAAACACAATGAACATTTTTAAGGTTTTTTAAATTTGCAAACACAGAAGCCACGAAAGTTTCAGCAGAGAAAGCGTGGACAGTACAAAGAAGTGAGATGGGGACATGGACGTGTGGGATTATTTTTATTTTCCCCTTTGTATTTGAAGTACTCCACAGCTGTCATGGCAACGCTCCAACTAGACGACGTAAAGATCATCACAACAGCTCACCGGGGCCGGGCGGCGAGTTGAAACTGTCTGTAAAGTGAAGATATATCAAATATAAGACATCGATAACTGTGCGTGGGTTGTTTCTTTGGATCAGAAAGATCAGCCACAACACATTAGACACCAGTGCTTTTCAAAGGGTGAGGACAGAAGCAAATTTGATTTTTAAAGATATTCTATCCATTCCCTTCTTATTCTCCCACTCAAAGTTGTTTCCTTAGTGAGTCGTGGAAAAGTAAGTGAATAAGTACTATTCCTTCATTTGCAGTTAAAGCTGGGGTACCTAACGTTTTCCACGTTAATACATTTTGTTTCTCCCAACCGAAAGATCAAATCTGACCACATAATTCTGCATTCATCACATTACAAAGCATTGTGTCTTTTGCATTCTAGAAAGAGCTCTTCGAGACACTATTTGACGCTTTGGGCTGGGAGCTAATCGGCCTGAGTGAAGGTGGTCCTTTCTATTTCACTTTTCTGTCTGTAAAAGCTGATTTTAAGATTTGAGTAACACTTCATGCGGGCATTTTGGCACGGTTGATTAAACAAAGATGCCACAAGTTATCTGTATGTTCTACTCAGCATTCAGTAGTGATAATGACAGTACTGAACAGGGGCTGTCACAAATCAATATCACATTTTGTACGGAGCTCTGCTGACTCGCTGCTTTTTTCCGATTTAAATCAGTATTCAGAACAATCCTTGCCTGACCAAAAGTGTGATTGTTCTATTTCACTGCATAACACATAATAATAATACACATTTGAGTGGGACAATGATCAAATATCCCCTTTACCAGTGTATCTTGTCTTTTCTTTTTTTACAAGGGATGAGACAAACACAAACAGCACAAACATAAATAGAACAGAGAGACTTGTACCAGACAGTTCCAGGGACTTATTTCTGTTTTGGGGAAGTCTAGGTTTTTTCACTGGGGGTTTGCGATTTGGGGGCTTCTCATTGCTATTGGGGCTTTCCCTGTCAGGGCCTGAGGTCAGTGAGGACAAAACAACAGTTAGATACAGACTTTACACACAGAGCCACGTGTGCAGATGTTACATGGAGATACCTGTGTCACAGGACATGGCCTTCCTGCTTCTTTGTGGTTTGACTGGTGCCTGAGGTCTGAGTCCTTCATCTCCTGCACACAGTCAGCATATCATCAGCTTTGAAATATCATGTATTATTTACATGTTAGGAGCAATCCGCAGCAGCCAGAGATGGACAAATGCTCTTTTCAAACTCCACGTCACACATAGACTTCTGGTGGCAAGGGGCATTAGCTAACAGTACATGCATTTAAAAGACATTTGCAGAAGTGGATATTTTTGTAATGAAAATTAGAGCAAAAACAACTTTACATGATTAAAACTTCAAGGTTACATGATTTAAACCTTTAAATGTTGCTTTTGATCTGTCTTATATGTATTTGTACATATTCAAATCATTATTTACAATAATTAATATTTATTACTAAAAGCCAACATGAAAGTCTTACAGAAGACACAGGCTTGTGTGCTTTGGTGTAATAAACAGTAGAAAGTAGAAAAAAAAAAATTAAGACAATTAAAAAAACCATTAAAAAGAACTAAATAAACTAAATACAAATAAGGCCAGTAAAACTTTACAGAGGGTACAGAACCCAGAAGAACTGCGGGACTCAATCAGGGAGATGAGTAATATGAAAGCAGTAGCTATGGGCAATAAGAGTGCAAAAGCAAATTAACTAATTTGTACGTGAATTGAGGCTGATAATTCTGGTGTTTATCATGATGTTAAGGATCTATTATGTGATTATTTTCATAGAATAATTAATTATTTAGACACTGTTGTCAATGTGCAAGAAAATCCTATGAATAAAGCCACAGGAGCTGATAGGATATCTGTCAGATTAAAATCATGGGCCTTGTGTGGAACAGCTCTTCCAGCTGTTATTGGTTAAACATCAGGTGCCAGTAATATGAGAAAATCTATTATAGTTCAGCTGTACCTAAACAGACATATCCCTTTGAGAGTAATGACTCCAGGCCAGTCGCCTTCACCTGGAACATCGTGAAAGCAGTGGGGAGAGTTCTAACTGCTGAGCTCCGACAAGCAGAGCATCAATTACTCCATAGACATTTGCATATTAAAAAAAGAGACAGATGTGGGTTTGAAATTAGTAATAGTGGTTGAGTTGTATTTTATAAATGTAGTGTTAGTATTCCCTGACAGTAGTTCAGCATTTAATACACTATACATTGGATAGTTTATGGAAAACGATAATAATAATAATAATATCAAGGTAAACGTATGCATGTGGCTGATCAAGCGGTATCGTTGATCTTTGACCAAATGAAGTCACAGCTCGCTCTGACATCAGCGAACATACATCTGGAATAGACCTCTTCACAAGACTATAAGTAATGTGAATGTAAACGAGACAAAAGGAATGATTGTGAATGCTCCGTCAATAGGGGATTATAGAGGTCTTCATTCATGGACAAGGCAGGTTCCATCATACTTGTACTTTATTGTGCTAGATCTACTATACTTTACTATGCTAAAGTCAGGGATGTTCAATTTCTTGCAGTTTTATCATGCTAAAGTCTGAGATTTTATACTTGCTTCTTTATTATGCTAAAGTTAGAGATTTTTAGTACACTTATTTATCTTGTTTTGTGTGCTCCTCTGTAACTGGTGACACAACACTGAAATTTCCCCACTGTGGAAGGAATGAAGGATCTCTTAATCTACCTTGTTGATGGACAATGAACTGCTCTGATTGTCCTCAGAGACACAACTTACATCCTCCACTCTCACAAACTGATGCAGTCTGGAAGGAACAGGTTTAAAGACTGCACTTTATAAAACTCCATCTCTTCTTCTGCGAGCTGTCCTGCTCCATCCAGGGGCTACACCACCGCTGCTACTGTGACCCGTCCTGCTCCATCCAGGGGGGCTACTCCACCTCTGCTACTGTGACCCGTCCTGCTCCATCCAGGGGCTACACCACCTCTGCTACTGTGACCCGTCCTGCTCCATCCAGGGGGGCTACACCACCGCTGCTACTGTGACCCGTCCTGCTCCATCCAGGGGGGCTACTCCACCTCTGCTACTGTGACCCGTCCTGCTCCACCCAGAGGCTACACCACCTCTGCTACTGTGACCCGTCCTGCTCCACCCAGAGGCTACACCACCTCTGTTACTGTGACCCGTCCTGCTCCACCCAGAGGCCACACCACCTCTTTTGTTGTGACCTGAAGTGCTGTTGCTGATTATTACTATTTTTTAACTTTTTAGAATGATCAATTTTATTTTTTATTTTTTCTGCTACTGGACACCTGAATTTCTCCTACGGGGATCCATTAAGTATCTATCTATGTATGTATCTGTCTAAATAATGTGTCAAATGTTGAAACTTTGGTGAAACTATGGCAAATACTGTTGCTTGATAATGTATTTATATGTATATATTTGCATGTGTATGTACTGTAAGCGCTGTAGGCAACATAAGAATGTACAGAAGTATCTCCATAAACTAATGAATGTAAATATTATGAATACTTATGAATGTACAATTTTTGCCCAAATGAAGGAATGAAACCAAATAAAATCAAATTATTTTCCGGTAACACTTTATTTACTATGTGTTCAAGAAAGATAAGAGTCCACTGGTTTTCTTGGTTGAATTGTGATGATTTACGTTTGCACCGTTATGATACATTCCGGTAAACGTCGCCCGTGTCGGCAGGTAAGCATTGATTGTATCACTGATCAAGTCAAAATCAAGAGAAATACCAAAAGCAAAGAACAGTGGGCCTGAATAATGGTGTATAATGTCTTGAACACAAAATAAACATTACTCTAAGATGCATGAATCAGCCAGAGAAAATTAGTGAGAACAAAAACAGATCTTAATTTGAGATTTTGTGTATAGTGCAATAAAAAAGTGTGTGCCAGCTTCCTGAATTTATTAGGATTAGGTTTAGGTTTTTTATGAGGTTTATAAGGTAATGAAAAGACAAAGACAATCCTAGCAATTCTACAAGTGCAGTCTCCTAATCAATATTACATGTCTTTAAACTAGGGAAAAATCAAACCTGCCTGTGTTTACCTGTAAGTCACCAGCATTATTGAAAAGGTGAGTTAAATTTTATTGCCAAACTCAAGCCTGATTAGTTTTGTTGACTCAAAGGGAACTGCTCAAAAGTCAAAAGGGAACTGCTACAATGTTTCAAAGGCACGTACTGTTCCACAATCCAAAGAAATCAAGAACAAATGGAAGAAGGAAAGAATAATAATTTAAATATACTTTCATGGAGAGAATTTGAAAGAATTGCTGCAAATTGTAGCACAACCAGCTTACTTAATTGCAGGGGGACATTTAAGTTCTGTTTTTTGTACTGGGGTTATCTTTAAGTGCTATTCTCAGGTCAAATTGACTCGCCACAGTGAATAAAAAGTACCCTGAACAAGTTTTTTGATGATTATTCCTAACTCGACCAGCCCTGGGTCATGAAGACTCCCTCTGTTGGACCCTAATTTAGATTATTTGTCTTCTATTCTAACCACTGTGGCAGGCCATTATTTTACAGAGAGTAGCACAAGGGATTTACAGTAAAAATGCTTCTATGATCATCAGATATTTTCAGGTTTTTTTCTTTCTTAATTTCTCAAACACATACAAATGATTACTCGTGAACAATGACTGAAAGGGGTTGATATGCAAAGTAGATGATTTCATAGTGATGGCAAAAACATTTCACTGCAATATTGGCACAATTTAAAATGCCAAAATTAGCCACAGGAGGACGACAAAAAAACAACCTACAATTTTAAAGGCAAACCAGACAACATGCTGCATCAAAGTTTTACATAAAAAAATTCAGCTGTGATTTTATTCATCGGTAATGTTGACCTTGCGTGCGTGATAGTGTTTGGAGAAGTTACCCTGGCTGGCTGCTCTGTCTGGTAATCCATGTGTGGGTTTGTGGCCAGGGGGAGGCGCAGGAGGCGGGGGTAAGCTCCTGTCAAAGGCTGAGTCTTTAGAAAAACTCGCATATGCTGACGTCTTTGGCTGTCAAGAGAAGAAAGGAGACGCGATTACAACTCTATGCGCTGTAGATTTAAGGTATTACGAAAACACGCAGTTGTAAAATGAGATTAACCTACACAGAAGGGAGATGTTTTCATTTCCAGACAGAGAAAACAAACCAAGTGATCGTACCTTTTCAGGAATCGGTGGAGGGTGACTCTCTGAATCTTTTCTCTTATCTCTTTCCCTCTTTTCTGTCCTGGCCGGGTCTCTCTGATTCTCAACCTCTTCCTCTGCAGGTAATATACACATGATGTGTTTTAGGAACAAATAAGTGTTTGTGACAAAAAAGAAGTGGAGTGGTGAGTGGGCCGAACAGGGACAATGCAGTCTAACATAATTACAGCAAAAGATGCGATTTAAAAAAGGTAATACTATGTGGAATCCCCAGCTCCAGATTTTTTTTCCAATTATGTTGCTTCATCCACTTTCTCACATAACATGATGCTGCCACCCCCATTTTTGACACTGGGGATGGTGCACAAGGGTTAGTGATCCGCAGTGTTAATATTGCGCCATACATAACTTTTTATTTATTTTGGGCCAAAGAAGTCTAATTTATTTACTGCTTGTCCATATAACTAATTTGGAGCTCGTACTTTTGTTTTGAAAACTGAAAACCACTCTGTCCATAAGGATTCGTCCTAGCTTGCATCAACATGGCATGGCATGATTCCGAATGTTTTGAACATACTAGGTAACGTGTGGTATAATATGCTCTTTAAGATTAGTGCTGTGATACAGAATGTCATATGCACTTTTAATATAATATATAAAGGAGCAGTTTGTAAAAGCCTGGCCAAAAGTGGTACTGCAACCTCTCCCACTCTCCCTGACTCAGGTTGCCAGATATGCAGACAAATCCAGCTGGGACCATAATATTTGAATAGACAAGAGTTCTGTCAACAAAAAAACTATAACCAACACCTTTTTCACAAGAGCCCCAATAGTAATCCTCGTTTTTTTCCTTGTTTTGTCATTAATGATTTGAGAATCATAACGAGACATTTTTTAGATCTGCGGCCACATGTTACTTTACTAGTGAGATTTGTTCTGGCAACCCGGATCACGGACTTTCTGGAGGGCGAGACATCGAAATGAAAACAATAACAATAAGATTTAGGGGCTGTAAAACTATTTAAATATCTCGGCTGAACTACTGTTATCTGTTAAAGAAGTATTCAAAAAGAGTATGTTTTATTAATACCATTTGACATATTAGGGCCATTTAAGGATGACTTGATATGACAATCTTACACATTGCTACTTAAAAAGAAAAATTAAATCACACATTTGCACACTTGAAAGGGGTCTCATATAACCTGCTCAAGTTATAATATTGTGAAATTGTTTGTATATGGAATAGACCTTATTCTCCCTGTAGAACATTAAATTCATAAAGCATCCAACTCAATATACTTACTCAAAAATGCTTCACCTGTCATTAATCTACTCCAATATAAGATGATGATATATAAATGAATATAAGTAAGTTCTGTACCTGGCATGGCGTCTGCACTCTCCAGGCGCGACCTCTGTCTCAGCTTGGCCAGGTTTGGTTTGCTGCTCTGTGGTGGTGGTTCCGGTTTGGGGACCTTAGGGCCTGCTCCTCCTCCGGTGCTGCTCCTCCACACCTCCACCTGCCCCCCTCCTCCGCCGGGACACACCACTCTGTCCTGGGGCCCGTGGAAACAGTCTGGCGATATCTGCTCTGCGTCCTTGGGGGAAGGCGTGCGGTCAGAGGGGTACGGGGGCAGTGGTCTCTGAGCCAAGTTGAGCGTTTGCACCGGTCGCTCTGTTCTGTGCTCGGACCAGGACCTGTCTATGGGCCGGCCGCTCGCTCCAAACTGCCTCTCCAACTTGCGGTCAATCTGGCGTTGCGTGTGCCGGTCCACGGTCCACTGTCGCTCAATGGCTCGGTCCAGGTGCCTTTCAGTCCAGAGTCGGTCCACAGTTTTGCCGTCTCCAGAATCCTCCTGGGTCCGGTCTTCGTACCATTGTCTGTCGTGGGTTTTGTCAGACTGTAGCACCACATCTGAGGTTCTCTGCTTGTCATTAGCCCAGTACTTATCCATATCGTCCAAAGGTTCAAAAACCGAATCAGACTCAGATTTCTGAAGCTAAAACCAAAGAACACAAAAGCACAGGTGGAACAGGAGTCAAAACGTGTTAGTATTAATTATTTAATTTACATCATAGAAGTAGTCAACTAAGAAGTAGGTGTTACAATCTATTGGGGAAATGCTTCTAAACAGAAAACATCTGATTGTTGTTCTTACTTTAGATTTTTGTAAAAATGGTATGGACTGCAAAATGTTTTCAGAAATTTGATGTGAAATAGACAAAAGGTGGAGCCCTGAAAGTTTATAAAAATGCCCAAAGGGTGTTTCAAAATTTCACAATATTCAAAATAAAATCTGTGTGTGATATGTCTATTTCATATCTTCAACATTTTGAATTGCCACACTCAACTTTAGCATTTCTACTAAGACAGTGTTGCACTTTGTTTTCAACAGGACAGGAATGCAGTAGTGAAAAAAAAGTTATTCAAAATGGGGCTACAGGTATAGGCTTTTTGCTATTATGCTATTAGCACGCCTAAGTCGGTTCCTATATGGCAAAAGAGAATCAGAATTGCATTTATTGCCATCGTGAGTAACAGGAAGTCACAAATGAAGAAATTGCTTTGGCTCTCTGTGAAAACCATGGATATATTATAATACCTGGATAGGGTGTTACTAGCTTATAGCTGTCCCACCAATGGTCACAATGGGCGCCCGCGGTACTGCAGACTACATTTTCTCTGGGTAGCCCACGTGAATTTAAACTAAAACAGCTCGACCTCAGCTGACAGAGAACCTACAGTTTCAGACTTTGTGGGGATTTTAGTGTCCACTTTTTTTCTTAAATCCTTCAGTTTTCTATAAATCCACACTTTAATGCAACAAACTCTGCTCGTTTGGCTTCCACTCTAATTCTGCCCTGATCAGCAACTCTGATTGGTCAAAACGCGGCCGAGCACCTCTGTGCACGTGCATGAGAGCCACATGCATGTATTTAGCGCAAAGCATTATGGGAGGTTGTCTTCTGCGCAGAACCGACCGGCCGAAACCTTCTGTGCACGTGCATGGGAGCCACATGCGTGTATTTGGCGCAAAGCATTATGGGAGGAAACCGGGAGGAAGACAAGGCCCAAATATGGGCGAGTTCTGCTAATCTTTTGGTGCCCATGGTTGTCCCATGCCCTACTGAGCACCAGCCATTGATTTGAATAGGACGCCATCTTGGATCACCGGGGCTTGGTGCAAACAAGTAATAAAAGTAAAAATAGAAGCATGCATCACAAATCTTCATCAAATTTCTTAAAATTACCACTATATACTATTCCACTAAGTACAATAGACGTTTAGTAGTGCACTATTTAGCACTTACTGTACCTCTCTGGATGAGTAGAAGGGGTGTTTACTGCCCCCTGCTGGATGGGGAAAGCCAGGAATTGGGGGTGGACTTAGAACAGTCGGGCTCTTTTTCTGAACGTCAGGCCCTTCCCCTGGAGACCCTACCCGCTCTCCCAACCGGGGAGGCTGAAGGAGTGTGTATACATTCTCTGTGGCTGTCCTATAAAAGAATAACACACTAGTTAGATTTACAAGATAATCTAAAGAGGACATAACTTCTGCTGTGATAATCTATGACCCTTTTGGCTCATTATTCAATATTAGTGAATTTGAAGTCTTAATATGGAGCTAAAACATGCACACTTCCACATTCAGTCCAAATGGCTTTCCAAACATTGAAAGGTGGTCACAAGAATCCTCTACATATCACAGAACCCAAAAAGATGAGCTTTTAGTGAGACAAGAAAAACAACTTTAACATGGTCAATAGCTGTGTAAAGCCATTTTGATCATATTTCATTTGTATACAGATCTATCCCATGTTAAAATAAAAGTACATTACAGTAAGCATGGACTTTGTTGCGCAATCAGGTGTACACATTTCCCAATCCGTAATGATATCTGGAGTAACAAACACTAGTTCAGATGATGAAATATTAAATTTTAACTCACAATTACTATCTTTGTGTATTATTGCACTGTATAAAATTTTCCCTGGTTATTGTAAAGTATATTATATTTTCAGTCTGAGGTTTGTTGTTGTCTTTTGTTTATCTGTATTTGACGTGTGTTGATAATCTCTCGGTCTGGTCTTAAATTCTGAGAGGGAGCCACCACCTGTTGGCTGCATCTGTGTACCCTCACTGCTACGGAAATGTGGAAGCCAACTCTACAAAGTCAGAATAAAAGCAGTTAAGGAGAATTATATGATACAGCTCTGAATAAAAGAGATTTGGTATAAAACATTGGTTAATATTTTAATCTGTGCATAAATATTTATTATAATGGTGAGTCTGATTAAGGTTTACATCTCTCTCTTAAGAGTATAATAATGTTGTTTATTTAAATCCATACTACTGTGAACTACTATCTTGACTGTGGCTCAGAGAACAGACTTTAAAGCAGCTCTGCTTATGTGCAAGTCTCTCCACGGCCTCGCACAAAAAAGCACATCGGTAATATGTTAGTGCCATATGCACCAACTCTGACTCTGAGGAGCACAGGGACTGGCCTCCTGCTGGTGCTCAGAGTCAGGACTAAACATGTAGAGGCAGCGTCTCAAATTTGTGTAGCTATAATCTGGAACATCCATCCATCCATTTTCATCCCCTTATCCATTTCTGGGTGGTCGATGAGAGCACAGCCTTGATCTTTCAGCGGGGGCTTCAGGCAAATTTTGGTTAAGTGTCTTGCCCAAGGACACAATGACAGCAAACATCAGTGAGAGTCAGTGAAGAAGGTTTTGTGATGGGCTCGAAACCACAACTTTCAGACTCATAGCCAATGCTCTACCAACTGTCGCCCAGAATCTGAAATGGTCTTCATGGAAAGGTCCAATCCCGGTTTAAAACAGTTCTGTTTAGCTGTGATTTCAACTGAAGGATTGTATCTTCACTCTTTCTAATGTATCTTGTTTTGTTCAGCATTTTGAGTTGATTTGTGCACAAACTGTGCCATACAAATAAACTTGCCTTGCCTTACTGTGACCAAATCAAAATCAATGATAAATTCGAGTTGTGAGAGTGAACAGAGCAGCCAGGGAAAGACACTGATTTATAAATAAATTGCCGTCTGCAGCAGAAGTCTCTTATTTTCCCAGAACTGTATATGAATTGTAAAGTGAGAGAGTGAGCGGCAGATAATGAGGTTTTGTGCAGTGTCTCAAGGCCATGGCTCAGAGGAAAGTCATAATGATGTGTTCGCGGCTGTACAGACCCCGTGGGCCCCATGGCAACAGTGTGACACGCGTCGCCATAAAACTCTGCCTCTGCGTCCGGACCGTGGCTCGGCTGAGTTTGGCTGCGGTTTTTCCTGAAGTTGAAGATGGCCAACATATTTCTCCTCTTCTTTCTCCTGAGTGAGTGGGCTTTGTGCAGTGAGGAGAGCTGACTGAAACAAAGGGGAGGTTCATAAGATAAGATAAGATACATTTTATTGATCTCGCAATGGAAAAATGTATGCGTCACATTTGGCATGGATAGAATCAGATTGTGCAAAAAGACATGAAGTGTGTAAACATGTTAACGTTAAAAATATATTCTGTGCAGGATTTATATGTACAATATAAAAGTGGCAAAAGCAGTGCTGATTTTTCAGTCCTGTTGCAGTTCATTAGTGATTTCAATTGTTAAAGTGACTTATTGTACAGTCTGACAGCGGTGGGGATCACGTTTACATGAATTCAGATTCAGACTATTTCATTTATCCCACCAGGGGCAATTCTCTTGAGCAGCACAGGGCATAATAACCACATAAAACACAGGAAATGTCAGACAGCAAGCGATGTACTGTATGATATGAAGTGGAGCCCCACACAAACATATGGACTTTGGTGTTTGAGTTTGTAATGTTGTATTATGGAATGATAGGATATGAACTAAGCTTGTTCACTTAAATACTAGCATAGTTTTAGAATTAATCGATTTCTGCAGATTTCAAAAAAACAAAATATGATTAGATTCCCAAACCTGGCATCATAATTTTTATGTATGGAAGTCCTTCTACTGGCTAACATCGTGCACTTCTAGACACCTTTTATAAGAACATAATAAATGTTTAGTAACAAAACTTTGTGACAGTTTTTGTTGAATGAGGATTGGCCCAGGAAGACTAAAGGTCTGACTGATTGATGTGCCTGGATTTTCATGCATTTAGATATTTTAAAATCCAATGGCATCTTTTTACCTGTCTGGGAGAATTCTTTTAGTGTAGAAGTCTGGGATCCCATCATCCAGAGGGCTTATTCCTCCATTTTCACTGCAGAGCTGCACAAACGCAAATCACGATCCATTATATAGTAAGTTGATAGTAGCTATAGTTGCGTCCTTACAATCTCAGATGGCATGTGCGCTCCTTTATGCTTTCGTGGGGGCCTGGGGCGAACTCTGGTCACATGATGCAGCGGCAGGCCCTGTGTAGGTAACTCTGACAGACCCTCCCATGAGGCCGAGCGGGACAGAGAAGAGTAGGACGGAATAGAGGGGGGCGGAGAGGAGCTGGAGTCATCGCACAGACCTGTCACACACACAAACAAAACAAGACTGGAATTCTAGAAATCAACCACAGTGCTAAAGCTGGGAGACCTAATTTATTTGTGTCATCAATTATGCATACTTAGAAGCATTAAGGACTTTTATTATGCAAATCTGTATACCTGCACGAGAGCTGCGATTATGATTGGTTGTATTACTCTCCAGATTCTCCTAGTTTTCCCTCAGATGACTTTTCGCTTTTTAAATTTTCCATTCATGATAACTGATTTTGTTCTAGCAGATTTCTAGAGCTAACGGCATATATAGCCTTCTTGAAATTATTGTGTGATGTACCCTAAATATATTTTTGCAGCATCTTAGAATCAGAATAATGATGTAGAAGCAGTCTAATGGTACATTGATGGGAAATCCTCAAGTGGACATAGAGAAAGCAGTACTTACTCAGTCTCGTGGAGACAGGACGTATCCGTCTTGTTCGTGAGCTGTGCTTCTTAATGGCTATTGTGTCCTGAAAGGGAAAAACAGACTTTAGGATCAGTATTAATAGTGCACTCTGTAGAAATACACAAAGTAGACGGACCCTCTGGCTTGTAAGTGCATACTTTACAGTTAGTACAGTACTTAAGAACTCATATGAAGACAAACAATCTACAGGAAATAAAGATGAGCATTGGAAGACAAATATGCTGAAATGTATTTTAATGAATGCTTTGGGCATTGAAAACCATGCTGACGATCATGATATAGAGGCAGAAGCACAGATATTGAAAATATATATACATAATCTTTTTCATGCAATATCTCCATAGACTCATACACTTGTACTAATATGCAGTGACCATTTTTGCCTCAAGGTAAAGTATCTATCTTATTCATAATGACATTGAATTCATGTTATTTTCTTTCATTGCAGACATTTCTTGATTGTTGGTGCATACTGAACATGCAAACATCAAGGCTGGATGTATTTTCAGAAACTAAGAAATTTCATTTGCACCTTCACCAGCTCCTGCCTTCCAAGTCTTGCCTTTCCTTCAGCGCCCAGGGGATCTGCCCAAGTAGGGGCATATTTTCCAGGCTAACAATACTCAGTTTTTGTAAGAAACTGTCAATCATGTGTCCACAGTGTCAGCTCACAGCTCCAGGCGGAAACAGAGACAGACCCCAATTATTAAAACCCCCTTCTCTTCACCAACTCTGACAGTGTCCATAGACTGGGCTACTTCTGGGGGCGAGCAGTCTGGCATTGTCGAATATGTCAACTTTACTGCAAGATTAGCTTTTCTAATGGACATGGCTCATACGTCAAGTCCACTAAAGGCTACAGTTTCCTCTCAATGCGGGAAAGTGAACAGCTGTCTGATGTCACCACAGTAATCATTCAAATACTATCCTGGCACCATAAGAGAAAAAAGCAGCGTGTTATGTGGAAATCAATCATCAGCAACATTTTTAAAGCCTACAACTCAATTTTCTTCATATTGTATTTCCCACCTGGTTAATTAAACGCAAAGTCTCAATAATGCAGATTTTACAAAACAAATTGTTTGGCCATTTTTCTTCAATGGTCGCTTGGGAGTTGCGACCATAAACTGGGTCACACATGTTCTTAGTGGGTCATGAGAAAAAAGGTGAAATATTCTAAGCCCGACGTAAAAATTACGATATTAGGGATGGAAATGTTTTGGATTTCTTGTGCTTTGTGTTTTAAGTGATAGTTAAAGAGAGACCTTATGGAAAATGAAGGGTATCTTCATGTCATAATACTTCCTGAAGCTAAAGTGAACTCACGATGCTGGTGCCGAGCTCCTCGTCTGTGATGTCCAGAGAGTCTCTGTGTCTGTTGTACCTCCAGCTTGTCCCCTCCTCTCCCACCCCCTCCCAGTTCTTCAGATGGGACACCTGTCGACTCTAAACACAAACAATACACATACAGTACAAACCAAGAAAACGATTGACGGTCTAATTAATAATGCATAAACAACATTCAGGCTCTTATAATAAACCACTAATGTTTGAGCAACAAAAACAAATTGAAAATATATATTTTTTAAACTGAGACAGGTCCTTTCTTATTCCCTTTTCTGTATAAAAAAGCTGGTTCAAAGATGTGACAGAGATTAAAGAATACATGCACATGAAAACTAGTTATAGGCAAGGCAAGGCAGGTTTAATTGTATAGCACAGTCCAAGTGCTTATCATAAATAATCAGTACATTCAAAATCCATTGTCTTTGTGTGATTATATCATCAACGTGCAAGGGGCTATGTGGAAACTAACATTCCTGTATGTACATTTTGTACATGCTTTTTGTATAATTTGAACAAAAGGAACAGAAGTGATATAATTAATATAATAATATAGCATAATCAATTATCACATCAATCAATCAATCACTTTATTTATCCCCGAGGGGCAATTAAAAAGCACGGAGAGTTGCAAGTTAAATGCTTAAAAACATCAATAAAAACACATAAATACATTCACACACACATCCTGTATAAGTTCATGTTAGGAGCGTTTTAACACTGCGCTGGGGAATGACTGGTCTGAGTTCAGCAGCTGAATCACTGTTGGAACAAAAGTGGACCTTCTCCTCTGTGTCCTACATCCCACCGAGCGCAGCCTCCTCCCTGAAGGCAGCCACTCAAACACAGGGAAGAGAACATGAGCAGGGTCACCCAGAATCCTACAGGCCACTCTCATGGCCTGCTGATCACACAGGGCAGGAAGGGATCTGATTGGCAGGCCAATGATCTTAGAGCAGACATTTGCTACTCTGTTTAACTGAGCCCTGCTTTGTGCAGTGACAGAGTAAAACCAGCAAACACATGAAAAGGAAAGAACACTCTCAATAAAAGGCATGGTAGAAGGTCATCATGATGTTTGGACTGACATCAAACTCCCTTAATTTCCTTAAAAGATATTGCCTCTGATGGCATTTTTTTAGGAGCTCCTCAGTGTTACTGGAGAATTTGAGCATGTCATCAAAGATGGTCCCTAGATATTTATACTCATGAACCACCTCTACACGCTCTCCCCTGATAGCAGAAGATTCAGCCTCTGCAAGCTGTCTCTGCATGTTAGAAAAGGTCACAATCATGTCCTTAGTTTTACTAATATTGAGCTCTAAGTGGGAGTCATCGCACCATGAGATGAACTCCTGTAGAGCAGGACCATGACCCAGAGAGGGAGCAGACAGTAAGGACAGGAGAACCGTGTCATCAGCAAACTTAACCATGAACATAACATGATTGCCGTTTTAATGCTCACAAATGAATGTCTATTGGGCCAAGACATTTTATTATTTCCTCCCTTCACTGTAGTTTTTACATTTTACAGTCTTTTACGTTATAAAATGGTCAAGTTTTTTTTTTTTTCAGACCTTTAAACTCTATTATAACACTATTTACTCTGGTCCTGTGCACAGCGCATTGATTTCAGACACCTCCTCCTTAACCCACCTGAAAATCTTTTATTAAGACTAGTGTGGTGTGCATTGTTCCTGATGAAATACAAATACATTAAAATAAATAAATAAAAAAAGTCACCAGATATTAGGTCAAAATTGTTCCCTCAACGTTACCATGAGGGATACGACAGTAATGCAAGGGAGAACTGTAAATATTTACCAGTGTTTTGTGTGTGGTATAGAGCTCCTGCAGAATTTGGTCCACAATGGTGTTGGTAAGATACGAGACCACAGAGAGCTTCACTTCCCTTTGAAGCAAAAGAGCAGAGTGAGCAGGGATGAGGATTTATACGAGGGAGTGCAAATCAATGTTGCCGCTTATCAAATCCAGTGGCATTAGTGCTTACTCCAGGGCCCTGTGCACATCCTGGGCCGCTCTCTCCATCAGGGCAGAGCGGATGGAGGAGCGGGGGATGGACACGCGCTCAGAGACGGACGACAGCGAGGGGCTCAACCGCTCCGCCGCCGTGGACGATGCAGGACACAGCTCGTGGCACAGAGACACCATAGAGTCCACGATCACCTGCCAATCACAGAGGAGCGGTTAAGGCAGCATGGGAAACATTATGTCCATACTCTTTTCTCATCTGTGGAGAGGGGTTTAAAGAAGAAATATCGTGCATCATTTCGGTCATAAGGTCAATAATGGAATGTTATGCTTTGTCGATTCATGTTTTAGAAGCAGAAAATGTCAAGGGTAAAATAGTATCAAAGGTAGAGCTATCTGCAGCCATAGCCGTTCCTATGCTACCACCAGAAAGAGGAGTTTAGTTTTTTCCTCAAATTTGAAAATTACCAGCTGCAAACACAGCTATGTGATTGTGAAGAACGTAATTTCTGACGCTGAGGGTTTTACTCCCTCATCACAGTCATACGTATTTTCATGTTTTAGTGGTGGGGAAACCTGCAAACTTCACACAGAAAGGCCCCGTCTGGAGATGAAATCAAACCTAGAACCTACTTGATACACGCAAATGACATATACCAAGTCTTTGTTTGTTATAATTTCTTATTTGTATTTTCTAAAGTTATATTAGTTTAACATTGTAAGTTGAATTACATACATACCTGCAGCTCCTTGTCTGCAGCTTTGGCCAGTTCTCCTGCTAAAGAATCCAGCCTTTGCCGGACCGGCCCATCAACAGACAGCACATGCGCCAACTCGCACAGTGATGGGTACAACTAAACACAAGCCAAGCCATTAATAAAGTCACTCACACATCGCAGGAAAGCCAATTCACACTGTTCTCACCGCGCGGGAGTTTCTGGCCTCTTTCAACACTTGTTTAGCAGCGTGAAGCTCCTCCATCTCGCCAACGCCACGCAGCACACACACCTGCTGCTGCACGCGCACGCACAACCGCTCCATCACCTAGGAAACGCACACAAAGAGTTACAAGACAGAGGAATCAGGGGCCCATGGAAACAATAATGTCGATAACAATGATGGTAATGCTAATAACGGTTGTGTGACCTGTTCAGCGGTGCTCGTGACCAGGCCCTGGTGCAGCCGCAGAGCCTGTCTCTGGGAAAAGCGCTGGGTTTGGTTGTTCCTCACTAAAGCGCGCTGGATCTTGTGACACAAAATGGATTTAGATTTGATGTTAATACAAAGTGATATGATATATGGATGGATGGATAGCTTTATTACAGACTCGTAGTCCAGAACAAGACACAACACACTAGCAACAGACAACATAAAACAATAAAAGTCCCCAAATGTCTTTAGAGGAGGCAACTATACCAGTACATACTATACTATATGCACAGCGCGGAGGTAAAACAAACATGACTGTACGTTCTGCTCGACTACAATAAAATCATCACATTTGCAATAGTGTTCAGGCGACACATAAACTTGTACATTAGGTTCCTTAAGTTGGCCTGCAGTGAGTTACTTGTAAGGACACAAATAATTCAGATATAAAGGAATATACAAATATAATATTGAATGAGTGTCGGATAGACAGTGGTACAGTCCCGCCATTAGTGTTTGTGTGAAGCCATATATTGCCTAGTAAACGTCTTTTTTCTATTTTAAATTTTTTACATAATTGAGTGTGCAGTTCATTAAAGGCAACCCAGGGATTTACAGGAAATGGGGATTTTTGTTGCCAAGAAGAATTTGCAACTTTACCATCAGAGAGGTTAAATGAAGGGGCAGCATTTCAGATTCATGCAGCTAATCCGGGTTAAAAACAGTCCTGTTTAGCAGTGCATACAACTCAGGGATTTTATCTTCTCTTATTGTATAACACCAGGCAGTTATGTGCTGCAGTGTCCAAAAAGCGCTATATAAAACCGATGCATTTTGCATATAGTGAATTAATTTTTTCTCATAATATAGTGAGTGGCATACAAATATTATTTCTGACATTTTTGTTTAATCAATTTTGTGTAAATATCGTAGCGGCTGTAAATGACTTTTATGACTTAATTCTAAACTCATTACGATGTTTTCAAATCTGTCTTGATCTTTTAAAGCTGCTGTGGTGAATTGAATTACTTACTATCAAATTTTTAAAAGAATATAAAGAGCTTTTTTTTTCTCGTATATGTTTTTTGAAATGTTCTTTGGTCGATTGCACAGGCACATAGCACAGCAGGAGAACCTTTTATCTCTGTCTTCGCTCTTTGAATAAACCAGATACCATCCGTTTCAAATCTACAATGCCTTTTATTCCCTTTACTTTGCACTGAAGATGGGGCTAAATTATTATTTTTTCCTGATCAATAGTTTCCATGGTATAAAGGGATTTCCAAAGATTAACAAAACTACTATTATCTCAATCGACATTATGGCGTTTTGAGAACGCAGTTTATCCTTCCATGATTAAAGCCCTTACAGCAGATTGAAGCACAGAAAATACAATTATGCGGAGACAAATATGACTACGGCTATTCCAGTTTCATTATTTTAGTACATTTTATTTACTATTTTTGTTCATGATAAAAATGCGTTTGGCTCTTCCCAGAAGAAGACGATTAGAGCTAACTCAAACAGACTCCATGCGCAGGGATAGCACCTAGTACCAACCCAGGCCAAATTTGGGGACAGAAGGCATCTGGTTGTTCGGTTGTTAGGGGAGCTAGGATCAAATTAGAAATAGCAGCTAGAGTCAAAAGGGAAAAATAAAATGTTATGTTTTCCTTTGTTTGGAGTCTAAAACAATCTGGTGACAGACATTGCATGCATCGTAACCTTGGTTAGAGCCTGCTCTGTCCTCTCGGGGGCGCTGCGATAAGCCTGGCTGATGTCACTTAGAGGAAGAGGCATGTACTGCAGCGTGAAATTACTGAGGAGAGAGCAGAGAGAAGGCTCAGGTAGAGGAAACAGGCATGTCTCAAAGAGAACATGTCTCTTAGTAAACAAGAAAATTACTATAAAACTGACAAAAAGAAGTGGACAGAAAATATCCACTAAAATTTTATGTAAAACCAGGCCTGAATTGCAATTGTAACTTTAGCTTAGTTTATTTGAAAAGAGGACAGTTTCATGTAATAAAACACAGGATTAAAGTAAAAAGAGTAAAAAAAAAAAAAACCCTGCTAGAATTATCAAAGAGGCTGTTTTCATGTGTAGTCCCAGCATGAAATTCCCTGTCCTTGTATTCTACACGTGCCTCCACTTTTTCATCTTCACAAGCCACCCATTTTTGGCCTTAAGGTAAATCTGTACCATTTCAGATAGCAGAGTGGAAACACAATTTGGACACAATTTGCTTGGCTCATGTTACAAATTTCAGGCCACATGATACGTCTAAAATAGGCCGTAATTCTATCCCACAAATCAATATTTCTCCTCGGCACATGTTCTAGCAGAGCGTATCGATCTATACAGAAAAATAACCTCTCTTACTGTTCGAGCGCTCTGGCCACGTCGAGAAAGCCGGTTGCGGAGGTGTTGTTGCGATCCCATGTCACACTCCTGTAGGGCAAGGACATGCGATGACACTGACTTCCACACAACATTGACTGAAAAACCACATACATTATATATGGAATATATACGTATATTATATATATATATTATATATTGAATCATCAGCATTTTCTTGTGATGTGAGCAGAACAGATAGTGCATGATTTTTTTTACATAGTGCATGAATTTACAATTTGTCAGAGAACTAAACAAGACTCATTTTGGTTTTTGATTTAAAAAGTAATAGCTCCACGTTATTAAGCTCATCTTTGCATCAGTGGATTTTTTTAGAAGCATTTTTCACATCATGAAGGTATTTTGACAGAAAGATTACTTTAAATTTACCTGAGTTTGGATTTTATTTCCTGGTGAATTTTTTAGAACTAAACTATGAATGCAATACTTCATGGTTAAAGTATTGGCTTATGATCTATATTTGGAAATTATACGTTCAAATAAGAGCTATGCTGTCTGGGGCTTCATGCCCCTGGTAGGGTCTCCCATGGCAGACAGGTCTCAGGTGACGAGTCAGACGAAGAGCGGTCCGAAGACACCATGGACAGCACTAATAGAATAAACAGTGACGTCGCCCGGCATGGCACAGCCGGGGCCCCACCCTGGAGCCAGGCCTGGGGTCGGGGCTCGTATGCGAGCGCCTGGTAGCCGGGCCTTAGACAACGGGGCCCGGCCGGGCTCAGCCCGAAAGGACGACGTGGGCAGTCCCTCCTGTGGGCCCACCACCTGCAGAGGGGTCCGTGGTGGCGAAACGGTGCTGAGAGGACTGGGCAGCAGTCGAAGTGGAGACCTCAGCGACCCAGTCCGCACACACAACATCTGGCTCTTGGGACGTGGAACGTCACCTCACTGGGGGGGAAGGAGCCCGAGCTCGTGGGGGAGGTCGAGCGATACCGACTAGAGATAGTCGGCCTCACCTCCACACACAGCTTGGTCTCTGGAACCCAACTCCTTCAGAGGGGTTGGACGCTCCACTTTTCTGGTGTCTCTCGCGGGGAGAGGTGGCGAGCTGGGGTGGCCATACTCATTCTCCGGTGAATGAGAGGGTCGCGTCCCTCCGCCTTCGGGTGGGGGACAAGTCTCTCACTGTTGTGATGGCCTACGGGCCTAACAGCAGTGCAGAGTACCCTGCCTTCTTGGAGTCCTTGGGAGGTGTACTGGACGGTGCACCGCCCGGGGACTCCGTTATTCTCCTGGGGGACTTCAACGCCCATGTGGGAAATGCCAGTGACACTTGGAGAGGGGTGATCGGGATGAACGGCCCCGCTGATCTGAACCCGAGCGGTGTTCAGTTGTTGGACTTCTGTGCTAGTCACGGCCTGTCCATCACGAACACCATGTTTGAGCACAAGGGTGTCCACCAGTGCACGTGGCACCAGGACACCCTAGGCCGGAGGTCGATGATCGACTTTGTTGTTGTATCATCTGACCTTTGACCGCGTGTCTCGGACACTCGGGTGAAGAGAGGGGCGGAGCTGTCAACCGATCACCACCTGGTTGTGAGTTGGATCCGCTGGCAGGGGAGGAAGCCGGTCAGACCTGGCCGGCCCAAGCGTATAGTGAGGGTCTGCTGGGAACGTCTCGCTGAGCCCCCTGTCAGACGGACTTTCAACTCACACCTCCGGGAGAGCTTCTCCCAGGTCCCGGTGGAGGAGGGGGACATTGAGTCTGGGTGGACCATGTTCTCTTCCTCTATCGCCAATGCGGCAGCTCGTAGCTGTGGTCACAAGGTCTCTGGTGCTGGTCCCGGCGGCAACCCCCGAACCCGGTGGTGGACACCGGCAGTAAGAGATGCCGTCAGGCTGAAGAAGGAGTCCTATCGAGCCATGATGGTTCGGGGGACTCCTGAGGCAGCTGTCCAGTACCGGAAGGCCAAGCGTGCCGCGGCCCGGGTTGTTGCAGAGGCAAAAACCCGGGTCTGGGAGGAGTTTGGAGAGTCCATGGAGCATGACTATCGGTCGGCCTCAAAGAGATTCTGGCAAACCGTCCGGCGCCTCAGGAGGGGGAAGCAGTGCTTTGCCAACACCATGTGTGGTGCGGGTGGAGAGCTGCTGACCTCGACTGTGGATATTGTCGGGCGGTGGAAGGAATACTTTGAGGTTCTCCTCAACCCCCCCATCACGTCCTCCGTCCCGGAGGCAGAGGCTGAAGATGTTGGGGCGGATACTTCCATCTCCCTGGCAGAGGTCACCAAGGTGGTTGGCAGCCTCCTTGGTAGCAAGGCGCCGGGAGTGGATGAGATCCGTCCATCTGTTCTGGATGCCTCCTGGACGCCTCTCTGGGGAAGTGTTCCGGGCCCCGGGGGAAGACCTAGGACACGCTGGAGGGACTATGTCTCTCAGCTGGCCTGGGAACGCCTTGGGGTCCCCCCGGACGAGCTGGAGGAAGTGTGTGTGGATATGGAGGTCTGGGCGTCTCTGCTTAGACTGCTGCCCCTGCGACCCGGCAAAAAATACATTAAATCAGTGTTTTTCAACCTTTTTTGAGCCAAGGCACACTTTTTTCACTGAAAAAATCTTGCGGCACACCTCCAGGAGAAAATGTAAAAATGTATACAGTACTAATGTAAAAAAATATATACTGTACATACTCTGTGTGATATATAAAGTTTATCTTATCTTATAATGTATACAGTATACTCTGTAGCCTATATTCACAATATACAGTTATTCTCATCAAAATGCTTAAGTCCAGGCCTTGACATTAAGCTTTATTTAATATTTCTCGATACAATTAACAAGAGTTTGGGAATAAAGTGGCACTAATTGTGTGGAAAAAAACTAAGAAAATCCACTCTCTGCCCAAATAGTCAAATAATAACTCACACAAAGAACATGCATTGTTAGTGCATGGGAAAAATTTAGGTATCCGAGCTTTAAATTCAGGAGTTTTGGATGAGGGACACGGGAGGTCCTGAACGCGAGTCCATGGTTCTGTCCGGTCCGCATGTCTGTGGTTCTGTCCACTCGACTATGGTCTGCGCTCGGTACCCAGTTCAGAAGTGCGTTCGCGAGAGCTGTTGTGCAAAAATTGTACATTTCATAGTTAAACCACTACAACGCGGCCACAGCTGCCCCGGGGCAGAGCGGAGGATGTTAATCCTGTTCAGAAACGGCATAATTCATTTTCAAAAACGTCTCTATCACTTTCACTTCTCACTCGCCACAAAGCTCTTGTCTCGCTCCCTCCCACATTTGTTGGTCGCATCCAATTTTACCTTTCTCGCCACAATGCTGACCTGTAGCCAGTGGTCGCATCCAATTTTTCAGTTTCAAAGTACTTAGCTATCTGCTGCCATCTACTGATTTGAAAAAGTATTACATGGTTACTCCACAGTTCAAAACAAGTCACCGCTCGTCAACAGCGAATGCAGTTATTTTTAGACAAAGTAGACGAATTTCTCACGGCACACCAGACAATATCATACGGCACACTAGTGTGCCGCGGCACAGTGGTTGAAAAACACTGCATTAAATGGTTGTTTTATTGAGGACATTTTCTTTGAAATTATGTATAACAGGTCATGGTCGCTCATTTTAATCTTACCATCAATGCTACAAGTTAATAGTCACATTTCCAGAGATCATTAACAATGGTCTTACAGGCCACATTTGGCCCACAGGCCATGTGTTTGGCACCTGTGCATAAACTAAGCCATTATTTAGGGCAGGGGTCTCAACCAACAGAAGGAAGAAAGAGAAAGAGACCCACATGATTAAGATATACAGTAAGATAAGAAAAAGCACCAATGCATGTTAGCTGCAAGGTCTTCATCAGGCTTCAACTTAAAGCCACCAAAGCCACTGCCACCTGCAGCTGTATTCTTTTGTGGAGCATAGTTTTCATTACATTCAAAGACTAATATTGAAATTGATAATAAGAAGGGGTTAAAATATGTCAATAAATCAAGATTATACTGCAGATTATTTATGAACAATATTATATTGTATTGTTCATTTCAATGTAAATTGTGATTTAAATTAAAATGTCCCAATTTCACCAATATATTCTACAAATAGGAGAGATCAAAGTCCTCAATGAGGCCAGGATACTCTGTGGCTTTTAGTGCATGGATCCAGTGGGCCTCCCTTCGTTTCAGACGCTGTAATTTGCCTCTGGCTTCTATTGTGCAGACTTCAATGCCTGAGACTTTGAGAGTGGAGTCATTTGAGTGGAGAGCCGCCTCTATGTCTCACCATTGGATGGTTCTGACTGTTTGAGCCTAACATCTGTGCTTTGCTCTTCCTCCTAGTTTAAACATAATCAACATTTAGAATCAACAATCAAAAAGAGCAATAATAAATAATCTTGATCATAAATTTTATATAAAGCGCAGAATAAGAAGTCTTTGAATGTACAAACTAAAACTATATGACCCCGGTTCCTTCCTTCTCCTTCCTCTGCACAAGTGAATGCAGTGGCTGTAAATTGAATCCTACCTCTACCTGTTCGAATTCAATCTAATAAAGTGATGAATAATTGCCTGTTGTGAAACATAAGTAAAGCAGCTTGTTTATACCTCAGAGTGGTGTTGATTTGTAAGGCTTTGCTCAACATCTTGGCTCCGATGTCATCCATGTTGTTCCCACTGAGGTCCACTTTCCTCAGACACGTGTTGCTGCCGAGAGCGTTAACCAGAACCGTGCCGCGAGATCGAAGCCTGGAGTCCGTGAGGGACAGAGTCTGCAGGGCCTGTTTGGGGAGACAACTTTACAATCATTAAGATCAAAGAAGTACATGCAGAGTAGACTAAAACAGATTGCAACTTTCTCTGTCAAGGTCCAGTACCCACTAGTTGCCATGGAGATATTTATTATCTAAGAATGTATAAGAGTGGTATAAAACTTTCACATTTGTTTATTTTAAAAATTCTTACATTGGGTCGACTGTCTACAGATATGACCTATAATTGAGCATAATGAAGTCCCTTGACTGGCCCCAAAGGGGATGGAAACCTTTTTACAAGCATATCCAAATCAAGGCCTGCGGGCCAAATGCGGCCCAATGTTTCATTTTATGTGGCCCTCTGCCTTGCTAATACAAACAATCCATTGAGGCACTTTTACAGAGTCATCCAGCCAACTTCAGCTCCACCAAAATAGTCATGCTGCACCTCGTTATAAAACACTGAACCTTTGCAATTCAGCAAGTCACTTTATTTGTATATACTTTCATTTGTTTCCAATTGTGTCCCAAAATGGCACCAGTGCAGAAGTGGTTTTAATGAATATGAGCATATTTTAAAGCCCAAAGCCCTGCCTGCCTTTCTAAGAAATAATGCCTTAGTAAGAAATAATTATACCCCTGCCTGATACCCCTGCCTTAGTAAGAAATAATTTGTAAATAATTTGGGTCTTTTAAAACAGGATTTAACATAATTACTTGCAGGGGATGAGAAAATAAAATGATTCTTATGAATAAATATCAGCATATCACGAACAAGTGTCTTTGTTTGTTGGGTATAACATTATTGTAGATACACTTTATTTTTTTCTATTCAGAGAGACATTCATAATGTGAATCTTGAGGCCATGCACAAAAGTTTTTTGTCAAAATGTGAGCTATTTAAATGAAATTGAGGCCGGGGGAATACAGATAGAGTGCCGTGTTGAGAGCGGGGACAGAGCAGCCGAAGGGGAAAGCTAAGATTTACTCTTCTCCCATGTCCCGGATCACTCGTGGCTTTACATGCTGTTTACATGAATTATTTACATTGTGTGAGTGATGTGATATGGACACTATGCCTGTGAGGAAGAGAGCAATGTCTGTGATACATCTAACAAAAAACATGCAAGAAAAGAGGCTTTGAGGATGTGCAATATTTACTGTCAAGACTGACCATCAATATTTAATTCTATTTTTTTTTTTTTTACACTGAAGGGGCATCTCTTATTAAGTATGTTCTGCTCCTGCTTAACCTTCACCAGTTTTTCTATCATTGTAGCTGCAAGTCTATAGATATCTATAGATAATGTAACAAGCACTACGTAGTCAAATCCATGTAACAAGTTCCTCTCTAGTTTTAGCATGCATGTATTCTGTCATAAAATCTGCTTTTTCAGACAAAGAGAGGAAGAGTACCAGCTCTCAGCATATAAAAGAAACATATTTCTTAATCAGATAATGGCAGCATGTTGTGGTCTGATGTGATTTAAGTGACCTAAAAACACTGTATGAAAACCAATGCTATTATTATATTATTTAAGATACAAAATGTACTCAAACCAAAATTATATTGCGTGATTCCAGTAAATATGAACTTATTTTTTAGCCAGTTTTGCTTTTATCTCTAGGGTGGGAGAATGCACTTTACTCAGAATACGTATTTGATGGCGTGGTACCAGAAACATTTGAATAATAAAAGTGATATGTTCCCTGCTGTGAGATGAATAAAGGTTCTCTCATCTTATATACAGAGGAGCTACTCACACAGTCCTCTTCTTGTATGAGCTGCACTAACTTCTGAAGCACTTCATCCAGCAGCCTATGCACACAAACACAGAGATTGAGCCGGTCACTTCCTGCTGTTTCCTCCGACCCACCACACAAACACATGTTGAGCTTTATGCATTTGCTGTTTCTCTGAAGAACACACATATTTCCTGCAGGGGAAGTGAAGCACAGCCCAGAAATATAAAAACGCACAGCACCTGTTTTTGATGTTGAAGTTTTTGCCCAGATGGAGGTGTTTGAGTGAGGGGTGTCTGGAGAGAGCAGGAAGCAGCGTGAGCAAGTCTGCATCCAGACCTGTCAACCACAGAAAAGTGTGAGGCAAAAAAGCACTGAGGCGATCAGTGGGCAAATATAAGAATTAGATTTAAGGCTTCAGTTTATGACTTTTGGAAAGTATAAAAAAAAGATCACAGGATGGGTATCACAAGATTGTAGTTGAAAATTCTGGTCAAGTTCAGCTGAAAAGTCAAAAGTCAGTTTAGGTTTTTCAACACTTCCTCTGCAATTCCTGGGTCAATCCACAAGAAACAAAAATGGTCACAATGCTCCATGTCTTCTAGGTGTCTAGAAGCGGTGGTTTTATTCAAAAAATACATGCATGATGTTGGCCAGTACACATGGCTTTCTGAGTTTGGGAATCTAATCAGTGACTTTGTATTATCATGACTGTTTTTATTGTTTATTATGCTGACTGTGCAGCACTTTGTAAACATTGTTTTTGAAAAGTGCACAGACAAAATGTCCACGGAGGCCACAAGGAAACGTCAATCAGGCCGAAGGTGGCCCCCAGGCCGCACTTTGCTCAGGTCTGCTGTACACTGTTGGTGTAATATAAGCTCTTTTTCTTATCATGAGCTGCAGCTGTTGGATTGATTTATGATCCAAGTACATCTTCCTTTACTCTTTAGTGATAAATCAGCGACCTTTTCTTTTTAATTTCCTTCAAAAATGGGTAGTTGTAATGACACACGCCCTTGAACTGCAACGGCATTCTACAACATGAACGCAATTGTCTAAAATCAAAGTTGAAACTCAAAGCAGTGTAAATAGATTGTTTTTTTGAAAATGCCAAAATATGTAATAGGCTTCACTCGCTAAAGCTTCCACACTTTCTCATACATTTTTCACATCCCATCCTCATTTCAGTACATTTTGTCTTTACATAAATTATTCCAATAGGACAATTTGTTTTTGTTCTTTTAGATGCTTTGACAATTTTTTTTAGACAAAGTGAAATAATCTGAGAACCCATGGCTATTCCTGTACGTATTGTATGGTGTGGACGATTATTGAAGAGAATGCTTACTGTTGTCTGAGATATCAAGAGTAGCGACGGAGGAAACCCGGGGGAACAGCTCCTGGATCACAGTGGTGCCTGCAGACCTGAGCTGAGAGAGAAACAGACAGAATAGGAAATAATGTGCCATGAATCACACATATTTCAGGCTACGTCTATGGAGATTTGTTCCATTTTTCTAAACAAAGGGAAAACGTATTCATGAGGCTTGCACAGGAAGATGTGGGATGCTTCACACACATTATGTCCATACTCCTGTGTTTTATCTTAGGGGCCTTCTAGAAAATGTGGAGTCGAATGATGCTCATATCAATTAAATGTTGTAATATTTTTGTTGAATTTTATTTCTTATTAAGGACAACAAAACATCCAACATGAACACAAAAGACAACACTGAATTAATAGAAAAAAATACACAGAAAATACAAGAAATACAATCCCCATTCATGACAAGACAAAAACAAAAGATAATATCAAAAAGAATACACAGCTTACATGTGCATAAACCCATTTTCGCAAAAAAAAAAAAAAATACACCTCAATTCCTTATTTATCGCTTTCTTTCTTTTCTTTGTATAATACATATATAGGCAAGGCAAGGCAAGGCAAGGCAAGTTTATTTGTATAGCACAATTCATACACAAGGCAACTCAAAGTGCTGAACAAAAAAAGAAAGCATTAAAATCATAAATAATCACAGAACATTAAAAAGAAAGATAAAAATATAAAATCCCTCACTTGTATGCACAGCCAAACAGAACTGTTTAAACCTGGTTTTAAACATTGTCAGAGAGGAGGCCTGTCTCACATCTTCAGGAAGATTGTTCCAGATTTTAGCAGCATGAATCTGAAAAGCAGCCTCCCCATGTTTAGTTCTGACTCTGGGCACTAACAGGAGTCCAGTCCCTGTGCTCCTCAGAGTCCGGGCTGGTTCATATGGGACTAACATGTCACTAATATATTTTGGTGCGAGGCCAAGGAGAGACTTGTACACAAGCAAAGCTGTTTTAAAGTCTATTCTCTGAGCCACAGGAAGCCAATGCAGAGACCTGAGGACCGGACTAATGTGGTCGTTCTTCCTGGTTCTAGTCAGGACTCGAGCTGCTGCATTTTGAATGTACTGCAGCTGTTTTACAGCCTGTTTGGACAGACCTGTGAGCAGGCCATTGCAGTAGTCTAACCTACTGAGACAAATGCATGGATAAGAATCTCCAAGTCTGCTTTAGACACTATGTTTTTGATCCTGGCAATGTTTTTTAGATGGCAAAAAGCTGCTGATTTGATGTGGCTATTAAAATTTAAGTCTGAGTCCAGTATTACCCCTAGATTTCTGACCTTGTTTGAAGGTTTAAGGGAGAGAGACTGTAGGTGACAGATGACGCTCTCTCTTTGTTTCTGGGGACCAAAGACAATCATTTCAGTTTTGTCTGCGTTTAGCTGAAGGAAGTTGTTTTGCATCCACTCACTGATCTGTTGGATACAGTGAAGGAGTGAGTCCACTGGTCCATGTTCTCCTGCAGTCAGTGAGACATAGATCTGAGTGTCGTCTGCATAGTTGTGATAGGACACTTTGTTTCTGCGTATTAACTGACCTAGCGGCAGCATGTAGAGATTGAACAGAAGAGGTCCCAGGATCGACCCCTGTGGGACTCCACAGGTCAGGGCCATATGATCTGAGACACAGTTTCCAATCTCCACAAAGTACTTCCTGTCTTCAAGGTAAGACCTAAACCAACTTAGGGCGGTGCCAGCGACGCCAACCCAGTCCTCTAGTCTTTGTAAGAGGATCTCATGGTCGACAGTGTCAAAGGCAGCACTCAGATCTAACAGGATTAGGATTGAGACTTTGCCTGCGTCAGTGTTTAGCCGGATATCGTCTGTTACCTTAACGAGAGCAGTCTCAGTGCTGTGGTGGGGTCTAAAGCCGGACTGAAACATATCAAATGAGTTGTTGATTATAAGAAATCTATTTAGCTGTTGGTAGACAACTTTTTCAAGGACTTTCCCCATAAATGGCAGATTTGAGATGGGACGATAGTTGTTAAGTACCGTAGCATCCAGACTGCTCTTTTTTAGCAGGGGCCTGATGACTGCAGTTTTCAGGGCCTTTGGGAATATTCCAGAATTAAGGGACATGTTTACTATCTGTGTGAGTGAAGGTAACAGACTGCTCAGAACAGACTTCAGAAATCTAGTGGGTAGTACATCCAAGCTGCATGTGGAGGAGCTCAAACTGGAGATTATCTCTTGGACAGTTTGATCATTTACAGGTGCAAAGTAAGTTAGCTCAAAGAGCCTTTCTGGTTGTTGGATTGTTATCTGTGGATTGGAGACAATGGCGTTTTTGATGCCTTGAACCTTGTCATTGAAAAAATGTGCAAACTCATTACATTTACGTTTGGAAGTTAGCTCTAATGGCATCTGAACAGGGGGGTTTGTTAATCTATTAACTGTTGAAAACAGAACACGCAGATTGTTGCTGCAACCTTCAATCATTCCAGAAAAATACCTTTCTCTCGTACTACGTAGCACCTGGTTAAACTCGCACAACTTATCTTTGAAGATCTCGTAATCAACCTGGAGGTTGGACTTGCGCCACTTCCGCTCGGCCCTCCGGCACTCTCTCTTTTGTGCCCTGACCGAGTCTGCTTTAGCCCACGGCGCCTTCAGCTTATTTTTCACTATTTTAACTTTCACAGGAGCGATGGTGTCCAGATATACATACCAACATATACATATATACAGTACATACACAAACAAACATATACATTCACACATACATAATATACTATATATACATGAACATTTAAATAATATTTCAGTCAATTTTGTTCCTTCAGTTTGTACATTTTGTCACTACAACTAATATAAAGCTGTCTCAAAACTATACAAAAAATGTCTATTGAAAAACAAATGCTGGAGAACTTACCTCACAGCTGCTGATGTCCAGATGAAGGTCATTGATATGAGGATTGGAGGTTAACCCAGTTAGTAAAGCCCTGAAGGAAAACATTAAGATCAGAGAACAGGCAACCAGATGAAAGAGAGAACGCAGACTCAGCCTCACGGTGCATAACTTTACAAATGGGCTTTTCTTTTGATGAAAGAGCAGTGGAATGAGAGAAGACAATGCGAGTACCTGAGTACGTCAAGAGGCAGCTTCATGGACGACAGGCTGACGTGAGTTAAACTAAAGGCTGAGCTGAAGAACTGACGGAAAAGCGGCAACGTGTCTTTCACTCTCCTAAAATTACAGGAAACAATGTTATGGGAAACAGAAATCACCAAATCCACAGTAATATCTGCCATATGCCATGTGACCAACTCTGAGGAGCACTGGGATGGCCTCCTGCCGGGACTCTGAGGAGCACAGGGACTGGCCTTGTGTAGGGACTCTGAGGAGCACAGGGACTGGCCCTCGTGTAGGGACTCTGAGGAGCACAGGGACTGGCTCTCGTGTAGGGACTCTGAGGAGCACAGGGACTGGCCCTCGTGTAGGGACTCTGAGGAGCACAGGGACTGGCCCTCGCGTAGGGACTCTGAGGAGCACAGGGACTGGCCTCATGATGGGACTCTGAGGAGCACAGGGACTGGCCTTGTGTAGGGACTCTGAGGAGCACAGGGACTGGCCTCATGCTGGGACTCTGAGGAGCACAGGGACTGGCCTCGTGTGGGGACTCTGAGGAGCACAGGGACTGGCCTCATGCTGAGATTCTGTGGAGCACAGGGACTGGCCTCGTGTGGGTACTTTGAGGAGCACAGGGACTGGCCTCATGCTGGGACTCTGAGGAGCACAGGGACTGGCCTCGTGTGGGGACTCTGAGGAGCACAGGGACTGGCCTTGTGTGGGGACTCTGAGGAGCACAGGGACTGGCCTCGTGTGGGTACTTTGAGGAGCACAGGGACTGGCCTCATGATGGGACTCTGAGGAGCACAGGGACTGGCCTCCCCCTGGTGCCCAGTCAGGACTAAGCATGGGAGACAGGCTTTTACTCTGCCAATTATCAGAATGATCAGCAGCAGTGCTAACTGTGAATCTACTCTCTTGTTGATATACTGGGATTATTTATGTATATCTGTTTATGATTATAATGTGATGGTTCCCTCATCAAAAAGTTGTAGTGCCCATGATTTGGCAATTTCTCCTCAATCCAAAGGACTTCTTCAGGGAATGAATTCTCAGAACCGCGCGTTGGAGATTTATAACCTATGGGTGTGGTTAGCCACACCCTAATCCTGATACTAACTCATAAACAATCTCAGGTCTGTTTGATGTAGAAGGGAGCAGGTCTAACGAAACTGCTCGTTAACCTGCTAAGAAGTACAGATGATGGGTGAGAAACCTTCCTTTGCTTTCACAGTAAATGTAAATATTTCCCAATTCTGTGCTATAAAAATAAACTAGCCATGGCCATAATGCTTGTGCAATGTCTTTTCATTTATGTTTGCTTATTTTAAATACAGACTTAATCATATTGTACATCATAGGATTCTCGCAATGGCTTGAACTTTAGTGGATATCATTAAGTCTTTAACCAAAATGAATAAAACTTCATGTGACGATGGCAGCACACATTTCCACATAAGCCATGGAAAAACTAGAGAGAAGCTAAAGCTATTGAGATTCTGAACGCAATGAGTGAACCGCAGAGAGAAAGTTGTTGACGCATACGAATAAAGTACAAGAGCTGTGCGGATTGAGAACACCAAGTGCCAACACAATAAGAGAAATTGAATGAGTTTTTCTTGCGTTTTAGGAGACAAAGCGTCTGGAAGCGACTGGGGTCAAATGATAGATCTCTCTGCTGAAAAATGCGTGAGTCTTATCTGCGCACAGGAATCTGATTTAAAATGGAAGTCGACACATCCACACCGTGATTCCCCACAAAGCTCATTGTGATTTCCCATTAGGAGAAAGATACAGATAAGATCAGGTAAAGACAGAAAGAGAGGATGGGCCATTTTTATGATGAGGGGTATCTCAGTGGGTTCACAGTGCTGGGCTAAAGTTTAAAGCTTTAGAAAGTTGTAAAAATGTCTTCAATAGAGAACTGAATAAAAATAAATACATTAGTAATTTGTTAGGTTACTCTGATTACTATTGTATTGTAATATCAGTCCTGAGGCTAATCTCAATAACACATTTCTAATTGTATCTATTCTTACTAATTACTTTTGAATGCGCTGGAAAACAGCAGCAAGTCCTACGTAGCTTTGTAGCAGTTGTTGTTTTGTGCTTTACAAATATTATTTTTCTTACTTTTTCTACCTAAGATGCTGCTGCAGTACAGTGTTCATGGTTTTGCACTGGTCCAGACTGGCCAGAGAGGATTCATGGTCCGAACCAAGTGGATCAGATGAAAATCCACTGGAGGAATGGTAACGTTTTGAAAAATGCTTATGAAGCATTTAGCATTTCACTTTGGACTAGAGCAGAGAAAATTCTCAGAACCAAGCGGCTACTCCACCTTGTGACCCGTCCTGCTCCACCCAGAGGCTACTCCACCTCTGCTGCTGTGACCTGAAGGGCTGTTGCTGACTATTACTATTGTTAGCTTTTTTTGAATAATCAATTGTATTTTTGCTGCTATTGGACACCTGAATTTCTCCAACGGGGATCAATAAAGTATCTATCAATCTATTCTTTATTCTGTTTAAATGGTTTACTGTTGATTGTTCTATAATCAACATAGGATGTGCTCAAAAGCGTCTTGTCTTCAGCTCACTGCTTTTTATCAGAATTAATACTGTTAAAAAATAAAGCACTCAACAATTACAGCTTAATCAAAATGACCTGCATCAACATGTATGTAGTTTTTTTTATATGTATAAGAGTAGATAACAGAGAGTTTGTTACTATATTTTTACCATTGTGAGTGAACCAGTAGCACCAGAGATGCTTTAAGTATTCTTGTCAAAGGCATTTAGCCCAGCACAGTACTAAAAGTAACAAGTAGCAATACAAACCTGTGGGAGAAGGAGTTTTTGGAAAGATTGAGAAAGGAAAGATCAGCGCAGCAGCCCCTCAGCAGAGCCCCAAAGAGCTGCGTTAGACACAGGTGGACACAGTTAACCCAGCCTCACCGCACACATGCACTTTCACTAACAAACATTTGATTATCCAAGAAGGCGCTACTCACTGAGTCCACACAGCAGTCTGTTCCTGACAGATCTAAGTGGACCAGGCAGTTGGGCTGAGACAGAAACAAATACAGGCTCTGCGAACAGGACAGACACATTAGCTGACGGCAGGAAAACAGCAGATATCCCCCAACAATCAATATTTTTGAAAGACTTTGTTCCAGAGATTAAAATAATTGATATTTATATGTGTTTGTCCCAAGGAAACAGGAAAATATATTTGACCCTTTCTGACCAAGTGGAATTATTCTTAAAGGCACACCGCGGACTTTGTGACCTAAAGAGTTGACACATATGAGTTATTTTATATGAATACTTGGGCCAATATACAGCGCTTGACACTTGCAATGCTCCGAGCGGGGCTGCCCTCTTGAAATACCGCCCATGTAAGTTTCGAGCAGACGGACCGTCTGCCACCAGGTCACGTGACTTGGAAGAAAGACTTGCTTTACGGCTACAGGCGCTGGTATACTCATGGAGCTAAGGCTTTTGCTACTCATTTTTCACCTGCTCGACTCCTGGTCATGGCTGAGGCAAGGAAAAATTTTAAACCTTCGGAGGAGGCTAAAAAGAGGAAACGCGAAAGGGATCGTGCTGTAAGCTGCATGTCTGTATGAGCGCTGCTCTTCACCTGGTTCCTGGATGTCATCGACTGCAAAGATGTCATTCCACGCAGCACGAGCTAGACGCAGAACTCCCTCATCCAGGATATAGAAGTCCATGTGTGGTAGATTACTAATGCAGCGGTCTGGAGGCTGACCACAGCAGAGTCTCTCAATATCTGTAGGCATGTCTCTACAGTTTGAACACACACACCAGTGCATGCTGTCTGAATACACACTCAAAAGACACCGGCTGACTGTTTGTTGACTTTTGCGACAGTGCTGAGTTGCTTGTGGCCACTAGGGGCGCTAAACGTGAAAGTTGCAGGTCTAGCGCCCCTAGTGGCCAAGAGTTACACGGTGTGCCTTTAACTAAAAATACAATCAACATCCATAATATTAAGTTTTCAAGCAGATTATCCAATCAGAGAACGTTGCTCTCATTTGGGGTTGCCAGTTTGTTAGGTACAATTTTGCTGGTTTTGCTACTTTGCTACTATTTAAATAAATAAATAAATTTAACAAACAAAGTCAAGCATAATACACAGAGTTTGCACTCTTTCTAAACAAACCCCAGCAGATGGATTGCATCAGTAATCAGTGCTTGACATTTGCAATGACTTCATTTCACCACTAGGCGTGTATATTACCTATGGCCCTTGTAACTTATTTGCTTAGGTGCTGTCCTTGTTTTTTGTGTCTTTGAAACACATGAATTCCTAACCTCGTTGACTCGTTCACACTAACGTAAAACTCCCTTTTGACTTCTTTCTCAACAGTTTGTGAATTCTCAAATACCAATACATACTATGCATGCTAGATAATGCAAGGTTAACTACTTCTAAACCTGTCATTAACAGAACTTTGGTTGGTTGAAAGATGAAGCAAACTGAGCGCTAATGATGGGCACAACTGCGTATCGTACTTTTAAAATTAAGAACCAAGGCCATTGCTTTGACAAAGAGGAGTACTTTCATTACGTGGCAGAGGAATGAGACAGACATGCCAAAGATGCTTTCAGAGCAGAGAAAGTTTGTTCAAATCTGATTCGTGATACGTCCGTCCAAAAACTAGTCTAAAGACATAGATTTAATATGTCATCATAATAAAAGATGGTCCCTGGTCTTTCCTTTCAACTTTCAATAGTCTAAAAGCAAAAGTAGAATGACAATCGGACGTTTGTGGCAATAACAATCAATATATACAGTATTTTGACACAATTGTAGAGCTCTTCCACTGAATAAAGAATGTAGTGCGTGTACAGTATATATGTAATGCAGGTTTCTGTGGTTTTGTCACTGACCGAGCAGTCCTCCCCTGACAGCACTCCGGGGTTTTTGCTGAGGTCCAGGTGCAGGAGTGAGTTTGAATACTCCTCTGTGGAGCTCAGGGCCTGGGACAGACAGGCCATTCCTGAACACAGGGGAACATAATAATCACTGAAGGGTGACGAATAGAGCTTGTCCAATATTCAAACATGTGAGAAAGAATGAATACAAGGATTCAATAGTGGGCTGAAATTGAATAGAGGCAAATGGTACTATTTTCAAACCATTTTGTGCTCCTGAATTATTGATTTGCCCTCTGCAGCAGGTAACCGAGTGTAACAAGAATGAGTGTAAAGTGTCTGTTCATTTTGCAATATTTAAATTCTCCACTGGGTAAAAGCTAAGAGGAGGTAGCAATGGGGGGCAAAAGAGGCCTACAGGGCTTCAGAAAAGTACTGATCCAAAACGCATGAAAGAGAGAGCTGCAAGGGACTATTTCTGACGGCTCTGAAAGATTTATATTCACTGAAAAAAATAGTGCAAGGAACTGTCAGAACTGCCTTGTTAGTTTCATCATATTCAGACAAACAGCTGGCTGAGATAATCGAGGGAGCGGATTTTCATGACAAAATGTGAGAAATATGACCGTTCCGATAACAACAAAAAACAAACCTTTAGACGTGAGCGAGGTCTTGGAGAGGTTGAGAAGCCGCAGTCCTTTGCTGAGCCGGCAGACCTGCTGAATCAGGCTGGACACACCTGTAATGACGATAAACATGGACAACTCTAACAAAAGCTGTGGTTTTGTTTCTCCTTCTTGATCAGTTAGTTGCAGAATGATGAGATAATAGGTGTTACTTTGTGATGATTAGTAAAATAACGTTTCTTGACGGGTATATGCATACCTTGGTTGTCCAGAGAGTTGTGTGCCAGGTTGAGAGAGTGAATGACTGAACCGGGGTTTTCAGATAGAGCTGTGGACATCTTTTGTGGGAAATCTCTGCAATGTGATCCACAGGTCATTTTAATACAATTTGATTTAAAATAAAAGGACGATAACAGGGGGTGGGGTACCGTCACAAAAAAAGCAAATACTAGTTTACTGATGAAAATATATATAATATCACACATGTTATATTTCTTGTGCTTACGATTTGAGTCCTGCATTCTCCAGAGTTAACTCCTCTAAACTGGATGATTTGCTTATAGTGTGGAGAACCTGCTCTGCCACCTCTGAGCCCTGCAATGAAAACATTATTTAGTGTTAAAACAGTCTCATCAACAACACATTGAAATCATATGGAAACATTTGAACTTACAATGCGCAGGTCTTTGCAGTGCAACTTGGTGAACCATGTGTTGTAGGCCATTGATGCTACTATCACCGCCAAATCCCTAAGAAAACGAGCAATTAGACCACGATCTCACACAAACTAAAGCATCATTTGATCATAAGTTCTGCTAATATACTACAGCAAAGAACCAAGTCTTGACCTTCCAAAACTACAATTTTAGAAAAACAATGTCCTTCTATTTGGAAACTGCATAATGCTAATTTCCAGTTCTAGGGTTCTTGTAGATGCATTGGTCATTGACAGTTTTCAGGTCAGTTCAGACCAGTTCACTGCTCCTCACCTGCTCTCCAGGTGGCTGAAGTCCTGCAGGTTAAACTCGCGGTTGTCCTGAGAGTGATAGATGGTGTCCACATCCTACAAGCAGCAGCACAAGTCTGTTTGTCGGAAGTCCATTAGCCCACAACAGTTCTGTGGACAGTGTTGTATAAAAACACTCCAGTGAGCACTCTCGCTCTTACCCACTGCACTTCCTCCTTGCAGCTGATGCCATTATAGTCACACAGAGCGGCGTAGGTCTCGGAGAAGCCTCCTGGGACACGTACACGCAGTGAAAATAGAAAAAAGAGAATTTCATATGATGTGAACAGCTGCAGCTTTTACTAATAAACTCACAGACAGAACCGGGAAAGTGCACACAGAAACAGTCGCCCCAATTATCAATCATTGGTTTGTGTGACAGCGGCTGCATAAGAACATCTGGGAGTGCATTTGTTCACATTTTAGAGCCAAATGAAGTGCCTTGATTTATGAGCTCACTGGTTTGTGTTCACGCTGTGTGAAAATTCAAGTGAACGATGGTTGTTTATGTTTTGTGTACGGTCAGTCCGTCTAACAGACTCGTGGGCCAAATTCGTGCCGCAAGACCCTTTTTAGTGGCCCCAAAATGGATTTTCATTAATGAGTAATTCATGACTACTACAGTAACTAGCACGACTGATGGTTATGAGCTACCATGGCACGTTATACATCATCTATTTTCTCAGGAAAACAACCACAATATAGTGGATTTTTCTATTGTATTCTTTTTTTCTAATTTTCTTATTTCTCTCATTAATCTAAGCAACCCTGTGCATGTATATTCAATATTGTTGAAGGAAAGGACAGAAACATTCAAGAATAGTTCAGTCTTATAACTGCTCATATGTGTTGCTTTGTGTGTTGTTTTGTGTTTTGTATACCGCATGCCCTCTGGGTCTCCACCGAGGTCTCGGAGCTAGGAGAGTACTTTCTGGAGCCCTCTGAAAGGTCACTGTCGGAGTGGCAGATTGAGGGCCTGCAAGAGAAAGACAAGAAGTGAATGTGTAGGAAGAGTGACCTATGAAAGTGTATGGATATAGGGATTTTTGTGAAGGATGCATTGTCCTTGACAAGAGAGACCAGGGAGAGACCAGGGAGAGACCAGAGAGAGACCAAAGAGACCAGGGAGAGACCAGAGAGACCAGGGAGAGACCAGAGAGACCAGGGAGAGACCAGAGACACCAGGGGGTGACCAGAAAGACCAGGGAGAGACCAGAGAGACCAGGGAGAGACCAGGGAGAGACCAGGGAGAGACCAGAGAGAGACCAGAGAGACCAGGGAGAGACCAGAGAGACCAGGGAGAGACCAGAGAGACCAGGGAGAGACCAGAGAGACCAGGGGGTGACCAGAGAGAGAGACCAGAAAGAGACCAGAGAAAAGCTGGAAATTACAATAAAGCTTGACATTTCAATAAACATACTCACAATCTGTGTTTAAATGCACAATCTGACAAGGAGACCAGAAAGAGAAAAAAGAGAGAGAGAACAGAGAGAGACTAGCAAGAGAGAGAATAGAGAGAAAGTGAGACCAGAGAGAGTATTGCAATGTACGCCAATCTGTGTTTAAATTTAAAAAACGGAAACTTATTTTCCTCTTGGAGAATTGTTATTGATGCACTTAAATAGTTCAAAGTATGTACATTATTGATGCGCTGGTATCAACATGAGATACTGTGATGGCAAGCGGCCTAGACTCGGGGACGCCAACTCACCCCCCCTGCTGCTCTATTCAATTAAACCTGCAGGAAGGAGCCGGGCTTCCCCCCGCACCTACAGACAATGACTGTCTCACCCTTGTCCCTTTTGCATCTTGCATCTGTATGTCTGCATCTCTACATCCTGCATGTCCATTGTCTCTCTGTTTGCATCTCTATGGCACGGTCTGATTGCCTCCCCCCGGACTTGGCGCCTCGCCTCTGGAGGCGCCTCCTGTACTGGTGGCCCCCTCCCATCTTTTGTGGGCGTGACTGTCTTTCATGTGTTGTCTATGTAAACAGGACCCTGGGCTGTCCGCGTTAGAGCTTATGGACGCTGGTTTGTGTATGTGAGCTCTCCGCACGTGTGTACAATAAACTTACGCTCCTGATTAAGACAAATACCTTTGAGCTTTCTCCTTCATTGGGGTATGTAATTCTACAACAATTTGGCGTTGCTGACATGTCTTGGCACGGGATCTTTTCGGCGGGGACGAGCGGCTGCGTTTGGCCGACCTGGAACAACACCAGCCTCTGCTCTATTTGGAGACAAAGGGAGGGCGCGCTTGTCCTGCGCATGAACAGAATCTTTGGCCACACAAGACCAAAAAGAACCTGATTTGGTGAGTTTTGTCTTTTCATTTGCGTAACAAGCCCAGGGCAGCACTTAAGTGTACACGGGGATTTCATTTATTTACGTATTTTTGGGGTATTTCATTCATTGCCACAGCATAGACTGTGTGCGGGATTTTTTGGGGTATTTTGTTCTAGATTGAAGCTAGCGGCTGCGTGTTAGTATCGCTCAGTAAGCGACCCTGAAGATTATCTCTAGTGCCTTCAGCCAGGCCCGCTCCGTTTCAAGAACGCGCGCTCGTTGGGTATATAGAACCCACGGGGGGGGGACGGAGCGCTCCAAAGTGGGTAAGAGCAGGGAGAGACTAAACGGGTTAGGTCCATTGTTCTGTACGAGAAAATAGGGAAAAATCAATCTAGAGATGCCACACCGAGGGGAATGTTAACGTCCCCCGTTACAATGGCAATGGAAAAACGGTTCGAATCTAAAGCTATGGAGTGCCTGCCTACATGGTGCAGTTCATTTGGCTTTTCCGATAGAGGCTCTATGTCTCTGAATCAATTACGCATCTTGCGTGATAATTTAGAAGAAGAAAGGAAAAAAAAAATATATACTTGGTTTTAAGAATATCACGGCAAAAGACGTTAGAGAAAGAAATATGTAAAAACAATAGCTCCTCCGCTTTTCACCGAAGCGGAGAACGCACAGGCGGACACACAGGCGGACACACACACACACACACATCCCACACACCCCCCACCCTACCGCCCTCTCTCACCTACTAACCCTTTCACACAAGGAGCAGAACTCCATGCTAAGTACGCGCCCAAACAAGGCGTTGGGTTTTTTTAAAAAATGAGCAGACTACTGTTGTCCCCTTTTCCTCTCCCTGTCCAGGTCTGTCGGCGCTTTCCTCCGCGCTCTGTCCTCTGCCTCAAAGCCCCAGCACCAGCCCCACGCCCCAACCACGGCGGCGCTCGCACCAGCTGAGACCCCGCGAGAAGTGGGCCCAAACCCGGGAGCAGAAGAAGAAGCGGCGGAAGCAGATACACGCTCAGGAAACCGCAGAAGAAGAAGCGGCGGAAGCAGGAAACCGAAGCTCACGACTCACTCCGTGGACACATTATGTGAGACACCGACAACTGCTTTGGAGGCCAGAGACAAACTGCTCCAAATCCCGTGACTGTTGCCCCACGGAGGCGGCAGCGTGAAACACAAAACGCACCCGCTGAAACCTCGTTGAAGGTTGCCCCCGCACCGCAAAGAGAAGAAGCCATTGGGACCGGCACGTTTGGATATTAACCAACCCTCATGGACCACAGGCTAACATCATTTGAACGCTTTGGGCTACCTGGGCCTCCTGCGGACTTTGAGAAACTTCCACAGCCCGGCGGAAAGACTGTGTGCTCGACATGGGTCGAAGGACTGTTACCGGAGGAGGCGTTAAAGGCAGAGGAACGCTCAAGCTCACACGGGGCCAGAGGACGGCAGAGGCGGGCGTGGAGGAAACACGAGCGACTGATCAAACCCGGGTTCACATTCGTCACCAAAGCGACCGCTCATGTAAGTTTGAACAACAACAAATTGCAATTGGCACTTTTTTAGAGATAATTCATGCTGAATTCCCGTAATATACGCTAACAATCTGTGGTGTAAAAGTTAAAATTCTGGATGACTCCGGGGCAACAAATTCTGTGCTAAAAAGTGACAGCCTTTCTGTCTCCCCTAAAATGAGTGGCCGCTTCACATTCTCATTAGCAGCGTCGGGAGAGACGACTAAAGAGCAATTTACGTCACCGCAACGTGTTTTGATTCTCAGGGCAACCAGCTTAAACATTCGTTTCTATATTCCCCATTGTGCCCGGTTAATCTACTAGGCCGAGACCTTATGTGCAGACCCAATTTAAATCTGCTCTCAACACCAAGCGGCCTACGGGTGGTACACGCTAGTGACCTAGCAAATGCTCCATGTTTCACCGGCATGCACAAGGAGGCACCGGTCCCAAAAGCTAACTACCACTGGAAATTGACACCAAACCCTGAGATTGCTAAGTTATTAGCCACAACAGTGGATAGAGTTACGCCCGCACAAAATTTGGAGGTCAACCACGCGAACGACCTAAGCTGCTCTCTCCGGTCGTTCCCAGACAATAACTTGGAGTTTGAAAATTCATGGCTTCAGTGTAGTGAAGATAGGCTACAAACGGAGTATGTTTATTGGGATAGGCACTACTCCATGGTATCTGTGCTACTTAATGAGCAACAAAAACATTTTATCGTGAAACAAAGGTGAAGTTATTAAAGTTTGAGACTAATTTACATTTTTAATGAATCCGACCTGGCTTTATTGAAAAAGAAAAAAGAAGGAAAATAAACATTTTCAAGTAACAAGAGCTCATTAGAGATATAGGGGACACCATCTGTGATAAGCCCGAGTACAGACCACGTGGTAAACACTAAAGTTGGAAATGGATCCTTTTAGGAAAAACCTCTTAAAGCTCTGCATGTTCTGCAGGCTCTGAAAGTTGCAACAATAGAAATAGCTCATGAGACAATTGTAATTGGACATGGAAAAATATAACAAAGTTAAAATTACAGGCCTTCTGTGTTGTTTATATGTTTGTGTGTGTTATATGTTTGTGTGTGTTATATGTTTGTGTATGTTATATGTTTGTGCGTCATGTCAAGTACACTACGTTGACCTTAACAAACTCTGGACAAATATACTAACGTGGGGAGGCGGCCTGTGTGAGTGATGCGAGTGTGGAGTGAACGAGGAGTGCTGAACGGAATCATGGAATAACAAATGTTTCTGTAATGTTTTAATGTGATCATGGAATAATTATTTTTTGTCAACAGCATACGGTGTAAGTACTAGAGATTCAAAGATAACAAGCTTTATTGAACAGGTGTAAAAGTGAGAGTACTCTGGGATGAGTACTCTGAGAAAAGTACTCTGCGGAAAGTACTCTGAGATGAAATACCTCGCTGAAGATATTGGGAGTCCCTCCCTCTGCTGTTTGTCCTGACAGTGATTCGGTCCAACCGCAGTGAGCTGTCGTTGGTTGAAGGACAACTTTGGTTTGTAAACTCACATTTAGGGGAGTATAAAATTAGAAACATACATTTTGTTAAGTCTGTATTTGGCTACAGCCTCTGCCCTGATGTCACACACCGTCTGTCAATGCAGTTATGTTTTGCCCAATTGGAAAAAAGATTGACAAGCGAAAGTGGGCATTTTTTGTGTTTTTTGTGTTCTAATATTTCTTTTTCAGATGAGAGATAAACTACCCCTGCTTCAGGGATGACAGTAGTATGGATCATGAGGAAATGAGCCTCTACTTTGGCACCAAAGCCCACAATATGAATTGAGGACGATCCGGGAGAAAGCAACTGGAGATGAACGGAACAGTAAATCTACACACACACACTAGGTCTCCCTGACCCAACCCGGCCAATTCACTCAGACTGTGGATGAGCGGTGTGGGTGCATGGTGTCGGTACTTTTGCAGTCTCACGGAGGGCCGCTGAGACCCACTGCTTACTTCTCAGCAAAACTTGATCCCGTGGCAGCAGGGTTGCCTCGCTGCCTGCGGGCTGTGGCTGCCGCTGAGAAAGCGGCCCTAGCATCACGTGACCTTGTGGGATACACTGAACTAACTTTGCTTGTGCCCCATGCTGTTTCCCTGATCCTGCTAGAGCAGAAAACCTCTCACCTTTCTGCGGCTCGTTGGCTGAAATACAACACGGTGCTCTTTGAACTCCCCAATGTCACAGTGAAAAGATGCACACAGCTGAACCCCTCCTCACTGCTGCCCACGCCAGAGGAAGGGGAGGCACACTGCTGTATCGCCACAATAGAACAGATATGCACTCCCAGGCCAGACCTGAAAGAGGTGCCTCTGACTAATCCTGACTTGATTTTTTATACAGAAGGATCCGCGTCACGTGACAACACTGGGAAGAACCGAGTCGGCTATGCTGTGTGCTCTGATTTTGATACTATAGACTCTGGTAGTTTGCCCCCACTACCATTCAGCACAAACCGCTGAACTGATCGCGCTCACCAGGGCTTGTGAGCTGGCAGCGGGCAAAACTGTTAACATATTCTTTGATAAGCGTTATGGTTTCTCTGTGGTGCACGACTGGGGGGCACTGTGGAAACACCGCAATTTTATGAAATCTGATGGTAAACCAATTCTTAATTCCACACAGGTTGAACGTCTGCTGAAAGCTGTAATGTTGCCCTTAGAGATCGCTGTATGCAAATGCCAGGCCCACACTAATGCCACTGACCCCATCTCTGCAGGGAATCGGCGCGCGGACAAGGCAGCGGCATACTCACCTCTACCCACACACACACACTACCTCACTCAAGACGTTGATATTTTCTCCTCTCTGTCAACAAGGCAGGCACAGCAGAGACGATGCTGTGGGAGGGAAATGGGGCTCAACGACGGCATGGTGTGTGGCTGGGACCAGACCTAAAACCGTGCTTACCACGGCATTTCTTCAGACATTTTGCAATTTTAGCACATGGTCGAGACCATGCCTCAAAAGGAGGGATGTGTAATTTAATCACACAAAATTGGTATACGAAGGGGTTTACGGCATTTGCACAGAGATTCTGCCAAACATGCGCTATCTGCCTCGCGCACAACCCAGGTAAGTCCCAAATTATCCAACAGGCTGCTCATCCTCCGCCCCTGCGCCCATTTCAACATGTCCAAAGGGACTTTGTTGAACTCACACCATGCCAAGGTAAGAAATACTGTCTGGTTCTGGTGGATCTCTGGTCCAAATGGACTGAAGTATTTGCATGCAAACACGCCACGAGCAACGCGGTGGTGAAAGCTCTGCTCACAGAAATTGTGCCACGATGGGGTGTCCCGAGAAAAAATCTCTAGTGACAATGGCAGTCACTTTGTAGCAAAAGTCATTGAGGAAGTAGGTGAATTTCTGGGCATTGATATACGTAAACACTGCAGTTACGCCCCCTGGAGCGGAGGCGCGTGCGAGCGAGAGAATGGCACTCTGAAAAACAAACTTGTTAAAATCTGCGAACAGACAGACCTGTCTTGGATCAAAGCTCTGCCGCTAGCTCTCATGTACATGCACATGAGAGTCAGGTCAAGGTCAAACCTAAGCCCATTCGAAATCCTCTTTGCCAGACCGCCCAACTTGGGCGCGGGACCCCCGAACAGAGATCTGCCAAGCACCCCTTTGTGTGATGACGACATGCTGTCCTATTGTAAGGAAATTAATGCACTTTTGTCCTCTATTTCTGCCCAGGTCAGGAGCGCCCTGCCACAGGCTGCGCAGGCGGCTCTGCACAAGATCAAGCCAGGCGACTGGGTCCTGGTGAAGGAAACGAGACGAAAGCATTGGCGGTCCAAGCGCTGGCTGGGCCCATTCCTCGTCCTCCTGGTGACGGACACTGCCGTTAAGGTCGCGGAGAGGACAACTTGGATCCACGCCAACCACTGTCGTGCGGTGCTGCCACTGAGGGCCATAGACGAGGACACCGAGGGCGCGGACGGACCAGGCCCATCCGCGGCTCCCTACGCTGAAGAGGTCGGCCGGCGTGCGACCACCGTCGGTGAAGCAGGCCAACAACAACACCCAGAGAATCCCAGCGTTCCCGAGGCGACCCCCTTTGCCCAACTCCCCTGCCTCCGAATCCCGAGACGACCCCCTGTGGGGCACTAATGTACCCGATGACCACAAATTATGGACCACAGGCCAGAAAATAATGTTAGCATTATTCCCCAGCCTGGGTGTAGGTAAACTAATGCTAAGGACGGAGACCCTGAGCTATAGGTTCTCAGGTTTTGTCAATACCACAGTGGCCATACTTGAATCACAGAGAGTTGAACTTCACGACCTACGTGCTGTTGTTCTTCAAGACCGGTTGGTCCTGGACCACCTGACCGCGTCTGTGGGAGGCGTAGGCACGATCATTGGGTCGTCCTGCTGTACATATATTCCGGCTAATGATGAGGACGGAGGTCTTATCCAACAGGGCATAGCCAATCTGACTAGACTCCGGGACGCCATGCAAGCGGACAATGTCACGGACACTCCTCACGGTCTGGACTGGCTCCTGTCCTCCTGGCGGAGTGTGCTCATTAATCTTGGTTTAGCCCTATTGACTGTTATGATTTTATTTTCATGTGTATGACCTATGGTGTTTCGGGCCGTTGGTAAAATGGTATCCACTCACTTTGTGTCCATTCAATACAAAGACCCCGAGGCGGACCTGGCCGCTGTCCCACTGAACCCCGATCCTGATTATATCAGCGATTCGGACGATGACTTTGTCTAACGTTTTTCTTTCTTGTTTACCTTGTTTTTATTTTTCCACTTGTTTTGCTCAGGGACCAAGGTCAATACTCACCCACCTGAATGTGATCTCTGTAAAACTGGGGTTTCTACATTATCACGGGAGAGGAGTGTGATGGCAAGCGGCCTAGACTCGGGGACGCCAACTCACCCCCCCTGCTGCTCTATTCAATTAAACCTGCAGGAAGGAGCCGGGCTTCCCCCCGCACCTACAGACAATGACTGTCTCACCCTTGTCCCTTTTGCATCTTGCATCTGTATGTCTGCATCTCTACATCCTGCATGTCCATTGTCTCTCTGTTTGCATCTCTATGGCACGGTCTGATTGCCTCCCCCCGGACTTGGCGCCTCGCCTCCGGAGGCGCCTCCTGTACTGGTGGCCCCCTCCCATCTTTTGTGGGCGTGACTGTCTTTCATGTGTTGTCTATGTAAACAGGACCCTGGGCTGTCCGCGTTAGAGCTTATGGACGCTGCTTTGTGTATGTGAGCTCTCCGCACGTGTGTACAATAAACTTACGCTCCTGATTAAGACAAATACCTTTGAGCTTTCTCCTTCATTGGGGTATGTAATTCTACAACAATACGTGTCTAACATTGATAATCATACTAAAATTTCAATTAAAACTTAGTCGCTCATACATACAGTAGTTAGTAAGAAAACTGTGCTACATATAGAAGCAATATTTACGACATAGTGGAGAGCAAGACAAAGATACAATATGAAAACTATTAATACATATTAGATTGCACTGTTAAATTCATCTGTGACACTCACGCAAAGATGGAATTGTTGAATATCCGCGACAGGGCGTAGTTGATGTGACTGACCACATGGTTGAGATGCTCTCTGCTCTCGAACTTCAGGGAGAAGCTGGATTTGTCTGTGTCAATGACAACCTGAAACAGAGCGGATGTAATTCAGTTTGAGCACTGAACAAAGCCCAAGGCCAAAGGGAGGTACTGGCTTTACAGAAACAGCTACAGAGCAGCTCAACTGGACAGCCATGTAAGTGTCCTGACGAGCATTTGGATTAGATTTTGGATTTGTGTTTAAATGATTCAGTTCAACGTTCACTCACACATCTAGGAGCCTACCGTGTTCAGTTCTACAAAATATTTTTTAGTCAGGCTCCAATTGTGCAAGTCCTCACACTTTAAAAGATGAGATATTTGTAATTTTCATCATAGGCATCCCTCAACTCTGAGAGACAAAATTAGAAAATCACCTCAAATTATGATTATTATTTATTGGAATAAGGTGGAAAATAAGCAAGATCTTCTTTTAGAGGCTGCTCTGCCCTCCACTATTTACCTGATTTAATGGTGCTTTATTTATATGCTCATATACGCGCGCCTCCATTTCTCTCCCCTCAGTCCTCTGCCAGCTAGCCTTGTCCTTGTTACAACTTTGTAACAGTCATGTCCCCTTTAAGTTTGTGGATAAAACATTTGATTTAGAAAGATTTGAGGAAGTTTGTGCAAGTTATTGTTTTGTTTGTACCAAGGTTTATATATGAGGCCCCAGATCCTATCAGTGGATGTTTAAAGTTCATTGGTAGTCTGTTTCTGCTCATTTTGTATGCATTCTGATTGTTCACGCATGCTCATATTATCTGCTAAATTTTAATTGGCACTATAATGTTAATTTATGCATACCTGATGGTCCGGATGGGAATTCAAAGCCCTGATCTCCAAGAAATTGAAGGTCGTCTCTAGCTGTAAATCAAGAGAAAAACAAAATCATGATTCCACAGTGAAGCCAACAGAAAAGCATTGCGTGGGTTTACCTTTGTGGGAATCTTTGGCGCCGTGAAATAAAGACGCCATGCCGTGAGAACCTAAACAAATAAAAAAATAAAAAAAGATCATTGAATAAAAAATATAAATATCTCTGCACAGTGCATCCTGCAGAGTGACAAAAATAGCATACATTATTTATGGTAAGGCCAGAGAGAAACCCCATGTATTGATCCGAGCTAAAAGCCATGTCTGAAATAGATTATTTAAATGTGGTTAAGCAAGTTGAAAAATGGTGGCTTGTTGTGATGTTCAATCATTCAATTACTTTGGGGAAGTGGGCTATATATTGCATTTGTAACTGGGCAGTTTTTATCATGACAGTTTACCTTCAGCGATGGACACAATACTAGGAAACACCACTCACCTCTGGGCTCTGGGTGTTAAAAATGGATCAGAGCCAGAAGTGTTGCCTTTGCTGACCCAAACAACACTATCGCTAAATGAGTTCTTTTGATGTTAATAACTGATTGGCAGCAACTATTCTAATATGATATATATTTCATATTCTTACTATTTCTATACTTTCAATAGATTCAATGATACACAGAATACATGTGTTTTCTACATGTGTTTTCTAAAATGAGATCATTTCTTTTTTATTACCAAGATTGTTTCAACAAAAAACTTGATACTAAAATTAGGGCTGAGACTTGATAATGTTTATCCCTTCTGTTTTCAGTTTGATAGGTTTGTACTCTCTATGTTTGATAGATTTCAGTCTCTTAATCTGTTCACAGTATGAAAGTGCTCCAACGTAGTGTACACACAAAGGAATAGTATGTATACTATATAATATATAGTAAAATGACTCTAAAGTGTGTCACATCTACACAGTATCATTATCTAGTATCACAGTACTATCATTATTTAGTATTTATATAAATAATGTTGATTGAGAAAAGGTTGTGGTTTTTGGATTTTAGCCACAGCCCTAAACACAAGTTATCTACATTTCTTTTTCTTTTAATGAGGTTCAGGTCACCTTAACCTTAAACCTCTGAATGAACCCGACTCTCTTAAAACTCAGTGTTGTCAAAAAGAAAACAAAGGCAGTGATTCTTTGGCTAAAGTGGTGCTCTCTGCTCTTCCTCTGTCTCTCTTCTGCCTAGTCGCTCCCAATCATTTACTCTTCATCAAACCCTCCCTCTGGACCGGCACTATCCACATACCTGAAGAAAATAATCAAATTACAATCAAATTATTTATTTAGTGCTTTTCACAGACTGGTAGTCACAAAGTCACATTTTTTGTAATCACTCCACATGCAGTGGTGAAGACAGCCACAGCTGCCCTGTCATGTTTACCACCACAAACAACCTTTTCTGAAAGACCACAACAAAGTATCATAACACTGTGAAAGGATTATGAATGAGTTTAAAAAAACAACAAAACAAAAACAAACCAATAGCGAGTTAGGAAGAGCTTATGTCAGAGCAACTTGAGGATAAACCAAAAATGAATCATTACACAAACTCTTCAGGAAATATTAAGGAGTAAAGCAGGACTACATGAGGAGTCAGGGGAGTAAATTAGGAAAGCATTCTGTCCGTAAGCACAATGTCTATAGAAAAACAACAGCAAGAGAAAGGTGGCAGAAATAAATTCAAAGAGTGTGGGACAGATTATGTGAATCGCAGCAGATCAAAGGGTCTGAAGGAGGTGAAGAGAGGTAGATATGACAGTGATGAGGTTATGGAGGAGCTGAAGAGAAAGAGGTTGAATAATCAGCAGTGAGTCATGCGGATGCAAAAGATACTTTACTCCATATATGACCCGTTTCAATAGAGTTTGGAAAAGGAAAGATCCCGAGGAAACTACTATGAGATAAATAAAAAGGCAAAGTCCAGCAGTAGGTAACAGTAGCGTCTACCTTTCTTTGAGATCGACCCAATCTCTCCTTTCAGTCAAATACTTTCAAAGTCAAATAAATTCAGCCTGCAGGAGAGGAAGTCCAGATTTAAGGTTCTGCTTTTGGATCAGTGTCTTAACAAATCCAGACTTAGATTAAATATTTTCAGACTGATGTTTCGTTTGGATGGGCATTTCAAAGTGTCTTTGTATCAAAGATTACACAAGTAGAAACTCGTCTATCCTCATCACACAACTAAATAATAAAAGAGAAACCAAAGAGGAAGTGGAGGTAGCTGAGCCAAGGCTGGAAGCACGATGAAAGCTGATTAGCTCATGGGAGACAGCAGGGCGGAGGCACCACAGGGATATGCTGCACTTTGATCCAACTTGATTCATATTTAAAACAGATTTGAACTTTTTTTCTTATGATTTTTATCATTTATATTTTATGATTTTATATGTTTTCTTCTATTGTGTGAGCATTCACATTTCATTGTTGCCTCTCGACACCTTGTCAACCAGCCAGCACAAGACTTGTTTGGACCAGGGCCGAGTTACGGCTCTTGGAGGCCCTACTGCCCCTGACAGTGGCCTTTCAGGATAGATCAACAAACTATACATCTACAAACTGACTAGGATTGTTTTAAAATTATTCGTACTTTATTTCCAATATTTTGAGAAATTGTGTGTCTACAATATTTTACAAATCTAACTTGGTGTTGGTGTTAAATGTGTACTGTGCACCCATTCTCTCCAGAAATGTGTCAGTGCTTCGCTCCGGCACAGTTTGTGCAGTGATCTTATATCCAACAAGCAGAAGTGGATTCTGTGAACAACTCACAGGATGGAACCGTTTATTAAGACTTTTCCTTATTCTACTTTGCCATTAGCCGTACAGGCCTAGACTGTTTCAGTAGCCCTCTATGAAGGAACGGCTATGATTTGGCTCGCTGAAAGGTTTCCAGTTCCGTCCTGGTCAGTGCTCGTTTTTCATTGATTAATTCCCTTGACTTCAACTCTGTGAATACGAGGCAGATTGTCATCAAACAACCACTAGTTTGTAGCTTAGCTCGAGAAGAAGGCTTTGATGTTAGGACCATTACTACTGGGCTTGTAATGCCCCATGTGTGTTTAAAGTCCTGTGGCTGTTTCTAGTACAGTGTCTCTTTAATATCCCGCTATAGAGAGAGACAGACTTTAACCCCAATTAGATTGTAATTATTAAAACAGATACTATAAACGATTGTAATTAAAATGCACACATCTGCACAAATACACAGGACCATCATCTAGTGCTCTGGGTTATTGTACAATTAGTACAATAACCTAGAGCACTAGATGATGGTCATCGAGACAAGGCCATTTAGACAGCATGTTTTATAGCTTGTTGCTTACATGTGGGTGAGGTGAAGAAGGTTATAAAAAAGAAAACACTAATAATTACAGCGTAACAAGCCGTAGAGCCGAGTAAAGCTTCTGTTAAAGTTTGGACTTGAAACACATGTTGTAGTTACTTCTCTGTTTGAGTTATAAAATCAGCTCAGTTGGTAGAGCATTGGCCCTTGGGTCCTAGAGGTCATGGGTTCGAGCCCACCATGGGACCTACTCCAACTGCTCCCACAAATGTCTACTGTCGTTGTGTCCTTGGGCAAGACACTTTCCCCACGTGCCTGAAGCCCCCGCTGAAAGAACAAGGCAGTTTCATCACTGACGGAGCAGCCATCTTCCTGTGGACCCAACACCTGCAGAGGATCAGCGCGGGACTGGTGCTATGAGCATTGGGTGGCAGCTCTCATTGCCACCACCCCGACCCAGAAATGGACAAATACAACGGGTTGAAAATGGTGGGAGGGGTTGACTCCTTTTGCAGATTGAAAGATTGGATCTGAGTTTACCCAATCAACAATGATTTGATGGTGACATAAGTAATGTGCCTGAGTGAGCGAGGCCTTTAGCCTAGCTTTAGCCATCTCTTTTGCCACTAACGGAGCCCGTGGAGAGTAGAGCCAAAACATCTTTTCCAGCAATAAAATTTGCTTAACATTTCTCTTGCTCCGGCTTCAATTTCTTGATATTTGAAGCCGAACCACAACAGACTGAAGAGATTCCTTTATCTTATCTTGTGCTGTGTGCTCCTCATTCCTACTGTTCTGTAACTTGTGATGCAACACTGAAATCTCCCCGCTGTGGGACGAATAAAGGATATCTTAATCTTAATTTTTACATTCACATTTAACGCCATTGCCAAACTAAAACCAGCGATTTCGGCGCAAACTCTTGATGTCACCAACACTTACCTACAATACCTGCCTCCCCCAATCGCTGAATGGTCGGAGGGGATACAACCGAGGTAACTGCAGCCACTAAGATCAGACCCAGACGTACATGTAAGGAAATGATAATTGACTGGAGTTGGCAGATGGCTAAGGCCAGGCTAGCTTTCTCCAATCGCCAAATCTTGTTTTAAGACAGTCAGAATGTACTCAGGTTACGATAAAAACACTAGATTCAAGCAATTATTACCATATATTTGATACTTTTTTGCAGTGTATCTCATGTCCATCGCTGAAAAACCTCAATTACTAAAACACAGATTAACGTCTCTGTCCCATATGGAGAGATGAAAGTGCCTCACAATCAAGGGCTTTGAGCTGCTTTAGCTCCCTGCTGTCTCCTCTGTGGGGCTCCAGGACACCGGGGGCGCTCCCACACACTGTCTACACGTCTTCAGCTGTCAAAACTATACTATACAGTCAAAACCAGGGTAAAAATGTTCAACTACCACCACCAGTTGAAGAAACCCTCAAAGACAAAGCACATACAAAGTGCATGTGTCAGCTCATTACTGTGGCGCATAAAAGCGAGTTCGACCACATCAGCAGTCATCATACCGAGCTTCTAAAGCCTGGTTCACACGGCAGGATATTTAGGCCGATTTAGACCCGATTTACCCCTTACGACAATCTTAAGAAACGCTCCGATTTCCGTAACAAAATCTTACAGATTATCCTGCCGTGTGTGGTGTGTTAAGACTGCACTCGTCGCTCGGAAGGACATCGGGACTGCTCCCGATCTCAAATCGGGGATATCCAACATGTTGGATTGTTTTGGCCCGATTTCTTGTCGTGTGTGGTGTCCCCCGAGGACAAGCGAGCGCGTTGCCATGACTACGGCGTGTAGCCAATAAGAAGACGAGGTGACAAGCCGGTGAGGAAACACCGGAAAAAAACCAAAACACAGCAGCATGGCTTTGACCATTGCCTTTTCTTTGGATTACGTGTCTTCTCTGTTAACAACAAACTGCACACTATCGCCACTGCATCCTCTTCGTCCGCCATGACTGTTTACTCTGAAGTCACGCTTGATCTCGAGAGATTTTGTGAGATTTCCGTCTGACCTGGGAATGCTCGGGGGGGGGTGTCGGTTCGTGTGTGATGTTTGTGGCTTGCGTGATCTTGCCGTGTGGCTACGCACCACACACTGCACGACCAAAGTGGTTAGACGCAGGATTTTTAATCTCCCCGTGTGGGGTCTTACACGGAGAAAAATCGGCCGACAATTTTAAAATCGTCTCGTGTGAACCAGGCTTAAGACGGAAGAGGCGACTTACCAGAAATCTGTCTTCGGATTTCCCATTTTTGGCGTCGAACTTAATGCCACACACAAACTTGATAGATGATTTGTCAATGATCTTCCTGATGCTTTCTGTGAACAAATACACAGGGTAACACAAAGCGCCTTACAGTCCACATCACACAGAGCTCAAATGATCCCATAAAACAAACACCAAAATCACTATAAAAACACAAAGGTAATTAAAAACATTAAAATCACACAAGGAATTAAAATAATACATAACAACAAGTTAAAAAGAGTAGAAATAAAATCCTTCAGTTCAGTTGTATGCACAGGCAAATAGAGCCGTCTTTAACCTGGATTTGAACACCGCCTCTGTCACATCTTCTGTATCATGTATTATATCATCAGCACCAAAAGATTCGTTCTCAAGCAAGTCTTCCAAACAACGATTCTGAAACTCACTTTGCAGCTAAAGTTTACTCATGCACTGGTCTCTATATCATCACAATGCCACCCCTCACTGCAGGATAGAGAGGAGTGCTTTTGAAGGTCCTGGCTATTTGACTGCAATAGATATAGACTATATAAATCCATTTCTCACAATCAAAGCAGACATGACCTTTGGAAGTGGCTGGACAGATCTCTAACCGTTTTAATAACCGAGGAGAGCCTGTCTGTCTCATCATTCAAACAGCTGATGGCATTTATCCACACAGACACATGTGCCAGTGTATTTTCAGACTGCAGAGTGAGATAGTTTATATTTATTTACTTTATGAGTGAGCTACTGTGTTAAAGTAATTTCCTTTGTGGATCAAAAAAGTTTGGCTCACAGTGCGTTCACACTTATGACCTCACTGGTCAAAAGAAGTGAACTGACTTCAGTGCACAATGGTTTCACATCTCCACAAGCAAAGTGTGCGTGAACCTTAAGTCTAATGAAATATTGACCTGAAATGAAATTAAATATTGTCTTAAGTTCATTTACAGCACTCTTCCACATGCTGATGGTGCCGTGGACAGCTCCATATGAACAATGTTGGTGAGACAGCGAGTTGGGTGCTTCCACATTGGGGCTTTTTAGCCATAAGCCCCACCACTGGAAGACAAATACAGGAGCTCTTCATTTTAACTATCGTGGGATAGTTTCGGGACTCTATTTGTCGGACGATTTTGGCTTCTTCATTTGGCCACTACAGTCTTATTTGTATTGCCATACAAAGGGTAAAGGGTAAAATGGAGAAAGACTATTTTGAAGGATAGCAACAAGGAAGGGAAATCCCTGATAAACAACAGAAAAAAATCAGAAAACCCAAGTAAAAAAAAAAATATATATATATATATACATACATATATATTTACATTATGGGCAAATATAAAATTCTAATACAAGATACACAGAAAAATGATGAGACAAAAACATGACACACACACAAAACACTGACCAATCTAAAACTGATGTTCCCAGTTATTTCTTTCAGTTTTGCTATTGTGAATTTGTTTTTTTCTCTTCTTACATTGTTCCACATTTGTTTCACAATCATTTATCACTATGCCAACATCGAGGCCATGTCAATCTGCCTCAAAATGTTACGTAAACGCAACATCTTCATTGCCGATTCTCTGTGTTCATCCCGATGCAATTACCACTCTGCACTATATCTGCTCGTATCGTCCAAGTGTTTCACAATATGCGTCAGGGGCATCGCTCTGGAGACTTCTGAACATGACACATTTGGAGCTTTGGTTTTTCTCTGATTCACTGAGAACTGTTCCTGTCAAACTGGCATCAAACCACGACTGATGCCGTAGCCTCATTATCATGACAACAACCTGCTGGCCTCAGTCTGAGGAGGACTGACTCATACTGTATGAGCGAGACTACACTCCAACACAAATGCACTATTGTTAATCTGTCTTCAGGTGATGCAACGTTTAAGAAATCCATGACTAAAGACTTTACAAGCAAATCAATATTTCACACTTGTAATAGAGCGGACATGGTGATGTGTCAAAAAGCTGTATCTTTGGAATAACAGACACTGGAGTGCATTTATTTGCGGCTGAAATGGTTCTCTGAAATTGGTTGAATGAATTGGCTTGTTCTGAAAAGGAAGTGTTCTACTCCATGCTGATCAGTTCGGTTTAGGTATGGTGATATCACGCTGAAAGCTAGCAAAATATAACATATAACAACTGGTTAATTTCATCAGAATATTGGATGAACTAGAACCATTCGAAGGAGGTCCATTTAGGGCTGGGGCACACTTTCTAATCTTGTATCATGCATTTAAATCCATGTAACCAGGTCCTAACTCTCAAAACTGTATTGGTACACTGCATAAAGTGATTATATTTCCAACATTGAATCAAATTTCACAAAATGTGTCGTAAGTTGTGTACAATTTGACTCCTTCACACAGTGAGCGAATAAGTCTGTCCCTAAATCATTATATCAAAACTTACATCATTACGTCAACCAATAATTGAAAGCATACATTTGCATTCACCAAAAGGGTTTCATTACACATTCTATCAACTGAAATCTTTTATGACACTATTTGTCAGTGTCACCACAGCACAATTCAGAAGAGACAGATCTTTTCAGAAAGGACGTTTTGAGCCCTGGAACCAAACAGGACCAAGATGAACCGAAACAACTCAAAATCTTAATGATCACCTGGTGAAGGTGCACTGATTTACCAGAAATATATATTTTCTCAATTCTGCAAGTCTTTGTTGAAGAACATGGGCGCTTTCATGTGTCGCCATGGTAACACAACTGTGTTGTCCAATAGAATTTCTGAGAAATGTTGGTAAATATTCATGAAACTAATGTTTTTGAGCTTGCTTTGCACTGATGAAGAACATGAAGCTGAGAAGTGCTGTAGGTACAAGCCTCCTGACAGCATCAGGTTCCATTTCAAACAGGTCACGTCTTAATCCAGGCTGTAGACCTGTTTTTAAATCAAATAATAATCAGCAGAATCCCAAACAAAAAATGAATATCAAAATATTGAAATCAGTCAAACAGATGAAACAAATATTCAAAACAGAAACATAAAAAATGAAAGGAGCACCGTCACTCAGCCAATCAGCTGTCAGCACTAAGTGTCCAATATTGACTTACATAGGCCTTTCTTATAATCACACAAAAGATAAAATGGATCGAGCACAGTTAAAGTTGTTAGATGGTCGCAGTGTATAATCTCAAATCTATTCTAATATTTTGGGACAGAGACATGGAACTTTGGGAGCCAAGTTGGAAGACAGACATTTCAAATTGACTGGACTTGAACTGTCTTTCCGTTTGGGACACTTTGCAAAGTACAAAACATATCAATCATACACAATATATCCTCAACATAATCTAAATAGATGTTTGATCTGATTCATTCACAAGTTGAAATATACTTTTGTGAGACAGGAGAAAGAACATGTCTTTTTATTTTTATTTTTTAGATAGGTGCCCCAGCTTTAAACTGATTAAGTCAAAGACCTTTAGCAGGTGAGGTTTTGTCAATATGTCAGACATGGTCAGTGAATTGCCAAAATCTTAATAAAACAAGATTATAATCGCTCGCCCAACAGGCATGAGTCTATAGGACTGGTCCGGGGGATGTGGTCCTGGACTCAAACGGGGATCGCACAGTCCAGGTGAATAAAATAACAGGGCATTTAGTCGCTGTGGATTCTTCATGACAGAAATAGAACCATTAGCGGTAATTAACACGCTGGGCTCTTCAACACGTGTATAGAGGTGTGGACGCGCGTGCACGCCATGCTCAGAAAATAATATTGTTTGGAATATTGGATATCAGATTTCCATGGATCCTTTTGCTGATTTCATACTCAATTATTGGGGGGAAAAAATAAAAAAATAAAAACAAGGACCATCTGCTTCTTATAGCGCATGTGTTTGTGACCTACACGCGTATCTGGGAGAGTAAAGACGTATACGGTTATAACGAGCTGATGTGGCGTGTGGTGGACAGTGGACACGTCCCCTCTGGTCCCTCTGGTCCCTCTGTGGCCTATGATAGACGCGGGTTCATTAGCGCACTTTTCCCCACAGCGGCTCTGCCCCCTTCTGCACATCCCGAGGTAAATATTAATCCGCATCCCAGAGCTGAGCAGCCTGCGCGTCCCGGGAAGCGCAGGACAATATGGAGAGCTGTGTAGTAGCTCTGGAGAACAATCATCCAAACGCACGGTCAACGCTCATCCCGCCACGCAAGACAGACGCACGGTTGCCTGCCTTGGAGCGCCTTTACCCACCTGTGATGTCCTTACTCACGCAGACGAACCCAGTGGCAGTGGTCTCTTTAGAAGCCATGTCTGTTCCTCAGGATGGCCCCCCGCCTCCTCCTGTTCTCTTACAAATGGACACTAGGGATGGACTGTCAGCAGAAATGGACAGCAGGCATTCCAGCGGAGCAGCCAGCCCGCCACCGCCGCCGTCCGCTCTTCCCTGACCCCGTGGATGTGAGGATGTCTGTGGGATGAGAGAGAGCCCGTGGATGGGATGTGCGGTGCTGGGCGGGCTCGCAGAGCAGAGGGCGGGGATCCTCAACCATAAAAGATCCAGTGACTGTTACCTGAAGAGCGTGAGGCTGTGTGTGCAAGAAAACATCATGTTCTGAAGTGGGTTTAGTGCAAAGATTAGGTGCAACTAAGAAACTAACAGCGGATTGCAAAAGGGGTCATACTAGTATTGTGTGAAATATACAAGGCCATGTGTTTAGGGAGGGTTCAAGACTGATATTGCCTAAAACAATGACTGACCTTTATCCTATAGGCTATCTTAAACTTAAATCCACATAGAGTTTATTTTATGTATAATTAAAGTTCAGTTCAGTTTCAATTAATTACAAATATACAATAAAAGCATGTAACATTAATTCATAATTAGTGACATTGCATATTTGTAAATGAGACATCCTTGAAGCAACATTTAGCTTATGGGGCCCAAGACATTACACAGCACTAAAACCTACCAAGCAGTAAAACCTACCAACTAATCTACCGATAAAACTGCCTATATCATATTCTTATTAGATTAAATATATCAAATGGATAAGTACACATTGTCAAGAGTTGTGTTATACTTAATATTCACTTGTGTTGTGTGCTCTTCATTCCTTTTCTTTGTGAGGCATCACTGACAATTCACCCACTGTGGGATGAATTAGGGATCTCTTAATTGCATATTTCCGTCTTTTTGCACACCATGAGTGATCTTATGCCAAATGTGATCTATCTTACAGCTGTTCAGTGATCAAACATTGGTCAAATGATTCAAAGTTTCCGCTGTGCATCTCCACTTTCTAAAAAAAAAGCCTTAATTTGATAAATGAATGGATGTGTCTTATTATAGTAGAGACAGACTGACACTGTAGCCAAAGAGAGATTTCAAAATTCAATTGAATCTTAATGCAACCGGACGTGCAGGAGAAATGAGTTGTACTTCTGACCTTGAAGACCACGTTGATCTCGTCAAACTGTCCCTCAAAACAATATTGTGTCTTTATGAATTGAATGTCAAAGCGAGGATGCTGCTGACGTGCTGAAAATAGATGAAAAAGAATAGATTCAGACACAAGCAGCAACAATGTGCAAGCTTATTCAACTGTCCCACCCAGATGGCATCACTGCAGGCTCTGGAATTCATACCAAAACCTAAAAAAAAGAGTGTGTATGTGCTTTTAGATACATTATTGAATCATACTGTAACTATTGTGGCAAGAATGTGGGGATTGGAGCCAGAATCCACCTCAATCTTTTTTCTTGCTTTTTGTCTACTTTGCAGACATAAAATATTAATCAATATTTAATCAATCCACTTGACACATTTCCCTAAAAGCAACTAATCATGCCATAAAGTAAGAAAAGATTAGATAAACTATAATTGCACTACAGTGGGGAAATGTCAGTGTTGCAAGATACACATATCATTTAATCATTTACGCTGTAAATGATTAGTAACTGATTTTCAAGTCACTTTTAAAGCTCATGTTGAAACAAACTGATCTGTTCCAATCTTTCTGATCGTCACTCATTTTATCGTTGCCAAACAAGCTATTCTAAGGCTTCAGCAAATATTATAAGTAAGCTTTCAAACTTTTTATTTAACTTTATCATTATCCATAGATACCATTTTCTTTGTAACTTTTTTCAGTTTAAGTATATCAGATTCAGATTCATTTATTTGCCATTTGCAGTAAAACCACATTGGAAAAACTGTGCAAGACTACAGTGTGCACCAGATAATTTATCCATCCATCCACTCTCTTTTGCGTTATTCATTGCCGGATTGCAGAGGTGGCAGTCTGAGCTGAGACGTCCTGACTCCCCTATGCACACTTCCTCCAGCTCATCTGGAAAGTGATCGGCAAGAGCTTTGTCTTTTGGTCAACTCCCTCTGTTTTTATTTGTAAGTGCAACTAGGGCCATGGGGGATCTGGTTTTTGGGACTGCTGTATCAACTGTTGTGGTGAAACATATCTCGCTAACAGCTGAGTCGAAAGGCAAAGCTCTCAATTTACCGTCAAATCTAAATGTTCCCATACCCAACAAATCCCCATAGGTGAACTATGGGGATGTGTTGGGTATTGACTGAAGGGATAAGATTGCAGATACAAGCGGTCAAAATGAGTTTCCTCTGCAGGGTGGCTGGGCGCTCCTTCAGAGACACATTTGAGACACAGCTTGGTCACACTGGAAGTTCATGAAGTATAGCCCCTGCTCCTTCACATCATGCAGATGCTCTCTGGATATTTGGTTCTCAAACGACTGATCCTGTTGGCTCATTTATTACCATGATCTTTATTTAAGACCACACCGCCTTGCCTTGTACAAATTAATAAAGTACATTCTCCTTTTTAACTTTTTTCCCAACTGAAACGTCTTGTAAATGTAAAAATGTTGTCAGAAACCTCAACATGCAGTCCTCATCCTATACTAGAAAACATGTTAGGGAGAAAAGTGTGACTCTTTGCTCTGAGAGCTGAAATACATGCACGAATGTAATTAAAGATGGACACTTTAAAATAAAAACGATAACATTTAACACATTTTATTGTTGCATGTATATGGAAACTGAAAATAGGCGTAATCTTGTATATGCAGGTCTGTCTGGAAAATGCTTTTGTAAGATAATGTAAGTAATCTATTAAGACATGCATACAATACATTATAATTTATCGTGTTTAAATGTGAAAATTAAAATCATAAACCTGGCTGGCTAATACAATTCCTCCTCTCACCATTCAAGTCTTACATGTGTTTTAATCTGACACTACTCTGTCTTTCTCTCTATTTTTTTTTTTAAACCTGACCTTGACTTGACTGAATAGTCATGAGGCAAAAAGAAATGAACCCAAAACGCATGACTAAACTCAGAGTAAAAACACAAAAAGTAACTAAACAAGGGATGATGACAAGAACTCAACAAAATGGAAGTGACAATGACATAACAGGGAATGAAGCAATACACAGGGTTTAAATACACAAGACACAAGTGTTACACACGAGGCAGGTCATCACACAAGTTACAACAAGTTACAAAATAAAACAAGAAATATACCTAAACTATGAGTTTGAATATTATTGAATGAATATTATTATGCCTAAGCTAGCAGCAAATATCCTGTTCTGGCTTTGAAAAAAAGAAAAAAAAACTAAAGAAAAGCTGAAATCTAAAAAGATGAAGAGAAAATCAAGCTGCTTTGTTGATTGGTTGCTGCAATAATCACTGTCATTTGTTTAAAGGTTGTAGAGTAGTAATCATACTAAACTAAATCAAAGGTTTGTGTAGCCTCCTGTACTGGCGACCCCGCTCCCATCTCTGTGTGGAGTGAAAGGACAAAGGCCCAATAATAACAATTGTAAACCGCTTTGTGACTCTGGTCTGTGAGAGGCGATAAATAAACATAACTTACATTTATTTTGGTGAATATCACAATTATAGACGTTGGACGACGTTTATATCACACCCTGAAGCAGCACTCAGCACAAGGCTCAAGATCATCCAAAAATGATTTTCTGTTTGGTCTAATATTAAAAGAGTTTAAAAATAGCTCAAGCTCTAAAAAAAAAACACAAACCCACTGGAATCATCTAAGAGTGCAGATGTGTGTGATGACCCCAGTCTATTTTTGTTTATTTAGTAAAATGATGTATTTGAAACCTGCACACACACTTTCAAAGAACAAGCACAGCAGTTATAGAAATTCATGGTTTGAAAAGGGGTTGGGTGAAGCGGACCAACTGAAACTGAAACCATTGAGGACTTTTCACATTATATCTTTTTAAAATATTTTAAATTAGAAGAGATTACACATGAAACCTGTGGACAGATGAATGAACTATAAACCTCAAAGCAGTACGATAGTGTACTTTTGCCACCTCTGGAAAAGAAGGGAGAAGCCATATACAAAGTTCAACAGCTCAATGTAAACACACTACAGCAGGGAAACGTGACATTGACCCCTCTAAAATGGACTTCAATTGGCACCGTCAAAGTTGGTCGTAAACTATAATTTGCATTGCATTCGAGAGAAAATTTAAGTTTTTTAGTCTTACCAATGCCATATGCTCACTCTTTTAACAAGAGTGAGTGCCAACCATAGACTGTGCCAACCAGTGCCGGCGCTTTGAGTCCCTGTGGTCTCCACGTTCTCATATTATTATTTTCATCACACATGTAATGTCACATTTCTCCACTAGAGGGCAACAAAACCACGTGCTGCACATGTCAAATCCCGTGACGTAGAAATCACGAGACGGAAGTTATAATTTGTAGTCCAGTGTCACCATTGCAACACAATATTTGATAAAAGCAGAAGGCTTCTTAATTTATACGGTACGTATGAAATGTACATGTATTGTGGTCTCTCTAATGATGCAGGTGAATGCTTGAATATGAGTATATGCTGATGTTCTCACAGTAATACAGACTTGTTTTATAGCGTGGCTAATGATGAAGCTAATTGTTATTGTCATATCTGGCTGTTAACTGACATAATCGTGTGTGTCATTCATTGTGCAGAGTGGTGTTTGACCAGCTGTAATGCTAAACATGACCACATTATTCAAGTATCCCTCGTTAGCTGTGGATCCTACATGACTCTTTCTGCTAATGTTTCCAGGTTTTGTGGAAAATCTTGGTTTACTCAAGATGGTAGGTTGCTTAACAATTGATTTGACATTTTTAACTGCTGTTGTTAAACATCCAAACACACTGTACATGAATGGTCTTCCTATCTTGATTATTTTTAATAGCATGGAAGAGTGAAAGTAAAAACTACAGCTCAGCAAGAAGAGGAAAAGAAGAAGGAGCGTGAGAAAAAACTAAAGATCTATGTGGCTGCACGTGATGCCTGCTTTGCTAAGGTTGTTCCAACCTTTCTTTCGTTTTCCTTCCTCTGGGATCAAGTCAACCTGACACACCCCTTCTGTCTTTTCCAAACAGAGAAAAGAGGGCATCAAGGATGAAGAGGCGTTGGTGTTTACTCAACAGCTCCTGTCCTCAAATCCTGACTTTGCCACCCTTTGGAATCAGCGTAGAGAAATCCTCATGCACCTAGAGGCTGAAAAGTTAGTCACATTGCCACTTTGTCACAAGATATACATATATTTGACTTACAGGAGCTAAAAACAAGGATAAAAATGTCTCTGTGATTTATGACTTTAGGGACACGGATGAGATGCAGAAGATTTATGAGACCGAGCTCCACTTCCTGGAGTCATGTTTGAAGGTGAACCCAAAATCTTATGGCAGCTGGTTCCACAGAGGATGGGTGTCGGCCCGCCTTCCTAAACCCAATTGGGTGAGAGAGCTCAGCCTTTGTGACCGCTGCTTGAGTCTGGATGACCGCAACTGTGAGTAAAGGACACAAGTCGACTTCAGTAATATCATGGCTCAAGAATGTTAAATGCCATTTAAAACTAAAGGAAGATTGTTCCGGCTTTTTTAAGAGTGGGTAACGCTTTATATTAAGGTGTGCTTGTTAAGTATTAATAAGGTATTAATAGACATTAGCATCATGCTTATAGATTGCTTATATGTACTTATAAACATATTAATAAGCTGCTCATTTCACTAGTCTCTAAATGATGTTGTTCTAGTTATATGCTTTTAAGCATTTAATAAGTAATTAGTAAGATACTTATTAAAGGAGGAATATGTTTATAAATATATGAATAAGCTGCTTATTAAACTATTATCGATACCATGTTAATAGGCCACTAACAATATGCCTATAAAGATATTAATAAGCTGCTTATTAATAGGTAATAGTGGTAATAGGCCACTAAAAATATGCGTTAATAAACTGCTTATTACACTATTTTGCAGTACCCTAATCTAAAGCGAGGAGCATTTTTGTTAATGCAGAAAAAAACACAACATTGATCTAAGATGTTTTTATTTATTCAAACAGCAACAATTACAGTCTAAATGAAAAAATATATCAAAATGAAGTTTGTGCCAAAAGTTTGTTAGTAACTTCAGGAGCCATGATGAACCCACTCATGCTCCGACCTGCTCTGTTCATGAATTTGGCTTTGGCAAAACAGTGAATCAACTGACTTCACGAGCCTGAGAGATCAGCGGAACTCGCCTATTTTTGGGCATCGTCTGGTCCTCCCGGTTCTGCGCAGTGGACGAGCTCCCATGATGCTTTGCGCCAAATACGCGTGCGTGGCTGTCATGCACGTGCACATAGGGGCAGCTCTGACCAATCAGAGCTGCTGATTGGCGCGAGAGTTAGAGCGGGAGCCAGACGAGTAGAGTTTGTGGCAGTAAAATGTGGATTTAAAGGACAACTCACCCTCAAATTATTATTAACATTTATTAAGAGGAATAACCCCTTGAGATGAAACATCTCGTTTCCGAGGGGGTCCTCAAAAAAATCCAGTATAAAAAAAAAAAATCCGGTATAAATGAGTGTCCAATAGTGTTGTCTACATATCCTGGTCATAATCTTGTCACTTTGGTGCAAATTAGTTGAAAGTTAAACTTTCTGCCTAAAACCGTCTGTGAGGCGCCATCTGCTGGCGACCTGTATTACTACATTTGAATTTTGAATCTGGCGCCAACACTGGCGCGGCAGCAAGACCTGACGTCTGAAGCAAGACCTGACGTCTGAAGCAAGACCTGACGTCTGAAGCAAGACCTGACGTCTGAAGCAAGACCTGACGTCTGAAGCAAGACCTGACGTCTGAAGCAAGACCTGACGTCTGAAGCAAGACCTGACGTCTGCAGCAAGACCTGACGTCTGAAGCAAGACCTGACGTCTGAAGCAAGACCTGACGTCTGAAGCAAGACCTGACGTCTGAAGCAAGACCTGACGTCTGAAGCAAGACCTGACGTCTGAAGCAAGACCTGACGTCTGAAGCAAGACCTGACGTCTGAAGCAAGACCTGACGTCTGCAGCAAGACCTGACGTCTGCAGCAAGACCTGACGTCTGCAGCAAGACCTGACGTCTGAAGCAAGACCTGACGTCTGAAGCAAGACCTGACGTCTGAAGCAAGACCTGACGTCTGAAGCAAGACCTGACGTCTGAAGCAAGACCTGACGTCTGAAGCAAGACCTGACGTCTGAAGCAAGACCTGACGTCTGCAGCAAGACCTGACGTCTGAAGCAAGACCTGACGTCTGAAGCAAGACCTGACGTCTGAAGCAAGACCTGACGTCTGAAGCAAGACCTGACGTCTGAAGCAAGACCTGACGTCTGCAGCAAGACCTGACGTCTGCAGCAAGACCTGACGTCTGAAGCAAGACCTGACGTCTGAAGCAAGACCTGACGTCTGAAGCAAGACCTGACGTCAGCAGCCCCCCGCCCAGAGCTATATAAACGGCCCAGTCTCGTTCACGCCCCCTTTAGTCCTCCAGGCTACGCCCATTTAGAGGAAGATTTGAACAGGAAATGTGAGTGACGTAAGCTCCGGGGAGCGGGGGTGAGAACCACTTTAAAGAAAACTGAAGGATTTAAGAAGAAAAAAAGTTCAGGATGACAAGGGACACTAAAATCCCCAGAAAATCCGAACTTTATGAAAGCTGTGGGTTCTCTTTCAGGTTCTCTGTCAGCTGAGGTCGAGCTGTTTTAATTTACATTGAGTTCTATGGGACTTTTTCTGGGTAGCCCTCGTGAATTTAGTCTGCAGTACCACAGCGCCCCCTGTACCCATGGGTGGGACAGCTATAAGCTAGGAAAACACTATCCAGTTATTATTATAGTTCCATGGTTGTGCCACAGGTGCGTTGTATACATGGATCTATTATAATAACTGGATAGGGTATTACTAGCTTGTAGCTCGGGGGATTCTCGTGGTACTGCAAACTAAATTCACGTGGGCTACCCAGAAATTGTCCCATAGAACTCAATGTAAACTAAAACAGCTCGACCTCAGCTGACAGAGAACCTACAGCTTTCATAAAGGTCGGATTTTGTTGGGATTTTAGTGTCCCTTGTCATCCTGAACTTTTTTTCTTCTTAAATCCTTCAGTTTTCTTTAAATCCACATTTTACTGCCACAAACTCTACTCGTCTGGCTCCCGCTCTAACTCTCGCTCTGATCAGCAGCTCTGATTGGTCAGAGCTGCCCCATGTGCACGTGCATGACAGCCACGCACGCGTATTTGGCGCAAAGCATCATGGGAGCTCGTCCACTGCGCAGAACCGGGAGGACCAGACGATGCCCAAAAATAGGCGAGTTCCGCTGATCTCTCAGGCTCGTGAAGTCAGTTGATTCACTGTTTTGCCAAAGCCAAATTCATGAACAGAGCAGGTCGGAGCATGAGTGGGTTCATCATGGCTCCTGAAGTTACTAACAAACTTTTGGCACAAACTTCATTTTGATATATTTTTTCATTTAGACTGTAATTGTTGCTGTTTGAATAAATAAAAACATCTTAGATCAATGTTGTGTTTTTTTCTGCATTAACAAAAATGCTCCTCGCTTTAGATTAGGGTACTGCAAAATAGTGTAATAAGCAGTTTATTAACGCATATTTTTAGTGGCCTATTACCACTATTACCTATTAATAAGCAGCTTATTAATATCTTTATAGGCATATTGTTAGTGGCCTATTAACATGGTATCGATAATAGTTTAATAAGCAGCTTATTCATATATTTATGAACATATTCCTCCTTTAATAAGTATCTTACTAATTACTTATTAAATGCTTAAAAGCATATAATTAGAACAACATCATTTAGAGACTAGTGAAATGAGCAGCTTCTTAATATGTTTATAAGTACATATAAGCAATCTATAAGCATGATGCTAATGTCTATTAATACCTTATTAATACTTAACAAGCACACCTTAATATAAAGCGTTACCTAAGAGTGTGGCTTAAATATACACTACTCTTCTTTATCAACCATCGATTAAATATAATAAATAGCATTGGAATGAAGTGAAATTAATAGAAATTACTTCAATCTTTATGATCCACAAAGTCTTTACTTTAAAGGTAGATAGGAGGATTTTCACAAACGTGAGGAAAGTACCGCCCTCTCCACTTTTTGAACAAAACTCTCCGGTCTAGTTTGATTAGCAAGTATCACCAGAATGATTGACAATTGGACGGATAGTCTTGATGATCCACTCGGAAGTAGAAAATCCTCCTATACCTTTTACGGGACGGTGTGTAATATTTATACATCCTTTATACGAGTGATAACTTTCTGAAAGATGGTTTAAAGTAGAGATAATCATTAAATTTACAAAAAAGAACAGTAGATGTATATTTCAAGTCTCTCATTTGGGCCCCAACAAGTGGTCAGTAATCAGTGCTTAGGAGCTATACAGTGCCTTGCGAAAGTATTCGGCCCCCTTGAACCTTTCAACATTTCGCCACATTTCAAGCTTTAAACATAAAGATATAAAAATTATTTTTTTTTGTCAAGAATCAACAACAAGTGGGACACAATCGTGAAATGGAACGAAATTTATTGGATAATTTAAACTTTTTTAACAAATAAAAAACTGAAAAGTGGGGCGTGCAATATTATTCGGCCCCCTTGCGCTAATACTTTGTAGCGCCACCTTTTGTTGCAATTACAGCTGCAAGTCGCTTGGGGTATGTCTCCATCAGTTTTGCACATCGAGAGACTCGAATTCTTTCCCATTTTTCCTTGAAAAACAGCTCAAGCTCAGTGAGGTTGGATGGAGAGCGTTTGTGAACAGCAGTCTTCAGCTCTTTCCACAGGTTCTCGATTGGATTCAGGTCTGGACTTTGACTTGGCCATTCTAACACCTGGATACGTGTATTTGTGAACCATTCCATTGTAGATTTGGCTTTATGTTTTGGATCATTGTCCTGTTGGAAGATAAATCTCCGTCCCAGTCTCAGGTCTTTTGCAGACTCCAACAGGTTTTCTTCCAGAATGGTCCTGTATTTGGCTCCATCCATCTTCCCATCAATTTTAGCCATCTTCCCTGTCCCTGCTGAAGAAAAGCAGGCCCAAACCATGATGCTGCCACCACCATGTTTGACAGTGGGGATGGTGCGTTCAGGGTGATGAGCTGTGTTGCTTTTACACCAAACATATCGTTTTGCATTGTGGCCAAAAAGTTCGATTTTGGTTTCATCTGACCAGAGCACCTTCTTCCACATGTTTGGTGTGTCTCCCAGGTGGCTTGTGGCAAACTATAAACAAGACTTTTTATGGATATCTTTGAGAAATGGCTTTCTTCTTACCACTCTTCCATAAAGGCCAGATTTGTGCAGTGCACAACTGATTGTTGTCCTATGGACAGACTCTCCCACCTCAGCTGTAGTTATCTGCAGTTCATCCAGAGAGATCATGGGCCTCTTGGCTGCATCTCTGATCAGTCTTCTCCTTGTTTGAGATGAAAGTTTGGAGGGACGGCCGGGTCTTGGTAGATTTGCAGTGGTCTGATACTCCTTCCATTTCAATGTAATTGCTTGCACAGTGCTCCTTGAGATGTTTAGAGCTTGGGAAATCTTTTTGTATCCAAATCCGGCTTTAAACTTCTCCACAGCAGTATCTCGGACCTGCCTGGTGTGTTCCTTTGTCTTCATGGTTCTCTCTGCGCTTTAAACAGAACCCTGAGACTATCAAAGAGCAGGTGCATTTATACAGAGACTTGATTACACACAGGTGCATTCTATTTATCATCATCAGTCATTTAGGACAACATTGGATCATTCAAAGATCCTCACTGAACTTCTGGAGTGAGTTTTCTGCACTGAAAGTAAAGGGGCCAAATAATATTGCACGCCCCACTTTTCAGTTTTTTATTTGTTAAAAAAGTTAAATTATCCAATAAATTTTGTTCCACTTCACGATTGTGTCCCACTTGTTGTTGATTCATGACAAAAAAAATCAATTTTATATCTTTAAGTTTTAAGCCTGAAATGTGGCAAAATGTTGAAAGGTTCAAGGGGGCCGGATACTTTTGCAAGGCACTGTATGTGTCAAATGCAGCAAGATTCTAGCAACAATAGTTGGATTGTAATGACATAAGCAGACCATGAATTGTTCATATTACGGTCCTTTTTTAAATCTGAAATGATTAGAATTTTCCAGGACATTCTTATCCTGACATACTCCTGTCTGCTTCAGTTCATTGCTGGGATTACCGCCGGATGGTAGTGAAGATGTCTGGTGTCCCTGTGGAAAAGGAGCTGGAATTTACAGGTCGTCTCATTGGCTCCAACTTTTCCAATTACTCGAGTTGGCACTACCGCAGCACCCTGCTGCCCCTGCTCCACCCAGAGTCCCCTGATCCCAAACCAACACACGGAGACCCCCCATCTGCGCAAGCCTCACATCGTGTGTGTGAAGAGCAGCTTCTCAAAGGTAAGAACTGTCATGTTCAATAGTAGACAACAGGTGGCAGTCTGGATCTTCATTCATTTGAACAGAAAATACATGGAAGCGCTCATGTGTAAAGAACTAGGGGCAGATTGTAGAAATATAGATGAATTTGTGAATGGTGTTTTTGAAGAGAGAAAAATGGATATATATGCTTCTAATATGAGAGAGAAAAATATTATTTTATCTTTTATATTTGCAGCACCGTAAACTCCATTAAAAGAGCATGTTTTCTCGTACCTTGGCTGTACTTAAAAATACCATATGCTCACCCTTTTAATAAGAGTGAATGCCAACCAGTGTTGGCATGGTCTTTTGTTTCTAAACAAAAGACCATGTGCCCATTTCCTATTTTATTATAGTGTGAGTAAAGCACAGTGAAAGCTGCTTCAGTTTAAATGTATAACAAAACACATTTGAATATATTATATTATATATTTTAAATAATTTATTCACATGTCAATCACATCTGCGAGCTCCATGTGGTCTATAACAACTAGCCATTGCCATGAATTTACTTTTTCAATGACATGTCATATGAAGTGTAATTGTCTCACATACTATATCTAGTGGATTTTATTCTTGATTCAGAAACTATACAGGGGATTAAAGGTGCTAATGCGCTACACGCCAGGAAGTGTTAGGGACATTTTTCGAAGTTTTTATATAACTTAATATATAATTGATGGGAAAGGCTCAGACACAAACATATCCAGTGTTGGTTTCATTGGTCGTCTTTTGCCTCTAGTTGTATTTTTTGTATTTTCGTTTGTTTATCACAGGCATTTTGAGTAGTTAATGGCTTTTATTGAATATGGGTTTGGGTCTTCTTTTTGGGTTGTTTTCTGAACACTATGATGAAAAACGTGATGTTAGCCCAAACCCTAGCCCTAGAACCAAAGGAAAAGACTCGTTACATTTTTAATGCAAAGGAAATATGTTTTCCTGAGAGAATCTTCTATAAAATGATGTACAACACGCCACTAGCTTTCTGTGGGCACTGACCCCCAGTCAATTCAAAATGCATATTTTTAGAAATTTCAACCACGTAATCTTTGTCCATTTTGACACCCTGTTTAATTATGATTTTTTGTGTTCAATGGGAATTATCTCCAGAAAAAAGATAATGGCGTCTGCAATAATGGCACTGCAGACCCCAGAATGCTATTATGGGAATGAATATATTGGTTTTATATTAAATGCATTTTTTGTAATAAAACACATTCTATGTATTAATTTGCTTTTATTCTTAAAATATTGTATTGTTTCCCAATGTTCTTTCTGTGCCTCTTAAGCACCTTGGGTTGCTTCTGCATGAATGGTGCATTATAAATAAATTTGCCTTGCCTTGCCTTGCACATTTTTGTAATGGCATTTATTCAAATACTTCTCGTTAGTTCTCATTAGTTTTCATTACCGGTACATTGAAAAACACAGACTGTTACTATATTCTTATTGTTAACATGAGAATGTTTCTATTTATTTCAAGATCAGTTCATTTTTATTATTAATCAACATATATATATTTTAATTATTTTGGCAATAAATCTGCATCATTTGACCCAGATTTATATTCAATTTAGTTTTCCCATGATGGCCTCAAAAACATTTGGAGCTCCAAACCTGGAGTTTCACTTTCCTTCTGTTTTCTGTCGTTATATCAATCATCCAATAATAAAATAATGGATCATTTTGTCGTCCACCAGAATATGAGCTTGTACAGAATGCCTTTTTCACCGACCCCAATGACCAAAGTGCGTGGTTCTACTATCGCTGGCTCCTTGGCAGAGGTAATTCCAAGTGGTTTTACCATTTGTTTTTTTTGCTTATCCACTCCACAGTTTGACATGTTTTTGTGCATTTTTATGTTTGTAGCCGACCGTGAGGAGATGATAAGCTGCGTTTATGTCTCCCGCGAGGAAGAAAGTGTGGTGGTAGGATTCTCCAGACCTGTCAATGTAAGTGTATGCTGTATATTTGTTGAAGAAGGAAAAATTGCAGTGTTTGTCTTTTTTGTAATCTTTTCTGCATTTAGGCACAATCCAACGATCTATTTTTGGTGCTTGACGGAAGGCCTCTGAAAGTCGATTGGACGAGTGTTCATCCCAGTTTCAAGAACAGTCCAGTTTGGGTATCTTTTGTCATGAATTGTATAAAGACTGGACAAAGTATTTAAAAGAAAGCATTTATTTTTGAGTGGATGGTTAATGTGTGCTAATTGTAGAATTAAAGCGAAAAGGTCACGAGTAAAAAGTATTTGCGCATCCGAAAGATGGTTTTAACAGTTATCGACAGTATGTAATTGGGTAGAAAAGACGATGCAAAAGCTCTCTTGACATTAATTATCAATTTGCAGAAGAACCTTGTGCAACCCTGTGACCTATTGTTCAGTAAAACAAAAATAACTGCATTTAACGTGACTCCTAAATGCGAGACTCTTCTCCATTCTGTACAATTTTCAAAGCGATTATCTTTAGGTCTATCTGTATTTCATTATTTGAATTATCTATTTGAATACCATCTAAAATGTGAGTTCAGACGGTTTTCATTCCTGTGATTTTAAACCTGAACATTGACTCAGATTTGCCGTCTCCCACCGGGAACAATAAGCGACTTTTCAAATGAGCACAATCTGACAGTGCGCTGGAACGAGAACTCCTGTCATAAAGACTGTGCTCTGTACACAGGTATGTCGCCGTGGCTCATCCTGCCATTGCAGCATTAAAGTCCTGCTCCACAAATGTGTTTCCTGTTTTAGGTCGAGCAGAGAGCTGGTGTCGGGACTCTGCCACTGATCAGGAGCTGTTCAGGTGCTGTCTGTCAGACTCAAGGCAACAGCACTCACTTAAACACTCCACTTAGTCTCCTGTGCTCCTCCTTACATTCACAGCACACACCCAACACTCTAGTCTACTTTAGTTCCCCCTAAATGTGTCTGAAAGTCTGTTAGAAAGGCCAAAGTAATACTTTCGGTGGTGTGATTGGATAGGATGTGAGTTATTTGTGTGTTAAGTGTTTAAATTCTCACTGTGTAAACTTATTTCCGCTGAAGTAAATACTCTTACATCCTGGGCACAGGCTTGCATGTCCATAAATCCGATTCAGTATTTACCACCACTACTGGTTTCCAAGGGTGTTCCCTGGGTCGTTACATTCTACACTATGGCATACAACCTACATAATAATTTCAAAAATCTGATACTATTTCCATGGAATTGGGTGGCCTGCCACCTCAAATTATTTTGCCCAACAGCGTGTACAACATAAAACCAATAGAAGAGGAGTAGAGTTAACTCTAGATCAGTTTAAATCAGCAAAGCTCCTTAGGACATCACTTGTTAATTTAATCTTTTTAATGTTTATGATTTGGTTTACACTGTTTGCTCCTAGTTTAACCCTTCAGAATATGTTGACATGTTCTGAGTTCCTTCAGTCTTTTTCAGTTAGAAAATATGCTAGATGAAGCATATTTTAATATTAGTCTTGTCCTTATTGATGGGTCTCTCTCAAGCTTATGAAAAAGTTTACATAATGTACTTTGTTTTCTTTAGGAGTGAACTCTCTGTGGAGAAAACCTCTGTGCTCCAGTCTGAACTGCAGTCATGTAACCAGCTACAAGAGCTGGAGCCACTCAATAAATGTAAGTGCTGCTAAATCTCTGTTCAGACAGAGCCAGATACAATCAATGTGCTCAGGGACACAAGATACTAATGTGTGCATCTCAATGCAGGGTGTTTACTCACCATAATCCTCCTCATGAGGGCGCTAGATCCCCTGGGATACGAGAAAGAGACACTTGCTCATTTTGAAACGCTCAAAGTAAGTAAAGTTCTCCATTGCCCGCAATTAAACCGCCTGCCTTTCATCCAGCAGAAATAAAGTCCCCCTTTTTCATAGTCTTTTTGAGGAATAACCTAGTGCAATTTCAAAGTTCGAAGTAATGAGACCTTAAAGTGCTTATGACAGATCTAGACTTTACTTTTTACAACGCAGTCTAGACTGTTATATTTAACATTTGGCTCTTTGTATATTAATAATTGTACTTCTTGGTTGTAAATAATGACACTGTCGGTATGTTACAAGCCCAAGTTAATTGCGCATGCTCCAAGCTAAACAAAAATTAGCAGATGACTGGCTAGTTCTGGACCTCAGCACATGTGCACCTCTCAGGATATGTATATCCATATAAAACTGATGGATATTAAAGACAATTATAGTTCATGATGATAAAGGAAGACTAAAATCCCCACAAAATCCAATCTTTGTGAAAGCTGTGGATGCCCTGTCTGCTGTGAACATAACAGCCAATGAGAAAATGTCTTGTATAACCCATGAGAATAGCCTTTGATCATGTACTGGAGAGAGGTAACGCTGGCCATATACTAACTCTGACTTCATTGCGGGTCCCAGAGGACTATAAGAGGACTAAAACCAATGAGTTAAATTACTCTGACCCTAGAGGACTGCGACTGTCAGGGTACGGCGTGGAAAATCCTCAGCGGTCTGCCCTGCTCTGGTCTGACCTGCTCTAGCCTGCCCTGCTCTGCTCTAGTCTGCCCTGGTCTCCTGGTGAGGAAACAGCGGCCATCGCGTTGATCCCCATGAACCCACACAGCTCTGGGAAGCACTTGACTAGAGTCGGTGTACGCTATATCTGCAGTCATCGCGGTCTAAATGCAACCCACACACCAAAGTTAATGTTCACCTTTCACTAAACCAGCAATACCCTCTCCAGATATGGGACATTACCTCGCAAACCGCAAAAAACCTGGGCCAAAACCTCCCCATCAATGACGAGAAAATATCTGATTTTGTGGTTATAACCTCCCCTACTATGATTTCATATGCTCATAGATTTCTCATACCCCTCTACCTAAATTCCTACATTGTATTTGCAAACAGTGATTTCTTCAGTGTAAATATTAAAAATGTATTGTATGCAACACTCACACTTTCAAAACAAGATTAATTGACTACTCTGTAGATGCAAACAATATGAGTCAATAAGAGTCACTGCTTTAACTATATTCCCTAACACTTATCATTTCTATGTGAACAACTTTTTTCCTCTTCCTCTCAGACCGTGGACCCTATGCGTTCAGGCTACTACAGCGACCATTGCAGCAAGTTCATGATAGAAAACACAATTCTCAAAATGGAATACGCAGAGGTCAGAGTCTTCAGCATTTCTGACAAGGTTGGTTCCAATAAAATCCCCACCTGCTCATACTGAATGCCCCAGGTCTCTTGTATACTGTTGTCATAATAGCTCTTGCCTTATCGCTTTGTTTTCCTGCTTTTACAGAACTTGACCACTCTTTGTCACTTGGATCAGCTTCTATTGGTCACCCATATCAATCTTTCGTCCAATCGGCTACATAGTCTGCCTCTCCAGTTCGCCATGCTGCAGTGCCTAGAGGTATCGCTGCTCTGTAGATGAATCTGAGTGCTTCCATTCTTATCTTTTCCCAGTTGGAGGCCACAAAGCAAGAGATTGAGTGGATTTTTCCATTGTGTTGTAAATGGTTTCTTCACACTTTTTCAGGTTTTGGAGGTCGACAATAACGTGATAGAAAATCTCGAAGGACTGTATCACCTTCCCAAACTTGAAGAGGTGCTTATAAGAAATAACAGTATCCTTTCAATGTTATGGTAAAGGTGTATCAATACCTGGTAGAGGTTCATAAGGTCACAGCTTTATGTTGTCTCTATGGCGATGCTTTTGCTTTGCTAGAATTGCCAGTAGTTTTGCATTAAACAGTTTTGACATTCTGGCAGATATTCTCATGGGTGACGAAATGTATTCACTACTTTCGTCCAGTTGACAGAATTCAGCTCTTTGCTCTTTGAATCTATATAACAACACACAACACAGATTTTTTTTCAATGTATATTTTGTACATTAAAAGCACCTCTAATTTAGTAAGTGCAATACGTTTAATGCCATACCCCGGAAGTCTGCCTTTTTTAGACATGATGACCCAGTGTCCAAAATAGGTTTGGATTTTGTGTCGTCTTTAGTAATTCATTTTGGCCAATTTAATTAAAAAAGTAAAATTTTGTCAAACTGTGTTTACCAACTGGATTTGGGCTGTTCAGAGATTTGTATGACTTCGTATGATTTGTATGACATGAACCTCTTGCTTCACATTTGGTGGGGCTGAAGTCACTTAGTAATGATTGCTTATTTTCTCACTAGCTTCTGAAATTTAGAGGTTATGACATTTCTAATGATTTATGCAGAGCTGAAGTTGGCTGACATTGTGAACTTGTTTATGATCTCAGGCTGCTTCGAGTTAGCATAATTTGTTGCAGGCTTTTTAGAGAATGCTTCACAAAAGGAGGTTGTGAATGCAGTAGCTTTCAATTATTAAAAAGCGGTGAAATCCCGGGCCAATTTATATTTCGAACAGATAATCGGTCCCTAATACAAAAGCTAAGCTGACTGTTTTTATAGAGGTGCAACACATCTCAAGCATTTCACTGCTATGACATCAGAGTGGAGCCTTTTTTCTGCTCTTTTGTTGTTGAATCCGTGATTGTGACTAAAGTATAAACTTTGAGTGAATGTCTCGCTGAAGCCCTTTTTGCTATGCACCAGTGTACAATTGTAGAGGTCAAATTGTGTGAAATTTCCTTTTAAGTGATAAATAATGTTTTAACAGCGCCGCCCACTCGTCTGCTTACTCACTGTCTTATTTACATAGAATTTCCGTCTATCTCTACCCTCTTTGCTCTATTCATTCAAACTTCATTCATGTAAATCCATGAAAATCGCCTGAATAAATTGTTGCAACAAGACTTCTTAATGTAATTTAGCGATACTAATTCAGTGGAGCATAAGTCAGCATCATGAACTCTGGTGTCCTCAGCCGGCATGACCAGTCCTCTCTCACACTTCCCCTATGAGTCAAGAAACTCTGATTCTTCAAAACAGCCTCTCTAATAACTAATAGCTTGAACTCAGTCCATTCATGTGACATTGTGAACTTAGGTGCAACAATTTTGTTTAATTAGGAAGGAAAACCAATCGCAATGTCCTCTCCATGCTCCACTTCTTTTAGTGCATTTGAGGAGATTTAATAAGGTTGTGACACGAGGCTGCATTCAAATAGTTGAGCTACAGAATCCTTCACTCTATATTTAGGCTTTCCACAAAATGCATTAATATCCTACTGTCACATTTTACACTGGGATCTGACTTCTGCTCCAGACATCGACTGTTTATTGACGTAATAATTATGAATAACTTAAAGATGCAGTCAGTGATTTTTTTCCAGGCGCATTTTTTTTAAATATTGTGGGAAAATGACCCTAAAAGTATTCAAGTTATCATGTGTTTTTAAATAGTACTGGAATTGACCAGATGCCTATAATCCCCAAAGATTAATAAAGAATATTTTGGAGCGGACCGATAAAAATAAACCAATGGGATGCGTTTACCCCCTTCACCCTCTTCCTGTTTCTTGCGAGTGCACGCACCCGAGTTATCGGATTTTCTAAAACCTAAAAGGGCTGAACAGAAAGTGCCAATTTCACGTTTGCCACCCATTCACCCTGATGTGACAAAGAAAAGAAAAAGCTGGATGTTTGGTTTGGTGGAGAGGGGAGGGGGGAAGTGGTCTCGAGTTGATGCTACGGCTAAGCTAACAAAATCACTTACTGCATCTTTAAGTCGTAATAAAGCAGAACTAAACATAGAAGTAGCTGTAGGATCATTCCCACTCAGCCAAAACCCTGGGTCACCCTCTTTCTTACAGACTGAGCAACATGGACTGGCCATTTAACCTGCCTTGCAAGGTAGTTTTGTGCTGAAAGTGTGAACGCTTTGACCACACATGACAAACCAATTTAGACGGACCAAAGTCTCTGAAAGACTATTGCTGTTTAGACGGTTTGATGACAAGATTTGGATCTATATCAGTATCGGATTAGAAAATATAGAATGATGCATTCCTTGTCAGGTAAATATTGTTGCATTATTCACATATTGCTCACGTGATAGTTGCTGATGAACTTTTTTAATTTAAGCTGTGCACACAACAGTTTATGATCTCTACTTAACCATGTTGCTCAGAAATCTCTTCAGTAGCCGATCTGCAGCCTCTGGCCTCGTGCCCCAAACTGAAGCGCCTCGATCTACGTGGCAACCCTGTCTCTCAGCAAGACGGTGTTGAGGCGGAGCTGAAGGCCCTGTTGCCCTCTCTGACCGAGCTGCTGATTTGATTGGGAGCCCGTCCTTCCATAGGGGTGGGCGATATACTGTTGTAACCAGTTGGAACTATTGTATTTCTCTTTTTGCCTTGTGCAGTACAAACAACATGTATAGATTTCAAATGAACCATTTAGAATATCAAAAAGATGGAATATGCAGCTTTTGATGTGAAAGAAATTATGTTTATATATTTTTGTGTTTTGACCTTGTAGTTCCCTGTGACTGTCTGAGAGAGAGAGGTCAGCATGGGGCCTTTACTTTCCATCCCAGAGGTCTAGGGGATGCTATAGTATCATACAATTGATACTATGAGCAAAATATTCGTCAAAAGTAAAGGCAGCACACTGCTCACAAAGTCAAAGACGCAAACATATATTCATACAAAAAAAAAAAAAGGAATTCATATGAAAAGTTGCAGATTGACAGATGGATAGATTCTTTATTGATCCCTGTAGGAGAAATTCAGGTGTCCAGTAGCAGCAAAATCACATCTATCCACACAAACAAAACAAAGAAATTGATCATTCTAAAAATCTAACAATAGTCCTAGTAAAATCCAACAGTAACATGGCTCCTTCAGTCATTTAAGTAATTCTTTTGTACAAAGGGGTCAAGTCCTCTGCTGCTTCCACATTTGTAAAAAGTCACGCCTTACATCCACTCTCACTTTTTGTGAGACACGAGCATAGACCGTAGAAAGGAGTGGATTAGCCGTGTGCGGACATGACCCTTTTCCCAGAAGAAGCTGATTAGAGCCAACTCAAACCGGCTCCATGGGTGGGAATTCAGAGCCAAATTCTCTATAGCAACTACATGACAACCAAAGAAGCAATTTGGCAAGGAGCCAGGCTGGTCTGTCTCGCACTGTCCTCTATTAGGAGATAGAGAGCACCTGATTGGCTTGTTAGCACGGCCCATCTCTGTACCTAGTCTATCTTACAGGAGCTGAGCAGAAATATTGTGTTTTGGCAGCCTTTTCTGTCCAGCTCCTGTTTCTCAAAAGGTGTATGGAGGTAAGAAGTGAGAATTTTCCGAATGTGGCAGTAGTTAGTGCATAACCCATGTTGCTAGGTACCTTCTTTTAAAAACAGTGGAATCATAGACTTTTATGAATGATTTTTAGGGGTGCGATATTTCCCACCCCTTTGTCTATATTTGGTTCCAGCTTTGTATGTGTGTGTTTATTTATTAGTGCAAGTCAGATGGAAAATGAAACTGGGCATCGATGTCAGCTTTTTGTCCTCCCCACCCCCGGCAATGTTTGTAAATGTGTTTGACTTGTTTTGTCATCTCCAGTCCAAAGTGTCTGTCACCTGAGAGCTCTTCTGGGGGGCATGCCTTTGATCTCCTGTCGTCTCAGTCCTTCACCTGTGGAAATGTGTGTGTGTGTGGGTGAAAATCATGTCAATATCTGTCAAAAACGAACCACAAAAATAGACATTGATCTAAGCGACGCATACTATACCTGTCAAATAAAAAAAAGAGGACGAGATAAGTCAGTATTCAAGTCCAGTGCTCCAGAATGATGTTGAAAAAGTCACTGTTTTGGATGTTGTTTAGTTTAAGTTAATTCATTTCTGTGTTCGTTAATCAACACAAACTTCATATCCAAAATGTGACTATTATGCATTCCACTTGTATATGTGTCTGTATTTGTATGTGTGGGTGAATTAATGCTCTTAGCACCATTTGCCCAAAAGCATGCCAACACACTGATAAAGAAGTTAATTGACTGTAATAGACTGTAAAGAAATATTGGCTTACGCTGCTACTGGCTTTGAAGTGAGTCAAGAGCTCATGAGACGATAAAAGCGGCGCCTGGTGCTGTTCAGCCTATAAAAACTTAATGATCATTTAACATATTCAATGTAAACTAATCAACACATGGCATTAGGACCATGTAATTGCTATTTAATGCTCTACCTTGGCGTTGTGTGTAAGGAGAAACGAGAGAGAGAGAGAGAGGGACCAAGGTTGGATTGCTTCTGACGTGAGCCTTAAAAGGGATCCTCACAACGGCTCTACTCTGAGTGGGGTCAGCGTCTGCTAGATGTGGTCAAAAATGAAGCGGCAGTGATTCAGGCTCATTTGGCTCATGAGGCTGATAGGCCGGACCCAGCAGAAAATCTACTACATTAAAGTTGCAGAAGTCACTTCTAATACATGAGCCACAGTGCACCCCCATCTCTAATGATGGAGTTCATAATCTTGTGCTTGATTAGGTCACTATGTTTCTATGTGTGATTTCATGGGAAAATGGGAGTTACTGAGGTGTGCCGCAGTTTCAGACTGATTCATCAGCCTTTGTCTTTGTTCTTCGGTTTAACAACATTAGGCAACACCTCAAAAAAGCCTGTTTTACACTTATGTCATAGGATTTGTGGAACTATTGTATTGCGTTGCAACTTTCTAACTGGAAAGACTGCAATTGACCCTTTTAAGATGAATAAAATATGACTGAAATACACGTTTTACTATGGGTTTTTTTGTTGTCTCCGTGTCTCCCCAGATTTCCTCTGGGTATTCTGCCTCCAGTTTCAGTTTATAATAACTGAAAAAAATAGACTCTTCTGCTCCAAAAAACGTTTTTAAATTTCAACTGCAATGTTTCTGCATGTTCATGGTTAAAACATGAACTCAGAGAAATATGTTTATTGGGTTGTCTGTAACTGTACATTAATGTTAGGAATAAAGTGGGTTGTCAAATTATTAATATTTGAATCATATAAGGCAAGGCAAGTTTATTTGTATAGCACAATTCATACACAAGGCAACTAACTAAATGTTTGATTCACACTTTCAAGTGTGATTTGGCAAGAAACTCATATTCACTTTTGCTAGTATTAGCCTTAGCTGTAAAAGTTATTTTAGACCATTGCTGTGACTAATCCGGTTCATAAGATGAATCCAAAAACAGACTGAAGAGGCCCCCGAGCTTTCATGTTCTCCTTTGAGCACCGCAGGATCTCCAAATGCAACAATGTAGCATTTTTTTCTGAAGTTGTATCCTATAGAAATGTTGGAGCTTTATGTAATCCGTTCTTTTATGTTTCTAAGACAATAGACCAGAGCCTCACATGTACTTTATGTGTCTGCAAAGCAACTGAATAAATATCTTGCATCATAATGTGTTTTAGAAATGTAATTAAATGGTTAATGAATACCAAAAATAAGTCTCAATGAGGCTCAAGATGCGTTTCTGAGGTACAATTCTAAGGTGGTGAAAGGGGAAATGCACACATGCGACTGTAAAGAACTCCTCCCTCTGGTGGTTACATAGGGAGTTACATTTGAACAACAGTTTAATCCTTAAGACATGTGAAAACATGTAATTCCATGGAATGACAAATTAAAAGTGTTATCATTTTGAATGAGTAACAATTATGCATAAACCTGACTGACACATGAATGAGCATGAACAGATGAAGTTATGGGTTCAATGCCTTTAGTTAATTACCTTTAGAAAGGTAATTATTCTCCATTATCCATTGTACTTTTTACAGAGTCAGTAGTTCATTTTAGACAGTGAGGAAGAAAATACATGCACTTTTTACAGTGCAAGCTTCTAATTGTCACTGTAGCCTGAGCAGAGCCATTTTATCACTACATTCCTTACACACTAAACCTGTTTGTGCACCTACTTTTTCAGGTTTCATCCATTGCATCATGAGTCAGGGACTGTGTGGTTGTGTGATTGTGTGATTGTGTTCCTGCAGCAGGGAGAGCCACCTGTCACTCAGACCCAGCCCTGATTTAGGAGATAATTTGGTTCATTTACATGGTTTATTGTGTCGGCTTAGTTCATGATTGAGTTTTATTTTTGGACTGTTCATTCAGTGTGAGAATTGGTCACAACTACATGAAAGTGGTTCATTTGGACAGTGACATGAGGATACGGTAATGAAAAGATACGGTAATGAAAACCAAAGAAGTGTGCTCAACCTGATGAAATAATAGCAGAGAAGGTTTTGATGATAATGATTTGGTAATTTTGTTGTTTTCCTCTTAGACCCGCTACATTCGTTCCCATTTTAGTACACAAATTGTAAGCAATAAACAATACTATACATGCAGCTAACTGTTTGCAAGGCACACGTTTTTACTCTCATGTGGTTCTTTTAAAACAGGACCACAAAAGAACAAAATGAATGAATGAACAGTTTGATTTTCTGATCTGTGTTGGTGAAAACACATTTGTAAAATCCTCCAAGATAACTCCTGCTGTGATTTACTGTAGGGCTATACAAGAATAAATCGATTTGAACTGAATTCTCACAGAGTTGAATATAATCTGTAAGAATCCGCTGCTGGTAATGTTATTGCACTAACATTAAGAAGCATTGCTCCTGTGTAGGAATATAAAATGAAACATGCTCCAAGATACCACTTCAGAAAAACTATATTATTTAAAGCCATGTGTTACACATATTTTACAACAATGTTTGCCAGAAATATCTGGGCTGGCAGCAGGAGGCGTGTCCTCACTCCGTCTGAGCTCAAACTATTTAAAGTTGTCTTGTGTGTTCTTGTTGAAAGTTCAGCTCCTCCACGCTCTGAAGACTTCTCTGCCTCTCCTCCTTTTCACTGAACTGAGTGAGTGATTTTAGCTCTTTCATAACATCCCAGGCAGACTGCTATTTTTCTACTGATGTTTAGAAGAGAAAAAAGTAACTTTCATTTTGTTGTTTCTCTGAGAGTGGAATGTTGACGTGACTGGCGATGAGTAGGAAGAAATAAGAAAGACTGACTTTCTGGGAGGACAATCACCAATCACGCAGAGAAAGTTACAACATGTACACAAACCCATCTGGATGGTGATTCCCTGGGCAGTTAAAAGGGTTAAGAATATGATTTTCTCTTTTGCTACAACAAATATTGAAAGAAAACTTATGGGGATGGATTGTCCATTCTTGCAGCTGATCTAGTACTCATGAATCTACTGAAGAAACAATAATTATTTTCTCTGTTCCGTATCCATGAAACATACAGACTACGCTGAGTGTATGTTTCATTAAAGTTGTGGGGGGGAGCTTTAGTCACAAGTGTAACTTTGAGCATCAGCACCCTCCTGGGGCAATAACCAAATCTGATTCACAACACTTCAGTACATTATGCTGCACATCTGCTCCTATCGTCATCATCAGTTGACCAAAACCATCTTTAGATCTCTCATAATCGTTTTCTTGACCCTAAAATAATGAGAGCGAGAGGAATGTATTATCCTATCTAAGAGCTAAACACGTTCAATCTTTGATCGTGAAATAACAACAATTCACTAGAGTGTTCAGCTAGTTATCACAAACGCTCATACACGACTCCCTAAAGAAAAGTGTGGAGAATTTAGGAACACTGTAGATCCATGACTGATGTGGTGAGTGGTGTCCCAGTCTTCAGATGATTAACTGGATCTGAGCTTAAAGCTGCTTCACTTATCGCCTGTCTCATCTCCTCTCTTCACACACTCATATTCTACTGTGCATTCTCTTATCTCTCTGATAAATTCAGGACATTATTGAGCACACTAAGAGATGTACTGCCTCCGTCATAGCATAAATACTACAGCGTATTGTGCTTATTAATAAAAGCCACCTGCCAAGTGTTTGTTCACACAATGACAGAAGTAATCAAACCCTGTGTGTGATGAAGAGTCAGTGTCCTCCTACTACATTCTCTACAAATCTTTTTCAAATGTTCTATGAATCAAGATTTAAAAGTCAATAGATAATTATAGGTAGTGCATCGGGCCTGTCCATATCAAATTATTTTATGAATTATTAGCAACTAGAGAAATTCCTTTAAAATAATCTACAATGTTATCTCCTGTTCCTTGTCTCCTTTCCGAGCTCTAATAAAATTCACCAACAAAAATGTTTGTAAATGCATGTAAAACTGTGGAATCTATGTTGCGAGCTACTACAAACACACACAGACAGACACACCTTTGGCAGGAGTAAATATGAAACTATTTTCTCATGTTGCTAGATTACACTCACATTGTAATTTTGACAAGTAAAACACCGTATGGAATTCAAAATAAACAAAAATCTTTCCACATTTTCCAATTCACACTGTTTAGCATAACACATACTGTATGAACTCACATAGCACATATCATGAACTCATTCTCTTTTCATATGAAGTTACACAGTATCCCACACTTTAATACACAGTAGGTGAAGAGGCTGATCTTGTGCTCTCTCTAGTCCTCTCTAAAATCTTGTACATTTTCAGTTACCCTTCCTACTCCCCTGTAAATTATGACATAGGCCTGTTTTCACGCGTCAGATTCAGTGGCACCAAAACGGTCGTTATAACATGTCTTTGCACCATCATCGCACGTAACAACAACATGGGAGCAAGAGTGCGCCCCTCGTGCCCAAATTATGTAAATTATATGAATAAATTAAAAAAGGAAATATTCATCATGGCATGTGAATTATGTATATTACTGTAACCCGATGCTTGCAGTAAGTGACCTAAGGAGAAAAGTTATGTAAGTTATGTCTTTTTTTGAGTAGTACTTGCACTGCATTTGTTTCTCTTGTATTTGAGTGTGCAAAAAACCGTTTGGTACTCTTCCCTGTGATTGCACTTCATGTCCACAACTAAAAAAAACACTCTGCGATGGCTCTATTCACACTGCATGCTGCACTTATAGCAGTATATTTTCCTTAAACAGCCGCCACCCACAAGCTAAATATTACATCTAATTCAGTTATGAGAGAAAAATCTAACACATCAACTTAGCCACAAATTGCATTGCTTTTATATCACTCCAATCTTTTCATGGCATCAGACTGAATTTACTCTAAAACGAAAAGTCAATAGCGTGGATGCCAAAATAGGATTGATATCCCATTACCTTTTACTGTGTATTTGTATGTGTTGTTGTTTTTATGCGTCTCTTTTAACTTGTCATGTGTCATTATGAAAGCCTGCAATCCTCATCTTCTCCGTCACTCGCTCGTGATCGTGAGTTCTTCTGCCGTGGGCCCATTTGCATTTGAATAAGAAAACTGTCAGCGAGCTGGTTTGGCCATGATTACTCTAAACGCACATGCATAAAAGAGTGTAATTTCCAACATCTTTTAGCTAGTTAGGTGTTCGGATAACAAAAAATGTCCAGGAATAGCACTTTCTGCAGGAGACACCAGGCTTTTGTGGAAAGGCTTGGAATCAATACAAGGCAGTCAATATAATCTTTTTAAATGCCACACCGGCATGACTGCTGCATTTGCATCTCCGGCAAGCTTTTAGCAGATCATTTATCAATCTTAAAACCATTTAAAGGAATGATCCAAGAAGCCCCAATTTGTTTCCAGATTAATTATTGAAAATGGTGTAAATTGCTATTACTTTAACGGCAACGAAAAGCAGCCAAAATCTATATTTAGTTCAAAAGTCATTGCAATTTCCCTTTGGACCTATATGTTTCAAAGAGGTTGGTGATTGTAATGTTGGTGTTTTTAGACTTGAAATAGTAAACTTGAACTTTTGTACATTTTGTCATATTTTCAAGATTTAGTAAGCATAAAAGAGTCATAAACGCTTCAGTGCATTGTGCTCATATTAGCTGCAGCAGTTTTTATTGGCATTTTCACTTGAGGAAATGCTCACGCCTCCTTTCCTGTCCACTTTGTCCATGCACGCGCTCTGTCCCGGCATTTGTGTGTGTATGTGTGTGTGCATGTGTGTGCGTGAGGGCGTGTACACACATTCCCAAATTGAAGTAAACCAGAGTTACCTTTAGGTGCTTCAACTGGGGAGAAACTAATTTGCTGACTTAAAGTGAACTCTGCTTCACTTGGGACTGAAGTGTGAATGCACATGGGTGACTGCTTTCTGCTCAGAGCTCAGAGCTCAGGCCCATACCTCCACACTTTCCACTGTCCCCTGAGCCCGACATGACTCAGAATCTGTGGTAATGACCACACAAACAATTGGTAGAGCATTTGCTACAGCTTTTTGACAGGTCACATATATGTTGTTACAGTCTATGGTTGTGGCAGACAAAAACAAAAGGTATGTATGGAGACCTAATGTAATTGGAGCGAGGTTCCATTGAGTGTCCCTATGATAGAGAGGATGATACTGTAGGTGAATCTTACAGACTTGGCTGGCAGTGATTTTTCGCGCCTCCCTGAGGGCACCAGAGTGAAAAGCGGAGGTAGTGGGTGTGAGGGTTAAAGGTCAGTGCTCTGTGAGTGATGCTGTGTTGGTAGTGAATGTATGGAAGAAGGGCTGCTCTGGTTCTGACACCAGGCTGTGAGTCTGAATGTGTGTCTGGATACCTGCACACCACTGTTCTTTTTCATCAAGTTAAAAAAAATAAAAAATAAAATTCTTTCAATTCATTTATTTTAAAATGTTCTGCATTTTCAATGAGACAACACAACATATTTCAGTTTTTTATGTATTATATGTAATTATTCCCGGTAATGATTTCCTGCTTTGATCAAATCTTCTGCAGCTGTGTTCCTGTCGCATCCATGAAATATCTGGGGCACTTCATCATCCGCTGGTTCAGCATATGTCTGGATCGAGTACTGCACACAGGTTCATGAATACCACGCTCACTTTGGCGTTTGGGCAAAAAATGTGGTGTGAGGTACAGTAGGAACGTTTCACCACAGTTATGGTAAATCAGGCACAGTGTGGCGATCTTCACTCACTGTGACGACCAAACACAAAGCCCTGAAGCATCCCTGATGTAAACATGGCCAGTGCTGCAGATAAACTGTCTACACATTGTGTCATGTGCCCGATTCATATCATTGTGCTTTACTTTTGTTTCTTACAATCTTTATCGCGTTGGGGAAACTAAACCGATCTGTCTCTTCTGAGGGTTTGGAAGGGAGAGTTCAATTGAAATTGATTATTAATGCACTTAAATTACCTCAAGTATTTAAGTTTTAACATATTTTCACAAGAATGGATTTGATAACATTATCCCCTGTAGCTGTAAACAATTTTAAAAAAATTGGATCTCTCAAGTTATCCTTTTGTTTGTCTGAATTTCTAACACACCAGGCTTTTGTAGCAGCTCAGATAAGTTTTTTATCTTTGTTGTGACAAAGTGTTGGGGAGTTTACATATGACATGATATGTATCTCGTGCCACTGTTTTTGTGATTCAAGGCACACGCTCACCTCCCAGAAAATCTCCACTCTCAGAGACTCAAGAATAAATCAACCCAGGCATCATCTCCAGATGTGTCCCCGATGCTATCGCACCCTCCTGCTGCTTTCCCTGCTCTTATAACTGTACGCTCGCAAATTAATATTTATACCACGTCCGCTTTGCCCAAAAAGCCAAAATGTTCATTCAGACAGGACTATCCGAAATGACTCAGTTAGTCTCCCCGGCCGCACATGGACTGTTCACATGCATCATACCTCTATAGCTGATATTTGGATAAATATGAATTTAGGGCCTGTGTGGTTCAGCCGTGGCTTTCTTGTGGATGTAGAATATATAATGATGTGACATCACATTTCAAAGAGCCTATACATACGCCTAACATTGTGGTGGAGGGTAGATGAAACTTTCTTGGTAACTATATTAACTGTAAAAAAATAAATAATGTAAATAATTGTAATCACTGGGCCAATCCACTTGGCCGACCAATAAGTGTGCACGTGCCCGCAAACAGTAAAACTGTATAAAAAAGAAACATTCATGCAGTATCTTCATTGTGTCTAAGTTGCCACTGCGTCCTCACATGAATGTTTGACAAGCCTGCATAAGAATACATTTTCCATGGGAGGCATCACAGAGAAATATGTCTGATGCCAAAATTGTACTGTCACCTATTTCATAATTTTGCCTGGAGCTGCAAAACAAAGTGAAATCTCATTATCAGTTTGGAAATAAATAAAACATGTTGCATTAGTGCTATCAGTAATAATTCTGTCAAGAGCGCATGATAAGTGGGATTAAATGCCAGTCGTGCCATTTAGGAAAAAGGCCAATTTTACTGCGTACATTTTGCTAGTGATTGCAGGTCTTGAGACTTTACTCCTCCAGAGGAAACAACAAAACTCCACATCAGGCACATTAGACTGACAACACGGTAAACACACAGGTCACATGAAACACACCAGAGCAGCAGATAATCTACAGTCAAACTGAAGGTGAGCAGAGGATGTTTAAAATATGTCTTACAGTGTTGTAGAAGTCCAAAACTACATTGTGGATTGTGAAGAAAAATATGAATATGTAATATATTCAATGAAGCCTGAAATTGTAAATTATACAGATTGTTGCTGTTCATTTTGCATTGATAACTCAGTCAATTCTCAACTGGAAAGTTAGTTATAAGGAAAATGTATTTTTTTACCATTGTGAAATAAAGTTATGATACTGTAGAGAAAAATATATTTTTGAAATATGGCTTTACGTATGAACTTTTCATAAATGTTTCTATTGCAAATACAATATTTATTTTACCGTTTTTTAAATGACGAGGCCATAAGAGGAGGCTCTTATGACATTCTCCAGTTCATGGGGAGGAGGTGGATGTTTTATGCCACACTGCAATATTTTAGCTTAAAAATCAAAGTACTGTATGTGCTAAGTTTGTGAAGAAACTTTGTTTCCCTCTAAATGTTACACATGACTCAAGCTTTAAAAACTCAATGGGTGTCCAGAGTACACAAGGCCGACTTTCATTTGGCTGCCACGACCATTAAATAGTGAAGCATTCACCTGGCAGTTTGTTATTTTTATCTTCTGTAAGAATCAATTTTATTTGTTTGTTTAACACAAATAGTGATTTTCTAGATACTTAGTTATACTTGTTATCTATTCAAGTATTATTACAGCAGTGGTAAACTACTGCTGTAGCCACAGCTGTCCAGGGCAGACTGACAGAATCAAGGATATTAATCTGTGCTATGGGCTCCTCTGATCACCACCAATCATTTACGCTCACGCACGCAAATCAGACTTTATATACTGTGTGGGGTTAGAGGCCATTGTGTAAGAAAATACAATATGCACATAATTCAAGCAGGTTCGAGGCCTGTATTTCTTCACTCTTATTTTCCCACTGTAATTATTTGTACCCAAATAAACTTGCCTTGCCTGGCCTTGCCAAGTGGGTGAAGTGTCTTGCCCAAGGATACCCATTAGCTTCTGAGATTTAATCAGGATATCACATGCAACTTTATTCATTCATTTATTTATGAATCATTGATTTGGATTTACTTTCAAACGTGATGCCTCAGCCTGTTGCCTTGAGGCCAAATGCACTTGACAAACTGCACATTTTGCACTTCCTCGCTCAGACTAATTGCGGATCTTATGGCGATATGTCTCCAGAGTAAAACCTGTCCAAAGTCCTGTGTCCATTCTCACTAACCTTGTCCTGGATGTGTGGTGGCAGGATGCCCGTGGAGAGCCGGCTGCACGGGAGCACCTCCGCTGTGGGTCGCTTTCCAACCGTGGGCTTTGGCGACGAGACAGCAACGAGAGAGGAGGAGGAAGAGGAGGAAAGTTTGCAGGAAGAAAGCGCATGTCGGCAATGGTTACGCAGGGTCTGTCCGTGCTGCCAGCGTAAAACTACAGAGGAAGACGATCTGACCAACACTGTGGTGACAGGGCTGGACGAGAGCGATGAGGGGGCCGCAGGGGACAAGCCCACCAGCACTGGGGACAAGCCCACCAGCACTGGGGACAAGCCCACCAGCACTGGGGACAAGCCCACCAACACTGGGGACAAGCCCACCAACACTGGGGACAAGCCCACCAGCACTGGGGACACTAATGGCAATGAGCTGCAGGGTAACTCACATTATGGCAAGGAAAAACTGTTTTATCAGAATGACTAACCTTTACGAAATGGTCCATCCGTTTATGGGAACATTACTTCATTATGGAAAACCAGGAATACCAAAAATATGTTTTTTTGCGCATATCAGGCTCACTTCAAGGAACTTTATTTGTTAATCCAATCTTACATACACACACAACACAGTGGATTTCACACGTTGTCTCCTTAAGGACAATGTTGCATATGAATACAGTATTTGAATCACAATCTCAGTCACATTTTGAAGCCTGCAGAACCTGAAGAGTATACAGTGTCTCAAAAAGCTTTCACCAGACCCTTTTTAAGTTAAGTGCTGGGATCCACATTTCATGATCATGTTCAGCCAGCCACAGTTTTAGAAAAAAATGGCTGCAGGTTTTTAGCTCCAACAAATATTCTTTAAATTTCCTAAAATGTCCCCAAATCATCAGGTTAAAACTGGACTCTCTTGAGGAAATGAGTGTAGTCTGCTTAGGTTGAACTAAAACCCGCATCCACACTGGCCCTTTGAAGACCGCTCTGACACATATGCATAAGAGGCACATGAATCATTCATAGTGCATGACATTACAAGACAAAGAAGAATCCAATATTATTCATTGATGTTACATGTTATGGCTGCTATTACTGAGATTTTTTGACTCGACTTGAATGTGTGTATTGGTTTCTGCAGTTCTCGTGCTCAGAGTGACATCTATAGACCTCTTGAAAAGCAAGTCGGGGCAGAACCGCATGGAGCATCGCACACATCAGTACCACAGCGGAGGCTTGATCGTACGCAGAGGACAGAGCTTCCAGATGTGGATCACCACATCTCGACCCTTCGTCCCCAACACTGACAAACTCCACCTGGAACTTAAAATAGGTCAGTCCCTCTGGCCACACAGCCTCCTCAGTGAATAAGGAGCTTTTATAACTGATGTTGATATATAGGGGATAAGGATGGTCCAAATGCCATCCCTCTTGTGGTGTCACAGTTCAAGCTCTTTTTCTCCTACAACTATATAAAGATTGAAGTTGCCACAAGAGACGAGGGCCCCACTGCTCCTTACCACTTCTTACAAGGTGTCCCCCATATCATTGTCAATGATTATTAACTTTAATTTAATTTCAAATACATTTTCAATTGTAATGCCCATAATGTAATATACTCAAGAAAACAACCACATCAAAAACTTCAGCATAGACATTGAAGCCAGAAATGAATAATACTTCAATTCAATTCAAATCATTTCAATTTATTCTGTTATCTTGGAGGACTTCACACAACCATTGAATTCGCCAAAGCAGATCAGAGTTCAAATACAACAGATAACATTGCTATTGGTCCATAAGGGGTGTTGGTCCATAAGGGCTGTTGGTCCATAAGGGCTGTTGGTCCATAAGGGCTGTTGGTCCATAAGGGGCAGATGACCAATGTCCAAGTGTTGATACACTTCCATTAATTTTGTTGAATGTTGAGGGTCCTGGATCATCACCACTGTCCTTTTTGTCAGACCCTAATTAATAATTGGTCATTCACACTGCAATAACAAGTCTTTCATACGTTTTGTCCAGTTTTGGGTCATTCCAACAATTTAATCCTTTCTTTTGTATAACAGTGTAGGTCCCTAAACAGCCCTCCTTTTTAAAATGGCCCCCTCGCAAAAGAAATACATTTTAATGCCTTATGATTTAAATGTGACTGCTCTTATATCGTTGGTATGCCTAGTAAGTGAACTGTGATAAACAAATAAACTTGCCTTGCCTGGCCTTGCCATGTGGGTGAAGTGTCTTGCCCAAGGATACAATTACAGTTTAGCACTTTGAAGCCACAGCCGCCACACTGTGGCACCTGGTTTTGCCATAGATCTCCCATCCAATAACTAACCATGTCTGCCCCCTTATTATTTATTAATAATTGGGTTATATTTAATTTCTAACTTGATGCCTCAGCCTGTCGCCTTGAGGCCAAATGTTCTTGGCAAACCTTCCTTGACAACAGGGGATACCCGTTCCGTATCTAGGGGGCTATAGTCTGCACAGATAGACCTTAGATGGGTAGCATAGATGCTTGTTACCATAGAAATGCCTGATGTTCCACACTGTGGCACTGGTTTCATCCATCACAATAGGGATTGAACTCTATTGAGTGACCGTAATTAATGCAAAGCGATATCGCTCAATGAAGAAGTTACCACTATAACCATTATCAGCCGTATTAAATTACAATACTGAGCACAGTATGCCCTTCAAATTGATCCAAGGGAATCTTGGAGCATTCTGAGGCCAGTGATTAATACGAAGGGTCAAAGTGAGTATCGACGTCCCCCAAAGCCCATCTGCCCTCAGAAGAAGCTCAGGCTGACAACTACTGGGTTACTTTTACAATCTGCCTTCATTCTTGGAATTGCGTTTGCTAATTTGAAGCACAAGCCTGCGACGTCAGTTAAATGTTTGATAATGACAGTCGCGGGACCAGAATCATGATTCTTCAATTAATATTGGTCAGATTTTCCCAAAATCCGAACATGTCGATCCCAGAATGATGACTGTGACAACAGCAGAGGCTGAGAAAAAAAAGAATCTTTTAATTTTGAACTTATTTTACCCTGTGACTAGTCCACGCTTCTGAGTATCCGGGGTCCAGCTTGTAGGTCTCCTCTCGATGGGGCTGGCTGGCATTCTGGGAATGGAATTGGAAAAACAGTGGATCTAAAAATTATGTCAAAACCTTCCACTTTTGACTCTGTTTAAACACTTACACATTTTTTTAAACTCCTGATACTAAGTCACACATCGATTCACAACAACACCAGCCACTACAATTAAAATGTCTACCGGATTAAAATGTATTAACAGCTGCCAACAATAACATGTATTGTGCCAGAATTTCCCCACAACAAAACTAATTAGAAGTCTTTTTTCTCTTCTGGCTGGTCTAATCCAGAGGTGACAGGTTACATCCATGAGGGAGAGTGGAGATGCCATGTGCAATTTAATGCTGCCGCCTCAGTGCTCCACTGCTTCAGTCGGATGTGTGTGTGTGTGTGTGTCCGCTTGTTCATTTGGTGAATAGTGCAGTGCCTGTAGGAATGAAATATTCTTATTTTGGGAACTTAATAGTGTTGGATAGAGGAGGTTACACCACTGCTATAACTATTGTTTATTTTACCAAACCGATGAGAATAATTGAAACACAAAGATGCCCTTAAATAATTGAAAGACAAAAATACAGTTCTATTCAACATGCAGGCTGGGGGCCAAAGCAACAGTCCTTTGAAATATGAAAACTACATCTTCTCCCTTAATTACTGATTTAGTCCTATACTTTTGGATGGCCCGTCGTGGCCACTAGGGGAGCACGGTGGGTCCTAGTGCAACCTTAAGGCTTCCTTTTAGCAGAAGAAACTGAGGATGTTCCTGCTGGAAGCAGGTTGGAGATTACAGCATGCAGCTGGTATCTCCGCCCGAACAGCTCACGTAATTGTCCAGGAACATATCAGAGAAAAGACGATCTGAGCAAAGTCTGAAGTCCATCAGAAAAACCAGAAATTGTGCTCCTGGTTTTTTCTAAGAAAAGTCATGTTCCAGCTTCTTCCCTCTGGCAGAAGAGATTGTACGTTGAGATTCAGGACATCTCACATCGCTACAAGCTTCTTTTCAAAAGCTGTTATCAGTTTAAATGAATCACTATAACAATCTTGCACTCAGATCCCGTCAGACCTCTAAAGCTGTGCAGGGCAGTACTGTGATGGGAGACCTCTGAGAACACCAGGTGCCTCAGTGGGGGGGATGCGGCTGCAAAGTGCCAAACTGTCTATTTGTCCTTAGGCAAGACACTTCACCCACACTGCTTAATGAGTCTGGTGAGTGTGTGAATGGTTGGTGGTGGTTGGAGGGGCTGATGGCACATACTGGTTGCCTCGCTTCTGTCAGTGTGCCCCAGGGCAGCTGTGGCTACAGTAGTAGTTTATCACCACTGTGTTTGGAGTGAAAGAATAATGTAAAGCATCTTTGAGAGTCCAAAAAAGCAATATATAAACCAATGCATTATTCATTAATATTATTTACTGTGGGAACATTAATACAATAATTTGCTATTAAACAATGTAATAAAATATAGAATATATTTATGGATCCGTTGTGGAGCATTCTCACTGGTTTGATGGTCGACGCTGGGTTGTAGGGTTGGTCCTAGTTCAGTCCTAGGACTGGCTCAGGTTTGGTTCTCAAAATTTTTTACATCAAAAAAAGAAAAGTTATTATTGAAATATATCAAATGTGTGGAAAAAATCCGGCCCTCAAGAAAATAAAGATCAATATTCCTACTCTAAGCCAGCTCTACACTGGAATGAACTATGTGACAAAGAAATCTTCTTCCTCTTCTTAGGCTTCCACCTTCTCCTTGGGTGATGACATGTGATACAGGGACTATAGGGCGGGCCTGGTTAAGGATCTAAAACATACACACATCATCATAAAGTTGGTTTAATTAATGTCATAATTAAACCAATTGCAGTGGAAAAGCATTAGACTCAAAGTCAGTCTTGAATAATAACTAATTCTGCGTTAATAACAAAATCAGCATCTCGGCTTACGCTGTGGAGCATCGCCTGCTGTGACGAGGAGGACTGTCTTCATCATACTCTCAGATAAACAAGGCACATCCTTGAGACTATCGCGAGTGCAGGTCGATTGGAATATCCTCCAGCAAGATATGTGCCCCACAGACAAACAGGCGGCCTCTTTTCATTACAAGATATAATCACAAGCAGAAAATAAGTCGCTTGTTTGCGTAATTAGTATTATTACAGAATTTGAAAACAGCTATTTCAAAATCATTTCATTAGCTCCACAAATGTTGAACCTTTGCAGTCTCATCAAAAGACCACCATGAATATCACCTCGCGAATAGCTGACATTCAACAAGAAATTATTTAGGAATTTTAAATTCACCAATGTTGTTTTTAACTGTACTTTTCCATGGCAACGGTAATCCTTATCCAGATGAATGAGAAGGTCGTGATGCGACCCACAATCTTTGAATTTGAGTGATTTATCATTTCAAATGTTTGCAACCACTGGACATGTCAACATCAATCTGACACTCTGTGAAGCAACAAATGCATTATTCTGATTACAATGTGCCAAACATTGTGCTTACATAATTTGGTTGTTATTCCTGTATATACAAGCAGGAATATACTCGCCCTCAAAAACAAGATAAAAGGCTATTCAAGATGTGTGCCCCATTGCCATGGTAACAGTTTAGTTGCTACTGTATGTTCCAGCAGAGATATTGTACAGACGCTGTATCTCTCCGACTCTGACTGCAAAACCCACAATGCATATCCTCCAACCATTGAGTGAAAAGTTTTGGCTGTTGTCGGGGTCTGGTTAAAGGACCATATAAAAACTAAATTATGTCCCTATAGACACAATAGAAACCTGCTCAAGTAAAAAAAATTAAGTAAAAGTTTTTCACGGTTACAGTTGTGGTTCCTGAAGCATCCTTCAGAAACAAAAGCATTAAGGCATAATATAACGACTTCAAGAGAACGCATACACATGGAGTCATTACCTCATACACAATGCTCGCACATTTCATTTCAGTTTGAGCCTAAAGTACAACCATTATTTCTGGAAGAAATGAAAGATTCACAGCAAATTGTTTATACATTTGAGAGCTTGAATTAAGTAGTTTTGATATTTTCTTACAAAATCTTTATAGTTGTCCTAAGTTGTGAAACATTTGACAGTTGAAATAATATTTCATTTGTAATGAAAAAATAACAAACAACACAAACTCAAAACAAGAGAATTTTAAGTAAGTGATTTTTTTTTCTAAATTTAGGCCCTGTCCACACGAAGTCAAGCTCAGGCCTAAACGCAAAAATACTTTATCAATCCAGTGTATCGTCCATACGAGGCCGGCGTTTTGGGGGGGTGTAAACGAACATTTTTGAAAGTAGGTCCCAGAGTGGAAAGATTTCAAAACTCTGTATATGCCGCTCCGTGGTTACTGCCTCTTAGTTTTAGGTTTGATTTTGAGCTGCACTTTATTGGAAATAAGTTCAAGACAGCAATAGTATTTACGAACTGCTATGAATGTATTCATTACCTCATTATATTTACAGTTGACGGACAGAAACGTCACTCACACTTGACTTCTTTGGTTGGAACTTCCCACAGCTTCTTACACTTGTAAGATAAAATTCCACACAAACGGTCGGCTCACAAACTCAAATGTGTCTTAAACCACTGCTCCATTGAGCAAGCGGAAACCAACCCTTTCCACCAATAGGTCAGTTAAATTGGACATATTACATTGTTCCGTTTTGTAAGACCTGGCTCTGGGAGCGGATGCTGCTCCATCGCCAGGACCGGACGGCGGATGAACGCAGCACTTGTCAAACATTCCTGGTCAACTGACTCTAAGACCATTTCAAAATGTTGATCTTGGGATGTGGAATACTTAAAGTTAAAGTTGAGACCATTCTGAACAATTTTACATGTTTTTGGCAGTGGAAACTGGAGCACTCGGAGGAAACCTGATAAACCTGATTAACCATATACGGGAGAATATACAAATTCTACAGTGAACCCAGCAAGTAGAACCTGGGTCCTTCCTGCTGTGAGGTTAAAGTGCTAACCACTGTGCAGCTATAGTACAGTCTACAATGGAGCTTGGAGGCCACTGACTGGAACATCTGTAGTGGATGACCCTATATCAAAAAGTCCTGCATAACCTGGGCACTAGTGGAAAATGATGTGAGGACACTTTTCCTTGACTGTATTGCCACTCTCATGAGCCCACACCACTGATTGTACGTCTAAGCTGGACAATACTATCGTTATGAATTATGCTGAATAACACAGCGATCCTGGGTCCTGTCAGGGACGGGTACAGTACATGAATACTTGAATGGATATAGTGGACTTTTGGCATAAGAACAACCTTATACTCAAATGATTACAAAACAAAAAGATAAGTGATGGACTCGCAGCCCTCGACCTCTGAAGCCTCTCGTCATCAGAGGCACAGAGGAGGATCTGGCTGAAAGCGAGACACCTGCAGATAACATCTGACCTGAACGTGACACAGAACACAGCTGTCACCGTGAAGAGAGTCCAGCAGCAGCTTTACTTCATCAGGATGCTGAGGCTAAACCGTCGCCCCGTCACTCAGCCTTACAATGGACTCATGGAGCGCGTCCTCTGCACACAGGTATCGGGTGGTAAAGAAATACCACACAGGCAGGGAGAAAAGCTCTTCAAAGAGTTATGAAGCTGGCATAGGGGATCAGAGGGACACATCTGCCATCTGCGGAGACTACACACACACAGCTGGAAATAACTCCAACAACCCAGCACACGTTCTGCTCAACCCCAAGAACGTACAGGCCAGCCAACAGGGAAAAACACAAAACGCTTCCACAACACTTTTACATCCCTGCCATGGGAACGATTGCGTGCTGTGTTAACGTGCTGACTTACTGCACTTTATGTAGCAACTTGCCCCACTGCTACTTGCAAATTTAGCCCTATTTAAGTGTATTGTCTGTACAGTATCTTTACAAATGCACCATTTCATCTTTTTGTATTGTTTAATTTGAACCATGAGTGTCCTGCACAAGAATTCCATGTGGTTTATGCACCAATGGCTACTCACTTTCTTGAAAGCTGTGCGTATTTGCAGAGCTAAATCTATTTAACAGAACAAATAAATACAACTTCTATTCATGAAGAAATCAAAATGATGTTCCTGCACTACTGGCTGCTTCTAATGGAGGCTCAAAGATTAGAGCTTGCGGCTCACTGCAAAAGGACCCCAGGCTTGACTATCAGGGAGCGAGCGACTATCTGTTGTGTGAATGTTCTCCCCATGCCTGTGTAGAGCTGTCTAAGTGTTCAAAAATGTTCTAATAATTGAAATAACTAAACAAAAAAATAAGTAAAAGACATTCAACTGTATAAGGGTCAACAAAACCTATACATAAATATGATGTAATCATTGGGAATGTGATGCAAGGGTCTCATTATTGCTATGTTTGAATTTGGAAACAAGCTGCTTGATCAAAGCACCAATTTTCTGAACCAAGCTTTCATTGAGTGTGGTTTGAACTGGGCCTGAGGCAACGAACAGCATCCACACTCTGCTGAAACAAGCTCCCTGCAGCAGGTTAATCAGGACCATCACGCACAGCACCCCAAAATGACTTTTAAAGAGGAGCTCCTCACACAGCATGGCTCTCGACATTACTATAAGAAGCAACAGTATAACAGCTGTAAGATACAGCCTTTGTTGTTTACAAAGTCAAATGTGAGTAGAGTTGACATTAGTTCAACCTGCCCCAATTTCTACAGCAAACACTACAACATTATTTCATTATGCTTTTAAATAGGCAAGGCAAGTTTATTTGTATAGAACAATTCATACGCAAGGCAACTCAAAGTGCTGAACAAGAAAGCATTTAAATCATAAATAATCACAGAACATTAAAAGGAAAGATAAAAATATAAAATCCCTCAGTTGTATGCACAGCTAAACAGAACTGTCTTTAACCTGGTTTTAAACATTGTCTCACATCTTCAGGAAGACTGTTCCAGATTTTAGCAGCATGAATCTGAAAAGCAGCCTCCCCATGTTTAGTTCTGACTCTGGGCACTAACAGGAGTCCAGTCCCTGTGCTCCTCAGAGTCCGGGCTGGTTCATATGGGACTAACATATCACTAATATATTTTGGTGCGAGGCCATGGAGAGACTTGTACACAAGCAGAGCTGTTTTAAAGTCTATTCTCTGAGCCACAGGAAGCCAGTGCAGAGACCTGAGGACTGGACTAATATGGTCGTACTTCCTGGTTCTAGTCAGGACTCGAGCTGCTGCATTTAAAATAAATCACCAGATGTTATTATGGAATGAATTATTCATCTTTGTGAATCATACGTTCATGACATTTTTTATACAAAAGCATTGATGCATTGTTTTGTTAAAGTTAGTTTTCAACACCTGTTCATGAAGTACAACATAGACCAGGGATGTCAAATTTGCTACAAGCCGAGGACCGGACTTGTTTGTTTATCAAAACATATTAAAGTGATGCATAAAACCTATTGAACTGAGATCTAACACAGTGTACCATATTTTATGTAATGATTAAATAAATAATCCAATATTTTCTTATGGCTCTGTGCAAGCCGGTTATAATACTAATCCAATATCATCTCAGGGGCTAAGATAATTAATTTGCGGGTCGGATCTGGCCCCCGGGCCTTGACACCCATGACATAGACCTACACATACAGTTCAATATACATGATGCAACTGATACATTTTTACTGTTTTTTTTTGACAATTACAATCACTTTTCATCATCATCATAATCCATCCATCCATCCATTTTCTTCCGCTTCATCCGTTGCCGGGTCGCGGGGGCAGCAGTCTAAGCAGAGACGCCCAGACCTCCCTATCCACACACACTTCCTCCAGCTCGTCCGGGGGGACCCCAAGGCGTTCCCAGGCCAGCCGAGAGACATAGTCCCTCCAGCATGTCCTAGGTCTTCCCCGGGGCCTCTTCCCGGTGGGACGTGCCCGGGTCACCTCCCCAGGGAGGCGTCCAGGAGGCATCCGGAACAGATGCCCGAGCCACCTCAACTGGTTCCTCCCGAAGGGGAGAAGCAGCGGCTCTATTCCGAACTCCTTCCGTGTGACTGAGCTCCTCACCCTATCTCTAAGGGAGCGCCCAGCCACTCTGCGGAGGAAGCTCATTTCGACCGCTTGTATCTGCGATCTTGTTCTTTCGGTCATTACCCAAAGCTCATGACCATAGGTGAGGGAGGGAACGAAGATTGACCGGTAAATCGAGAGCTTTGCCTTTCGGCTCAGCTCCCTCTTCACCACAACGGTCCGATACAGCGACCGCATCACTGCGCACGCTGCACCGATCCGCCTGTCAATCTCACGCTCCATTCTTCCCTCACTCGTGAACAAGACCCCGAGATACTTGAACTCCTCCACTTGAGGAAGGACCTCTCCACCCACCTGAAGAGGGCAAGGCACCTTTTTCCGGTCGAGCACCATGGCCTCGGATTTGGAGGTGCTGATTCTCATCATCATCATAATAATAATAATCATAATAATAATACAGAACAAGGACACAATGGCACACAGAACAAACTACATCTGCACATCCTGGATTATAGAATAATCGACAACCAACAATTTAAATAGAATAAAGAATAGATCATGCAATTAGCCATGAGTTAATGAGATTAGCCAGAGAGAGACCAGAGAGAGAGACCAGAGAGAGACCAGAGCAAGAGAGACCAGGAGAGAGACCAGTGAGAGAGACCAGTGAGAGAGACCAGAGAGAGAGACCAGAGAGAGACCAGAGCAAGAGAGACCAGAGCAAGAGAGACCAGTGAGAGAGACCAGTGAGAGAGACCAGTGAGACATTTTAATGTCTTACTGTGTCTATTGTTTCAAAACTGTTGTTGGGGTTCCATGCATGAGTTTTACGTTACAGTTTGAGAATGGCTTGGATTTGTATTAAAAGTAAAAGTAAAAGTATTATTCCTTTTTTTGACATCATGTTGTCAACATATTGATTTTTTTTGTTTGCCTGCATAGTGCTGTCCTGATACTGAAATGTCAACATCAATTTTGATTGATGTTGAAACAATCTAGAAATGGTTGTGTTTTCAACCAATCGATGCGAGTGTTACCCCCGTGAAGACAGACACAGGCTGGGGTGTAACATTGGGTTTTTTTATTCTGTAAACAGAAACATATATAGTTTTCAGACGCGGCTTTGCCTCCGTGGACTTCAGTTGAAAACCTTACGCAGAACTGAGCTAACTCTGCCTTTATACTATGCAGACTCATATTTTAGTTATAACACAGTTGCTTGTCTTACAGTCTCTTTAACATGTTTTTTACAAAAAGAAAAACAAGCTTAAACTTGACATAAACGTTACAAATTACAGATCTCCAGTACAATAAAAGTACTTATTTACCAATAGACCAGTCACAATATATCTACTCAACTACTACGATGAACCTATATAGGTAATAGAAAATAACTGCAACAAATCGGACCATCGTCTATATTTAACTGGACGCTAACGGTAGTTAGCAGTTAACGTTTTGTACAAAGAACCTAAAAATACAATTTCAATAAATAAAACATCGTCCCGAAATTACAAGTAGTCCCACTAATGTTACCCATAGAGTGCTTAGTGTACTTAACCCACCTGTAAACAGAAACATATATAGTTTTCAGACGCGGCTTTGCCTCCGTGGACTTCAGTTGAAAACCTTACGCAGAACTGAGCTAACTCTGCGCGAGACCAGGACGTTAGTCTCCTACTTACGTGCCACTACTGCCATCTTCTGGCGCAAATTAACATAGCACCAGAAACGGGTAAATAGTACACAGCCAAAATTAAGAAACATTAGTAGTAAAATAAAAGGGTTAATTAAAATGAAAATTAATTGGGGGGTATCTTATTATACTTAAACAGTCCTGGGGGCCACACCCTCCCCTGCTTAATAAAAGGAAAAAAAAAATGCTGTCTCATTTTTTTTTTTCTCTACTCCAAAACAGTGTCCCTTGAGCTTAACTGGTGGTTATATATCACATTTTTAGCATTGCTTATAGGAAAAAAAACTTGCAATTACCTTTTAGTAGACATTTGAATACTATACCAAGTAATACTAAAATTTCTGTTGGAATAACCAGATTTCTTCTCAAGATGAATAAACAAGTTCACCTTACTGTGAATAATACCTTTTACCATTGTAACCAGACACATAAACGGCCAACTTTATCACTTTGTCTGTTACCATATCATCACATTGTTTAAATGTAGACACTGTTGCATATGTGCAATATACTCAACTTAGTCTCCCTGAGTTGCACTTCAGCATTTTCGGAATAACTTGCATTTCTTGTTGCAGTCTTATAGTGTCTGTGTCACTCTACTAGTCTTTAATAAGCTGCTTGCGTGGTGTCGGACGCCCATGGTCTCCAGAGTCTCTGTGAGCATGTGGGTGGGACACTCACCTCGATACAGTCCATACCCACTGGTCTCACGGTCGGGTGTCCGAGCTGGTGATAGGAGAGGACCTGGGGCCGCCGCCGCTCCCTCTGAGGGTATATGTGGGTAGCAGATGTCGACCACTGCACATCAGAGTCTCTGCCTCTCTGCTGGGGCGCATCTTCCTCCGAAGGATTGTCGCTGAGCTGCTCCTGGTCTGCCTCACCGGCTGCTGCCAGTTGACCATC